TGAGTACTTTTGGGTGTCAGGGAAAATGTATGGAGTAATCAATACATCATTTTCTTTAGGAATGTAGTGAAGTAAAAGTTGTCAAAAATATAAATAGTAAAGTAAAGTACAGATACCCTAAAAAATAAAAATAAAATAAGTAGTATTTTAAAGTATTTTTACTTAAGTACTTTACACCACTGGTCATTGATTCATGTGCATTTTTCTAAAGCCATGTATGATCCAATGCAATGGTTGAAGAAACAGTCAATTGTTTTATTATACCGTTGTTTTATCACTTAGCTAATTATATTGTATGATGACCAAATCAAATGTTATTTGTCACATGCGCCGAATACAATGGGTGTAGACTTAACCATGAAATGCTTGCTTATGAGCCCTTCCCAAGAATGCAGAGTAAAAATGCAGAGTAAAAAAAAAAAACGCTACCTCCCCCCATCAGAAAATTACCTACAAAAGAATTATTATAAATAACAATAACTGTATCAACCCTTTGTTTATAAACGTGGGAATCGACTTTACCACTTCAGCATAGTTTTGTGGCACAGTCGATACCACGCAGGGAAACCGTTCTTTGTTCGCGGACCGTCTGGGTGTAGGTTTTCCTGCTGGTTGCTGGGGTAGCTGAGCACACCACCGTAAGGAAAATGGCATCCCTTGAGATGGCAAGAACAAGATGTATGTCAGGAGAAGTGTAGTATTATCATAAGGAGACGTATAGTTGGAATAATCAGGAGGAATGGAGGGAAAAAGAGTGGCAGAAGAGGTCGAAGAGAAAGAGGGAGGAAGAGGGTGCGCTTGAATCGGTTAAAAATGGCGGGAAAGGGGAGCGTGTTTGTTAAAGAAGAATGATAGAAAGTGTAAGCATAGTGAACTGTACGCCGGAACGAAGACAGGAGGAGAAATGGAAGTGAGTGAAGGCGAGTTATCGGAGGGTGTGGTGAAGTTCTCGGAGCCCGAGGCTTAGGATACAGATGAGTATGTGACGGTAGGAGTGACATTTTTGGAAGAAGTGGACCCTTGCCTTTTGGTTGATCCATTTCTGGTTACAGGGTGGGTGAAATCAGAGTTGGGTGTTGTGGAATCGGTGAAGGTAACCAGAAGTTGTCTGGTGATAATTGTTTGTTATTTCTGCTGGTCAGAGGGAGCAGGCGCTCGGTGTTAAATGAAAGGGGACAAGAGATGTGAATTGTTTTGCTCTCAAGAAAAGGACACCATTGAAAGGCGTGATTACTTGGGTAGAGGTAAATGTGAAAGTTGACAAACTGAAGGGGAAGGTTCCCGGTGTTTGTGATGCTCATCGTTTGGTGAGACGCAGACAGGGTGGCGTGAGTGGTAAAACAGAAGAGTCGTTGTCTGTTCTTTTGAGTTTTGATGAGGCTTTGCCCGACAAAGTGATGTTATAATATAAATTATCCCGTACGAGCTTTTGTGACGAATACATTCCATTGTTACAAGTGTCAAGCTTATGGGCATGTGGCATTAGTGTGAGGAGGGAGGTTCCTAGGTGTGCAGAAGGGCATGAGACAAAGGAATGTGTAGCATTGGGGAAAGTAGTGGTATGTGTTCATTGTAGGGGTGCCGTTGGGGCTGGAGATCAGAAATGTCAGGTGCGAGAGAGGCAGGTTGAGTGGTGCAGAAGTTGTCGTATGCTGAGGCAGTGAAGAAAGTAGAGGCAGATGGGTCAAGGGGGAGGGATCCTGAGGGGAGTGGTGTGAGTAGTAGATCTGTACCAGTACAGAGGGATAGGCCAACAAGTGATATATGTTTCAGTAAGATTTGATTTTTTTGCGTTTATAGCAATGGTTATCAGCCGTACTGCAGGGATGGAACGTAAGTCGTAGAAAATTGAGATTGTGGTAGCAGCTGCAGAGAGGTATTTGGGTGTAGGAGACCTGACACCAGAATAATTATCGGGTGTGTTGAGTGGTGGTGTCCCGTCCTTTTAGGCTGTTGGCCTGAGGTAGGACTAGATAGATTTAAATAGCTTTGTAGGATGGTGGGGTTTTAGTGAGTGTAGGGTTAAATGGTAGGGTATTTGTTGATTTTAAAAATAAATAAAAAATCCAAGCAAGTATAAGGGAGTTGTACTCCAGTCTAGTAGGTGGCGGTAATGCAACATTTATTGGCTGACAACCGCCGTTAAACCTCATCGAAGAAGAAGATGATGCCACGCAGGGTTAACGGCCGGAATGTTGAGGGTTTGCCGACCGCCACCATAGACGAGATCACTCTCCCTGCCTGTCTCAGTACACTATGATCAGAGCCGGCTGCAGACAATGATCAGCTAGGGGGAAATCTGTTTATAACATTTTGATGCTATAATTATATAAAACATATGCAACAAATTTTCCACCAACAGGTTTATGTGCCAATGCACCACACAACCAATAAGCAACGCATAACTGCATAGGATTACTGACTTTTGGGGATTATCATCATGGTTTGCGTTTTCAACACCACAATCAAGTAGAGTATGTCTATCTTGACAACAGAAAATGTATCCCTCCCTACTCAGTATATAAGGTTTGGTTTGACAATCTCAGAATGTCATTAAACTTTTTGGTGTTTTGTAACAGATGTCTCTTTCCATGAATCGAATGGCTGTTGTACAGTTTGGATGCTGGAATTATATTAGAGTGGAGTGGATGAACATGTGTAGGTAGCCTAAAGCAGACTTTTGAAGTAGCCTAATCAGAGTAAAACATTGTGACTAATTGTGTTTATGCACACATAAAAGGTAATACATTTTAAAAGTTAAATGACTAATATTTAGGCTATATTGAAGCGTTATATTCTAGGTGTATGAATAGCGGCTCGGATCGGAAAGGAGGTAGAACGTGTTAAGCTTTCCTGAATAACTGGGCCTGCTGGAAGCATAGGCCAATGTGGTCATAGGACGATTTGGGAGAATGATGATGGGCAACAGACAGCGCATCAGTAGGTAATCAGAAGTAAAAATACAACCAGACTGGCCTGCTACGGTGCCTTTCTATAATCTTTCGAGAGTAGACCCACAACTGATCCAAATGGAATGAAACATTAAAATAACAGGGCATTTGCGCAATTATCCAAATGTGATTTTCAATGCAGTTTTTACATCCTAGAGTAGAATTGCACTCACTTGAAAACAATAATGCAATTATTCATTGGAGTGTGGTGTTGTAGGCTCGTCTAGGTAGGATCATTTTATTGTCCCTAAACAAGATCAATAGGGGAGCTTTTTCAGCTACTTGTCTTCACGTTTCTTTCATGCGCAATGGCGCACCTGGCCTCTGTGCTGCCTATTGGTTATTTATATAGAAAATTGGGGTATATTTTAATGATTTTATGTGTGTTATGATTGCTACTTAACCTATTGCAGATGTGGACAATCGATCCACCTACCATTATTGTCACTATGGATAGAGGGCAGGATAGACAGTTGACTGGTAGACTGTCAGGCTATTGCTCTGTGGTATAGTAAGCATGCGGAAAAGCGTAGTGCATAAGGGAAGTACCAAAACACCATATGGGAGGCGCATGCAAGCAGATGAGGAAAATGTGGCTATATGGAAGACATTATATAGTAAATCCTGCAAAATGACGAATGTAAATCAGGGAAAAACGCACTACCCCCTACTCCCTGTACCCAATAAAAAAAACACACAACCCTCCCCTACAGAGAGTACCAGTGCCAGATCAATGTACATATCTGTATAACTCGCTGTATGTTGAGGATAAAGATGTGTCTCATTAGCCATTAATTACTTTAGGTTGTTTACTCCAAAACAGGATTGGTGACCTAAGTTTCCAGACATTGCTTTTTGTGTCTTCCGCTTAAAAAAAAAAAATTATTCTAGCTAGCTAGGTACCTTGTTGTAACGGGAAGTGGTGGTCCACTCTCATTGAAAATAAAACGGCTAGCTATATCGTAAAAATTAATGAAAACAAAAAGTAGCTTTTTGGTCTTAATTTAATGTTAGGCGTAAGGTTAGCAGTGTGGTTAATGTTTGCTTAAAATTGTAAGAAGATTAATTGTAGAAATAGGCGGGGTTTATGACTTTGCGGCTGTGTAACTACTGACGACCGTTGAAAACAAGCTAGCTAAACAAAGTAAACATACTAGCTAGCTGGCTCGCTAGGTAATATACAATGAATGACCGGTTATTTAGTGCCTAGTTACTCCACAACATATGTTAAGGGGGAAATATATCTACAGTAGTAGCAGGTAAGGAAACACTAAACTAACGTCAACTTTACTGGCTTTTAGCAGTCAGGTCGCAAACGACGGCTAGCTAGCTAACGGCCTGGGCTATGGGGGCAACAAGCTAGCGATGCACTACTACTATCTGGGTAGCTACGAGAGAGGTTGGATACATTAACGTTACCGTTTGCGAAATTTAAAACCTGCACAATTGACTTTAGAAAATACTGCTAGTGCTAGCTAGCTGGTAACGTTAACAGCAGCAGCAGTAGTAGTAGCTATATAGCCACAGATAGAACAATGAGTTATAATATTTGATATTACTAGCTAGTAGCTAGGTCGGAAAAAAACGGGTTATAATAATGGTTATCTTCAACCTAGGCTAGTAGGAGCTTGATTTATAAAAAATGTTTGCCAGAGAGAGCCATATCATATAGCTGATTTCAGCTACTCGTTGTGACCTGCTTGACTAGCCTTGAAAACGAGCGAACAATGACTTGACCTACTCTAACATGGACATCAATTAAGAATCACAGGGAATGTTGATTGTCGAGCCGAGATATGGAAGCTGTTGTGTTTTTACTCTTTGAAGTATAGTCAAACACCACCATGCCTCTTGTACAGCCATGGGGGTTTCTCGCTTGCTCTTGCTCTCTGGTCTGAATTTGGCCAGTATGACTGTAGCTGGAGAAATGTCCAGACCCCAGAAAGTGCCAAGTTTCCCTTAGGTTGATCCAGATGCTAAATGTCCCCATTTATAATAAAAATACATATTTGTATGATAATAATAATAATAATAATAATAATAATATGTATGATAATTGCAGAATTTCAAGAGTGTCCTCTTCATGTCTCTCCTATAGGCTCCAAGGTAGCTAAGATGGAGGTGCTGTGTTTCCGGTTGCCGGGTCACGGTGACGCCACCCTGAAGAGCATGAACTCCCTGAGGGCCAGGCAGCAGTTCTGTGACATCACCATAGTGACCAGCGGCAGGCAGACGTTCCGGGGACACAAAGTGGTCCTGGCTGCCTGCTCCCCATTCCTCAGGGACCAGTTCCTGCTCAACCCCTCCTCTGAACTGCAGGTGGGTGCCAGTGAAAGCCACCTTGATACACACTATTTGGGTTATGTTTGATAAATGTTGTGTCAGCTTCAGTTGATAAACTAGCCCCTGACAGACACTTTTTGTCACATGCCCTTTCAATGATCTGACCGTTTTAATAGGCATATCTTTGAGCCTGGGAAGTTCTCAGATGTTGCATCATGCCAGCTGTGGTTCCAGTCCTATACTTCATTATGGTGGAGTAGAGTAGATACTATCTTGCAGGATATGACACTAATGGCTTACATGATTGATCATAGGAAAAATACACTACATGACCAAAAGTATGTGGACACCTGCTTGTCGAACATCTCATTCCAAAATCATGGGCATTAATATGGAGTTGGTCCCCCCTTTGCTGCTATAACAGCCTCCACTCTTCTGGGAGGCTTTCCACTTGATGTTGGAACATTGCTGCGGGGACTTGCTTCAATTCAGCCACGAGCATTAGTGAGGTCGGGCACTGATGTTGGGCTATTAGACCTGTCTTGCAGTCGGCGTTCCAATTCATCCCAAAGGTGTTCGATGGGGTTGAGGTCAGGGCTCTGTGCAGGCCAGTCAAGTTCTTCTTCACCGATCTCGACAAAATATTTCTGTATGGACCTCGCTTTGTGCATGGGGACATTGTAATGCTGAAACAGGAAAGGGCCTTCCCCAAACTGTTGCCACAAAGTTGGAAGCACAGAATCGTCTAGCATGTATGCTGTAGCATTAAGATTTCCCTTCACTGGAACCAAGGGGCCTAACGCAAACTATGAAAAACAGTCCCAGACCATTATTCCTCCTCCACCAAATTTTACAGTTGGCACTATGCATTTGGGCAGGCAGCGTTCTCCTGGCATCCGCCAAACCCAGATTCACCCGTCAAACTACCAGATGGTGAAGCATGATTCATCACTCCAGAGAACGCGTTTCCATTGCTCCAGAGTCCAATGGTGGCGAGCTTTACACCACTCCAGCCGATGCTTGGCACTGCGCACTGCGCATGGTGATCTTAGGCTTGTGTGTGACTGCTCGGCCATGGACACCCATTTCATGAAGCTCCAGACGAACAGTTATTGTGCTGACGTTGCTTCCAGAGGCAGTTTGGAACTCGGTAGTGAGTGTTGCAACCGAGGACAGACGATTTTTACGCACTACTTGCTTTAGCACTCAGCGGTCAAGTTCTGTGAGCTTGTATGGCCTACCACTTCGCGGCTGAGCTGTTGTTGCTTCTAGACGTTTCCACTTAACAGAACTTACAATAACAGCACTTACAGTTGACCTTGGCAGCTCTAGCAGGGCAGAAAATTGACAAACTGACTTGTTGGAAAGGTGACATCCGATGACGGTGCCACGTTGAAAGTCACTGCGCTCTTTAGTAAGGACATTCTACTGCCAATCTTTGTCTATGGAGATTGCATGGCTGTGTGCTCGATTTTATACACCTGTCAGCAACGGTTGTGGCTGAAATAGCCGAATCCACAAATTTGAAGGAGTGTCCACATACTTTTGTATATATCTAAGACTATGTATGAAGAAAAAAAATGTATGCACTCACTAACTGTAAGTCGCTCTGGATAAGAGTGTCTGCTAAAATGACTAAAATGTAAAAATTGTTTAAGACGTAACAGCAAAATAGCTGTTTGGTGTGTTTTTGTCCTATTTTGGCCTCTAGGTGTCAGTCCTTCACAGCTCCTCGGTGGTATGTGAGCTGCTCCAGTCCTGTTACACTGGTGTGCTGCAGTTCAGCCCCAAGGAGATAGTGAATTACCTGACGGCCGCTAGCTACCTGCAGATGGAGCATGTTGTGGAGAAGTGCCGGGGAGCCCTGGGCAAGTACATGCAGCCAAAGAACCCCAGCTCACCAAAGGTTAGTTACCCATTTTGGTTAGTGTTTATTGGTGTATAGTCGAAGGCACCCTATTGAAACATTGGTTTGAAATCACAACATAAAATGTTAATACACTGTGCTTCAATTGTAGAAGGCAAATACTTTCTGAACTTATCTACTATGTGATTCAACAAAGGCTGGATTTGCAGTCAGATTGTTTTTGCCTGTGAAGATATTCAACTGGCTCGTCTTCATTCTTTTTCTCTACACCGCTCATTTTCAGATCAAGTCAGAAGAGAACCACTCGATGCCAGTGACAGTCAGTGGCAGCAGCAGCCACTCCCTTATGTCGACCTCTGCTGATCATTCCCCCTCACTGCAGCCTCACAGCCCTGTACAGTGTCAGGCTGATGACCATACAGACTCACACACTAAGACAGATATACGACACGATGACGACCCTAACACAATGGATGAGATAAAGGTAAGTAAGTTCAGGAAGAACACTTACCACTGCATCCATCTCTGGGTCTATAAATGGGAGAATCAAGTACTCTCTACAACAGCAGAGTTACTGTGTTTTATTAACATAAGAGTAGCTATCTGGGTTCAAATAATGTGTATTTGTGTATCTGGTATTTAAAATATTTTTTCCTGTAAAGTTTTTGTTATTGAGTATTTCAATGGTTATTTGTAAAAAAAAAAAAAAAAAAAAAAAAAAAAAAAAATAGTCTACCAAATTGTATTTGAGAGTATTTTCCAAATTGATTTCAAATACTATTTTTAAATACCTGGGTTAAATGCATGGGAGTGTATTTGAGGATTTTCAAATACTTTCCAAGTGTATTCAACTACTTGTCTTTTCAAATAAAAGATACATTCGATTGAAGTATTTATCATTCAAATCGGTCTCATGTTGTTCTAGGTGAGAGTAACAGAGGAGGACAGGGAGGATTATGACGTGTTCCGGATCTGCATCGAGGATGAGCAGGAGCCGGAGCCGGAAGAGAGGCGAGAGGAAGGCGGAGAGGACGCCACAGAGGGGCATCAGTACCCAGATACGGACAGTGCCATAGTGGGAGGGGGAAAGGGGGAAGACGTGACCCCAGCCGAAATGGCCATCCGCATCAGCGGCTTCGAGACGGAGGGGCTCCATGCCTGGAGGCGGAGACTCACCGACTCACCCAAAGTGGGCCGGGGGAGGGGGAGGGGCTTCAAGAGGAAGCGTGGCTCGTACCGCGAGAGAGGGAGGAGGCCTCTGGGTATGCAATACCAGGAGGCGTGGCGTCTATCCACCGGGGCAGAGATGATGCAGGGCTTCGGCCTGGACTTCAGCCAGGAAGCCATGAGGTCAGCGTTCCTCTCGGGGGGCGAGCTCCCACGGCTAGACTATGGGATGGGGGAGGTTCAGGGAGATGAGCTGGTGCCCCGGGATGGGAATGGTCCGGCCCACTACAGCCTGGACGACCCCAGTGGTGATGGAGGTGAAGATAATATGGGGATGGCGGCTGTGCCAACAGGTGGTGACGGGGCGGGGGATGAGTCTGTGGCCGTGGTGGGTTCCACCTCTAGCACAGCGGGGCCGGTTGCATGCGAGCAATGCGGTCTGACCTTCCCCTCGGCCCACTCCCTGGCTGTCCACTCACGCGCCACCCACTTGCTGTATGTGTGCCCCTGCTGCGGCAAGCACTTCAACCACTCCAGCAACCTCAACCGCCACATGACTGTGCACCGTGGTGCCAAGGTCCACCGCTGCCCGCTCTGCGACAAGACATTCACGCAGAAGTCCACGCTGTGCGATCACATGAACCTACACAGCGGCGAGCGGCCCCACTGCTGCGCCTACTGCCACTCACGCTTTGCACACAAGCCGGCGCTGCGGCGCCACCTCAAGGAGCAGCACGGGAAGACGACCGCTCAGAACAGCCTGGAGGCACAGGTCGAGATGGAGAGAGTGGCAGGGCCAGGGGGAGGAGAGGGAGACACTCAGGACAGATTTGACTTTTGAAAAGGACACTGGAACAGGGAGGAGAGATACTCCCTTACCCCTCCTCTCAGCCAAAATGTACACTTGCCTTAATGGCCAAAAGAGTGGTTTGGAGTGTGCCTTTGAGTTTGTGGGTTGGAAAAGAGGTTGTGTGTGCTGGAGGGACCTACTAAGATCTTGAAAGGGATCCTTTTTGACCTGGGGTGCACAACTCTGGTCCTCCTTACGGGCCGAAGTGTATGCTGGTTTTAAGCGCTGGCCAGTCAATGACATGGATAGATTATTAATCTTTTATCTCCTAATTATTTAATTGAAGCGGGAAAACAATTACCTACAGCACCGTGGCTCTGGAGGACTGGAGTTGTGCACACTTCAGTTTTAGACTCTTATTGTCTCATTTGTAACTCACTGGCTGACCAATAAAATATTTTAATTTGTGTATTTGAGGGTGAGCTTCTTAGTTAAACATTGGATGTTGGTATGTACCAGCTGATTTTGTAATGTGTACTTACACTGTTAAAACACTTCATTTAAAGAAGTACCCAAAATAATATAAAGTAGGCTGTCATTCCATAATCATGTTCATCACAAAGGACAAATAATAAGAGACCTACACTTTGTGCAATGCACGCTTACTCATGACTTGTGAGACACTATTCTGTAACTAAATGTGCACTGTTGTGCATAAAATGACAACAGTGCATACAGTGCATTTGGGAAGTATTCAGAACCTTTCACTTTTTCCACATTTTGTTACGTTACAGCCTTATACATCTCTGCACTGTATCATGCTATTCCAAAGGAACCAGACAATAGATACATGTGAGAGGTATTTGTGGGTTTCATGGCTTACAGCTATGAGAGACATACACTATTATTGTGTTATTACATTGATACAGTGCCAAATCTAATTGGCCCCTTTGATTCATAGCAAGACCCCATTCGACAACCAGATGGACAAATGTATTGATGTGATTTATTGAGCTCCACAAAACAATGAAATCCCTGGTTGCAAGACCAGGCCACCATGAAAACCACCACAATCTCTGTTCACATGGTTATTGCCATTACACATCCTGGCCATGAATAGAAATGTAGCATCTACTCAGATCAACTGACACATGGTGCTGTATCGGGCTAACAGGCAATCAACAACTAACTCAAAATGCAATATAGAAAACACATACAACGCTAACTCATTGATTCTTCTTACAGATCTCCAATGCGGCACGCCTCTTAGCTCATAGGAAATCCTCACTGTACACAACCTGGTTTCTCTTGTCTCTGTAAGAACCTTTGGCACTGTTCTGCACAGCTGTGAGAGAGGGAAAGAGAGAAAAAGTATACAATAATCCAGAGTTGACACTTACTGTCATACGCTGCTTGTTAGTCCGATCTGTGTTTGACTATGACTGATATTTACCCAGAGTGGCCCAGACAGATTTGCCAGTGGCTGCCTCCAGCATGGGCTGCTTCCTGGCGATGCTGACTTTGATGGGGACGTCTCCGACCGTGCTTCCATTCAACTGGGAGAAGAAGAGTGTATAGATGATAGGTTTTACACTATAATGGCTTAAGTTGGGACAGGGAGCTGGAGCTATACTGACCTCAGCTACAGCCTGGTCTGCAGACTCCATCTTCTCAAAGGTGATGAATGCACAGCTAGAAAGAGAAAGACAGGGTTGTGTTCATTAGGCACCAAACAGAACAAAACAGTGAGGGACTTACTGGACTAGTTTTAGTTTTCAACTGCAAAACATTTTAAAACACTGAACATTCTCTGTTTTGGACGCTCTCCCAATAACACACCCACACGGACATAATATCTCAACAACAACATTTAAGTAATGTAGCCATACTTGCGTGGGGAATCCATAGACAGGTCAATGATGGTGCCGTGTTGGGAGAAGGCTGAACGCAGGCTGTCCTCCACAAGGCCAGTACCATACACGTACACCGTGTTCCCCTTCCTCACCCCCCTCTGCTCCGGGTACGAGTCTGATCCTGAGAAGGGGAAAGAGAGAGAGAAGATAAGGGAGAAGAAAAACAGTCCCATTATTCCCTCCTTGAATTTGTATTTTGAGTCGAATATGCTTTTAAGAATGGCAGTGACAAGACACATGAAAGACAGAGAAGTCCAGTAAAAGAATACTCACGTCTGAACGGTCCGTCTCGCTCACGTGACTCTCTGTCTCCTCCCCTTTCCCGGTCGCGGTCTCCGTCCTGGCTCCTGTCTCTCTCGCGGTCTCGCGGCTCTCTGTCCCTGCCCCGGTCGCCGCTGCCCCGGTCTCTCTCTCTGTCTCGCTCCCTCTCTCTGTCCATCTCTCGATCTCCTCTGTCTCTCTCTCGCTCCATGTCTCTGCTGGTGGAAAGGCCGCCGCCTCCCTCCTCCTCGTCACGAGCCGCCCGGTCGCCTGGAGTAACGAAGCTGTTAGAGAGCCACAGAGGAAGAGATGTTAAACCGCCTTATACAGAGAACCAGTGTATAAAAGATGATCTACTCTATTACTCATCAGAGCTTTTAGGCTTACCTCTCGTACAAAGATTTTCTTTGGGCTCTTTTGCCAGCCTGGAGTAGAAATTAAAATGTAAAAGCAGCAGCATCAGTTATATCTTCTCAAAAACTGATTTTACATGGGATGTCATGTAATTCTCACTTTACCTCAGAAAGTTCCTCATCGGTGGACATGCTCCTTTGGAATGGTTGGAAAGCCACAGGGCCTGGAACTTTCTCTGGATCCTGGTAAACAGAAAGAGAAAATATAACAAATCATTACTAAATTGATAAGTTTGAGTTCCATCACAGACTAGTTTATGTGTCATATTTAAAAGGCATTTGCAACTGTGTCAGCTTTATACATTATTATTATTATTATTATTATGTATTTATATGTAGATAAATTATTGTATCAATCATTTATTCTATGATCAATTCCCACTACTACATTACACATCCTTGCATATTGCATGTTGTATCTCACCTTGAGCTTGATCTCTAGCGTTCTAGAGCGCTTGAAGCCAGAGTTCTTGTTCTCTGACTTGATGGCGCTGATCGCCCCAGACTTGATCAGCATCTTTGCCTGCTCTGTAGCTGTCGCTGTATCTAGCACAGGCTGGTCTGACAAAGCTAGCGGAGGGAGAGCGTAGATGCAACATAATCAACTGAGACCAAGTATCTGCTTAATAATACAGTTTTAAAAAGTGAAGACAAAGCCACATACTGCGCTTCAATCCACTCTGATTGGTCTGGCTGGTTGAACTCTGCTGCTTCTTCAAAGCCAGCAGTGCCTTTTTCTAGAGGTGTGAGGATAGAGGGAGAGAGAGAGACAATAAGAGGTGTAAACACTGAGGCCAATCAGAGTTTGGTAACATAATAATGATATCTAACTTTCAACATTATGAGTGTGATGATAATTACTGACAGGTGAATGTGAATTTAATAAAGACCTAGGACTACTCCTGATCACATCTGCAAATGTGGGGGCAGTGACACATCTCATTGTCAGAAGCAGGATACAGATACATAGATTTCTCTCTAGTCAAGTGGAGAGTGAGGAGATTCTTAAAGTTTCTCACCTTTTTCTTGAGTTTGGCATATTTCTTCTGCAGAGCCTCCTCTTCCTCTGTCAAAGAGCTTGGGAACACCACCATGTCGAACCCAGCTGCAAAGTATTGTGAAAAAGGAATGGACAACCAGAATAGTGGGCACATTTGCACAACACAATGAATATCAATACACAAGTGTGGTTAAATTCAACTTAATATGGCTATTGCATGAACTTAAAAACGACCATTTACACTTTGTTCACGACCACATGGATTTCTGTTTCTACATTCTGCATGCATCTGACAACATTTTAAAACCTTACGTTACCGTGTTAGCTAAGGTTAGCTGGTTGGTTGGCTAGTTAGCTACCCACTAACGTTAGCTACTACTAGCCATCTACATTATGTGTTACACAGGGCAGTGGAAAGTATACAATTGCTTATCAACAATAAGGCAATGTAGCTTTCAGACTACAACAATACAAAATATATACTACATTGACACTATTGTATTTAGAAATGTAATTATTTTCTTACCTCTGTAACGTTACTATAGCTAGTTTTAATCACACTCCTTCACGAACACATAAACACAGGCGCATGAATATGACGTACACAGTTGTTAGGGCGCAAGAATAAGAAAAAATACTATTCAACCTGCTAAAATTGCTGGAATAAGTCAATTATAAGGAATGCATGAAATACACTTGACAACATTTGGTAAAATAATGCATTCATATTGAGATATATATCGTATTACATGTGGCAATTTTACCTACTTCCGCCTATCAATCTTTGCCAGTTCCGAATAGACAGTGAACTGCTGCAGTAACTTTCATCTGCGGTGAAGAAATGGAAAGAATAGGTATAGATTTAGATAATATTTACAGTTAATGAATTAGGCATACGTCTAAGACCATTGCTGTAAGATTTGCTTTACAGTAACCTGCACTAAACTTGTTAGCAATACAGTTTACTGGCGAAAATAACAACTTGGGTTAGCCTAGCTAACGTTAGCTAGCCAGCTCAGCGCTCATTCATGTTGCAAAAATGTAGTCCATCCCAACATGTACAACGTGTTATGGGAAGAATCTTATCAGCTAAAGCAGACATTACAATATATGTTTATATTATTTAATATCTACACTGGACTCTATTGTATTGCACTGTAGAGGACAGCCCATAGAAACTAGGCTATTCATCTCAATCCCATTTCTCTCTCTCGCTCCATAGATCTCCCTCTGTCCCTGCTGAAGATGGGTTGCTCTGGTAGGTTTGAGCTCATCACACATCCATAGCCCAACGACCAGCCCCTGTCTCCACAAACCACGGTCAGTATGACTGTCTGTTGTTGGATTCTTATCTGAAAACTCGCGCCGCCATTTCTACAGATATGAAAGGACCACTTAGAGCATGCAGGCAATATATTGCATATCTCCATCTACCTCTATTTGTCTAAGTTACGTTTTTACAGTAGGTGTCACCTACCTACTTAGGTCCTTCAGAACAGCAAAGGCCCGCTATCAAGTTTAGAGGAAAGGAGCAAACTTCAGTTTGGAATGCAGCCTGTGTTTACATACGTCTCCTATCCAATCTCTCCAGCCCATGTGTTTCTATCATTCATTTATATACAGCTCCCCCATGGACTCCCACCCACCAGTGTGGGCTTGGAGACAGAGGTAGAGAAGCGCTTTCTATGCGACCCTGCCTGGCTTCCCATACACGATACCGACGCTGCCTTCCACAGGTTTCTGAAGTGAGTCTGCTTACAGTGCCTTCATCAAGTATTCATACCCATTGGCTTATTCCACATTTTGTTGTGTTACAGCCTGAATTAAAAATGGATGATTTTATTTATTTATTCACCCATCTACACACAATACCCCATAAGGACAAAGTGAAAACACGTTTTAATTAAAAAAAACAAATATATTGAAAATGAGATACAGAAATATTGAACATACGTATTCACACCCCTGAGTCAATACATGTTAGAATCATCTTCAAGCTCTGTCAAGTTGGTTGTTGATCATTGCTAGACAGCCATTTTCGAATTTTGCCATAGATTTTCAAGCCGATTTAAGTGAAAACTTTAACTAGGCCACTCAGGAACATTCAATGTCGTCTTGGTAAGCAACTATTTCCATGACATAGGCTGACCAGGTGAATCCAGGTGAAAGCTATGATCCCTTATTGATGTCACTTATTAAATCCACTTCAATCAGGGTAGATGAAGTGGAGGAGACAGGTTAAAGAAGTTTTTTTTAAGCCTTGACACAATTGAGACATGGATTGTGTATGTGTGCCATTCAGAGGGTGAATGGGCAAGACAAAAGATTTGTGCCTTTGAACGGGGTATGGTAGTAGGTGCCAGGCGCTCCGGTTTGTGTCAAGAACAGCAACGCTGCTGGGTTTTTCACGCTCAACCGTTTCCTGTGTGTATCAAGGATGGTCCACCACCCAAAGGACATCCAGCAAACTTGACACAACTGTGGGAAGCATTGGAGTCAACAATTGAGTCTGTTCTGAGGGCAAAAGGGGAAGGTGTTCTTAAGTCAATATTAGGAAGCTGTTCTTAATGTTTTGTACACTCAGTGTATATTTGGCCTTGTGTTTTAGTTTATTGTCCTGCTGAAAGGTGAATTTGTCTCCCAGTGTCTGTTGGAAAGCAGACTGAACCAGGTTTTACTCTAGGATTTTGCCTGTGCTTAGCTCTATTCTGTTTATTTTCATCCTGAAAAACTCCCTAGTCCTTGCAGATGACAAGCATACCCATAACAGGATGCAGCCCCCACCATGCTTGAAAATATGAAGAGTGGTACTCAGTGATGTGTTGTGTTGGATTTGCCACAAACCTAACGCTTTGTATTTCAGGACATAAAGTTAATTTCTTTGCCACATTTTTTGCAGTTTTACTTTAAAGCTATATTGCAAACAGGATGCATGCTTTGGAATATTTTTATTCCAAGGCTTCCTTCTTTTCACTCTGTCATTTAGGTTAGTATTGTGTAGTAATTACAATGTTGTTGATCCATCCTCAGTTTTCTCCTATCACAGCCATTAAACTCTGTAACTGTTTTAAAGTCACCATTGGCCTCATGGTAGAATCCCTGAGCGGTTTCCTTCCTCTCCAACAACTGAGTTAGGAAGGACGCCTGTATCTTTGTAGTGGCTGGGTGTATTGATACACCATCCAAAGTGTAATGAATAACTTCACCATGCTCAAAGGGATATTCAATGTCAGCTTTTTTTTTTTTTGTACCCATCTACCAATAGGTGCCCTTCTTTGCGAGGCATTGGAAAACCTCTCTGGTCTTTGTGGTTGAATCTGTGTTTGAAATTCACTGCTTGACTGTGGGACCTTACAGATAATTGTACGCGTGGGGTACAGAGATGAGGTTGTCATTCAAAAATCATGTTAAACACTATTATTGCACACAGAGAGGCACAGTACATTTATTGATTACTTTTTATTGCTTTGATGCCATATAAATCTCACTTGGAAAGTGGTGTTTATAAGGGGAATTCAGTGGTCCAGATGAGGCTATTCACCTGTAGTGAAATACTGTTGTACCACATGGTCACAGAATTAATTTGCGGTAAGACTTGTTGCTTTTCTCTAGGCTGGCTGAGAGAGACGTTCATGTAGACTCTCTTCTCCATTGCGCTTCGTCTCCTCTACACTCTGGCATCGTAGTAGTCAGAGATCCAACTACAGGAATGCTTTTGGACTTCACTGAGGTACATAATAGTGTCAGCTGTAATTCAGCTATGCTGTCTTAGTCTGTGTGTCCTAATAATACAACTATGATCATGATGTGACTCAATGGGAACATTCAGAATTTTAGCACTTACCTGAGTGATGATCTATTATCTTATTGTTAGGTCTACTTCATTTCATACACTTGCTACACATTTTACAACCCAGTGTCATTAAATCTCCTCCTCACTTTCTGTCCAGGTGTTACTTGGGGACATAGGCATCTCTGCTAAGAATTCTATGTCCCTGCAGCGTCCACCAAACCCTAATCCCTCTGAGAGCCTCCAAGGAAGCAACACCAACTACGCCTTTATGCCCGGTGGGTCTGACTCCTCACCTAAATATATTATCAGAGCCATATACACTACATGACCAAAAGTATGTGGACACCTGCATCCGCCAAACCCAGATTCGTCCATCGGACTGCCAGATGGTGAAGTGTGATTCATCACTCCAGAGAACGCGTTTCCACTGCTCCAGAGTCCAATGGCGGCGAGCTTTACACCAATCCAGCCGAGGCTTGGCATTGCGCATGGTGATCTTAGACTTGTGCGCGTCTGCTCGGCCATGGAAACAGTTATTATGCTGACGTTGCTTCCAGAGGCAGTTTGGAACTCAGTAGTGAGTGTTGCAACTGAGGACAGATGATTATTACGCACATCAGCACACGGCAGTCCCGTTCTGTGAGCTTGTGTGGCCTACCACTTCGCTGCTGAGCCGTTGTTGCTCCTAGACATTTCCACTTCACAGTAACAGCACTTACAGTTGACCGGGGCAGCTTTGGCAGGGCAGAAATTTGACGGACTGACTTGTTGGAAAGGTGGCATCCTATGACGGTGCCACGTTGAAAGTCACTGAGCTCTTCAGTAAGGACATTCTACTGCCGATGTTGACCAATGGAGATTGCATGGCGGTGTGCTCGATTTTATACACCTGTCAACAACGGGTGTGGCTGAATTAGCCGAATCGACTAATTCTAAGGGGTGTCCACATACTTTTGTATATATAGTGTATATTCATAAATGTATATATGGCTCTGAAATATAAAATAAATATTTGTCGTAAGTTATGTCTTCCTTTTAGTCAATTATAGAATACAAATATTAACTATTTCTCTATCTTGTTCACATAGGCGGTATGGAGGAGCTGACACTGGAACAAATCAAGAAGAAATCAGAGCTGGAGGAGGACATAGACTTTGAGAACGGTGATTTTACCTTTTATTATGGAGTTGAGATGGTGTAGGGGCAATGGTCATCCATACAAAAGGCTGCCTGTGCACAGGGAGGCGGGTTAGTGTGAGGCGGGATGCTTACTTTACAATGAAAATGCAGACTGAAAGGACCTTTGAAATAACAAACACTGTGTGCTGTTCCTGCGAACCAAATCGCTCTCTTCAAAAATCAGAATACAGATTTAAGTGATTACAGATCTTTTTATGATTGAGTATATGTGTTTCTTGCTTGTGTTATGTGATGTTTGTGTAAGTAACATATTTATTTCCCTTTACCTCAGGGTTACTCACAGTGCCCCCTGGACTTAAAGTTGGGATGGACTTCAGTGACAAAGGTTTGAATGGACATGCACTACATGATCAAAAGTATGTGGACATCTGCTCGTCGAACATCTCATTCCAAAATCATGGGCATTAATATGGAGTTGGTCCCCCTTTTGCTGCTATAACAGCCTCCACTCTTCTGGGAAGGCTTTCTACTGGATGTCGGAGCATTGCTGCGGGGACTTGCTTCCATTCAACCACAAGAGCATTAGTGAGGTCGGGCACTGATGTTGGGCGATTAGGCCTGGCTCGCAGTCAGCGTTCCAATTCATCTCAGAAGTGTTCGATGGGGTTGAGGTCAGGGCTCTGTGCAGGCCAGTGAAGTTCTTCCACCAAAAACATTTCTTTATGGACCTCGCTTTGTGCACAGGGGCATTGTCATGCTGAAACAGGAAAGGGCCTTCCTCAAACTGTTGCCACAAAGTTGGAAGCACAGAATCGTCTAGAATGTAATTGTATGCTGTAGTGTTAAGATTTCCCTTCACTCGAACTATGAAAAACAGCCCCAGACCTATTCCTCCTCCATCAAACTTTACAGTTGGCACTACGTATTGGGGCAGGTAGCGTTCTCCTGGCATCCGCCAAACCCAGATTTGTCTGTCGGACTGCCAGATGGTGAAGCGTGATTCATCACTCCAGAGAACGCGTTTCCACTGCTTCAGAGTCTAATGGCGGCAAGCTTTACACCACTCCAGCTGACGATTGGCATTGCGCATGGTGATCTTAGGCTTGTGTGCAGCTGCTTGGCCATGGAATCCCATTTCATGAAGCTCCTGACGAGCAGTTCTTGTGCTGACGTTGCTTCCAGAGCTATTTTGGAACACGGTAGTGAGTGTTGCAACCGAGGACAGACAATTTTTATGCACTACGCACTTCAGCACTCGGCGGTCCCGTTCTGTGAGCTTGTGTGGCCGTTGTTGCCCCTAGACGTTTCTACTTCACAATAACAGCACTTACAGTTGACCGGGGCAGCTCTAGCAGGGCAGATATTTGACCAACTTACTTTACATTTACATTTACATTTTAGTCATTTAGCAGACGCTCTTATCCAGAGCGACTTACAGGAGCAATTAGGGTTAAGTGCCTTGCTCAAGGGCACATTTACGTCATTTAGCAGACGCTCTTATCCAGAGCGACTCACCAATTGGTGCGTTCACCCTATAGCCAGTGGGATAACCACTGGGGGGGGGGTAGAAGGATTACTTTATCCTATCCCAGTTATTCCTTAAAGAGGTGGGGTTTCAAATGTCTCCGGAAGGTGGTGAGTGACTCCGCTGTCCTGGCATCGTGAGGGAGCTTGTTCCACCATTGGGGTGCCAGAGCAGCGAACAGTTTTGACTGGGCTGAGCGGGAACTATGCTTCCGCAGAGGAAGGGGAGCCAGCAGGCCAGAGGTGGATGAACGCAATGCCCTCGTTTGGGTGTAGGGACTGATCAGAGCCCGAAGGTACAGAGGTGCCGTTCCCCTCACTGCTCCATAGGCAAGCACCATGGTCTTGTAGCGGATGCGAGCTTCAACTGGAAGCCAGTGGAGTGTGCGGAGGAGTGGGGTGACGTGAGAGAACTTGGGAAGGTTGAACACCAGACGGGCTGCGGCATTCTGGATGAGTTGTAGGGGTTTAATGGCACAGGCAGGGAGGCCAGCCAACAGCGAGTTGCAGTAGTCCAGACGGGAGATGACAAGTGCCTGGATTAGGACCTGTGCCGCTTCCTGTGTAAGGCAGGGTCGTACTCTCCGAATGTTGTAGAGCATGAACCTGCAGGAGCGGGTCACTGCCTTGATGTTGGCGGAGAACGACAGGGTGTTGTCCAGGGTCACGCCTAGGCTCTTCGCACTCTGGGAGGAGGACACAGCGGAGTTGTCAACCGTGATGGCGAGATCATGGAACGGGCAGTCCTTCCCAGGGAGGAAGAGCAGCTCCGTCTTGCCAGGGTTCAGCTTGAGGTGGTGATCCGTCATCCATACTGATATGTCTGCCAGACATGCAGAGATGCGATTCGCCACCTGGTTATCAGAAGGGGGAAAGGAGAAGATTAGTTGTGTATCGTCAGCGTAGCAATGATAGGAGAGGCCATGTGAGGATATGACAGAGCCAAGTGACTTGGTGTATAGGGAGAAAAGGAGAGGGCCTAGAACTGAGCCCTGGGGGACACCAGTGGTGAGAGCACGTGGTGCGGAGACAGCTTCTCGCCACGCCACTTGGTAGGAGCGACCGGTCAGGTAGGACGCAATCCAGGAGTGAGCCGCGCCGGAGATGCCCAGCTCGGAGAGGGTGGAGAGGAGGATCTGATGGTTCACAGTATCAAAGGCAGCAGACAGGTCTAGAAGGACAAGAGCAGAGGAGAGAGAGTTAGCTTTAGCAGTGCGGAGAGCCTCCGTGACACAGAGAAGAGCAGTCTCAGTTGAATGACCAGTCCTGAAACCTGACTGGTTTGGATCAAGAAGGTCATTCTGAGAGAGATAGCAAGAGAGTTGGCTAAAGACGGCACGCTCAATAGTTTTGGAAAGAAAAGAAAGAAGGGATACTGGTCTGTAGTTGTTGACATCAGTGGGATCGAGTGTTGGTTTCTTGAGAAGGGGAGCAACTCTCGCTCTCTTGAAGACGGAAGGGACATGGCCAGCGGTCAAGGATGAGTTGATCAGCGAGGTGAGGTAGGGGAGAAGGTCACCGGAGATGGTCTGGAGAAGAGAGGAGGGGATGGGGTCAAGTGGGCAGGTTGTTGGGCGGCCTGCAGTCACAAGTCGCAGGATTTTATCTGGAGAGAGAGGGGAGAAAGAAGTCAAAGCATAGGGTAGGGCAGTGTGAGTAGGACCAGCAGTGTCATTAGACTTAACAAACGAGGATCGAATGTCGTCAACCTTCTTTTCAAAGTGGTTGACGAAGTCATCCACAGAGAGAGAGGAGGGGGGGGGCGGGGGGGGGGGAGGATTCAGGAGGGAGGAAAATGTGGCAAAGAGCTTCCTAGGGTTAGAGGCAGATGCTTGGAATTTAGAGTGGTAGAAAGTGGCCTTAGCAGCAGAAACAGATGAAGAAAATGTAGAGAGGAGGGAGTGAAAAGATGCCAGGTCGGCAGGGAGTTTAGTTTTCTTCCATTTCCGCTCCGCTGCCCGGAGCTCTGTTCTGTGAGCTCGCAATGAGTCATCAAGCCACGGAGCTGGAGGGGAGGACCGAGCCGGCCGGGAGGATAGGGGACACAGAGAGTCAAAGGATGCAGAAAGGGAGGAGAGGAGGGTTGAGGAGGCAGAATCAGGAGATTGGAGGGAGAAGGATTGAGCAGAGGGAAGAGATGATAGGATGGAAGAGGAGAGAGTAGTGGGAGAGAGAGAGCGAAGGTTGCGGCGGCGCATTACCATCTGTGTAGGGGCAGAGTGAGTAGTGTGGGAGGAGAGCGAGAGAGAAAAGGAAGCAAAGTAGTGGTCGGAGACATGGAGGGGAGTTGCAGTGAGATTAGTAGAGGAGCAGCATCTAGTAAAGATGAGGTCAAGCGTATTGCCTGCCTTGTGAGTAGGGGGGGACGGTGATAGGGTGAGGTCAAAAGAGGAGAGAAGTGGAAAGAAGGAGGCAGAGAGAAATGAGTCAAATGTGGACATAGGGAGGTTGAAATCCCCCAAAACTGTGAGGGGTGAGCCATCCTCAGGAAAGGAACTTATCAAGGCGTCAAGCTCATTGATGAACTCTCCAAGGGAACCTGGAGGGCGATAGATGACAAGGATATTAAGCTTAAATGGGCTAGTGACTGTGACAGCATGGAATTCAAATGAGGAGATAGACAGATGGGTTAGGGGAAAAATTGAGAATGTCCACTTGGGAGAGATGAGGATTCCTGTGCCACCACCCCTCTGACCAGATGCTCTCGGGGTATGCGAGAACACATGGTCAGACGAGGAGAGAGCAGTAGGAGTAGCAGTGTTTTCAGTGGTAATTCATGTTTCCGTCAGCGCCAGGAAGTCGAGGGACTGGAGATTAGCATAGGCTGGGATGAAGTCAGCTTTGTTGGCAGCAGAACGGCAGTTCCAGAGGCTGCCTGAGACCTGGAACTCCAGGTGTGGGGTGCGTGCAGGGACCACCAGGTTAGAGAGGCAGCAGCCACGCGGTGTGGGGCGTTTGTGTAGCCTGTGCAGAGAGGAGAGAACAGGGATAGGCAGAGGCATAGTTGACAGGCTGTAGCAAATGGCTACAATAATGCAGAGGAGATCGGAATGAAATGAACTAAACATCTGGGACAGTAGAGAGCAGGGCCTCCCTCACCAAAAACTTCTACTTCTAACAACTATAATTGTTTCACTGAACCACCCGAACAAAAACTCTACCAACTTCCACCTTTAGAAATCCGAATTGTTGTGAACCACAGCGGTTCAATGTTTAAAGGAATAGACTCAACCCACTTTATTCAGCTAGCTAACTAAGACACCATAGCTAACTAGCATGCTAGCATCCAAAAACACACAGTTTAGCGCCAACACTTGGTCACAACAAACCACCAATAGTGTGTTAACACACTAAGCAGATAATTCGTGTCCGTGTCTGTTGGCTAGCTAGCAATGGCCACTGTGTTGACCTTGTTTGAAGAACGGCTAGCTAGCTAGCTTCGTGCTACCCCCGGCACCGCCGAACAACAGTGCCAACCCACAGTAACTAACCACAACAGCCCACGATGCCTAGCTATGACGCCATAGCTAACTAGCATGCTAGCATCCAATAACACACAGTTTAGCACCAATACTTGGTTACAACAAACCACCAAGAGTGTGTTAACACACTAAACAGATAATTCATGTCCGTGTCTAGTTTCTTTCGTAACGCAGCAAAAAATTAAGCGTTGGTTAGCTAGCACATTAACATTGGAAAGAACTCTCCACCGTTGCACTAAACAGATAATTACCAATAAACGTTACCAGTAGCTACCCGCTAGCTAGCTAGCATACCAAGAGTGTGTTAACACACAAAACAGATCATTCATGTCCGTGCCAAGTTCCTTGCATAACGCAGCAAAAAATTAAACGTTGGCTAGCTAGCTAGCACATTAGCTAGCACATTAACATTGGAAACCACTCTCCACCATTGCACTAAACAGATAATAACCAATAAACGTTACCAGTAGCTACCCGCTAGCTAGCTAGCCTCGTGCTCCGCCGTAACAATACTTCAACAATACGTAAACAATACTTACCTACAATAATTGCCTACGGAAACCTACAATAACTAGCTAAATAAACTACCTACCTACGATCTAAATACATGGTTTAAGCTTTACTCAACACCATATGAGAAGCCAAGCTTACCTCCTGCTAGAGAAAAACACAACCTCTCCCGACGAAGTCAGCACCTGCAGAAAGGTGGCATCCTTTGATGGTGCCACGTTGAAAGTCACTGAGCTCTTCATTAAAGCCATTCTACTGCCAATATTTGTCTATGGAGATTGCATGGCTGTGTGCTTAATTTTATACACCTGTCAGCAAAGGGTGTGGCTGAAATAGCCAAATCCACTCATTTGAAAGGGTGTACACATACCTTTGTATATATAGTGTGTGTTCCTAAAGGTTATCCTCTTAGCTTGGGCTTAGCTTGAATAAATATATAGTTTTCTTCCTTTTTTAAATTCTCTCTGAAGATGCCAAAACCACAAAGGGAGAAATCAACCTCCTGTCCCTCCTATCCACCTTTGATGACGTCATAGACTCCCAGCCCGAGGCAGAGGATAAAGAGAAAGGACTGGGAAGTGGAGATGCTCCCAAACTACCCAGAACCAACAGCCTGGAAGACCTGGGGATCAGGGTATTGAATAAATCTATTTTTTCTGTTGTTTTTTGACGTATAAAATCTACATCTAAAATGTACTTTCCCCTCTTAACTTAGCTTCTGTGGTTTGTTATGTTCATATACTTAAAGGTGGTTTATTTCCTGTAGGACTTGCCTTCTACACCTGGGACCACCTCGACAGAGAAGAAAGATGGAGGAAAGACCAAACCAGGAGCGGGCCAGGAGGAGAAGAAGAGATGGGCTGCAGATCCTCTCAAGCTCTGTCAGGTTTGATGGGGAGCGTCGCTGCACAGCTATTTTCAGGACACTCCAGAGATGTTTGATCTGGTTCAAATCCGGGCTCTGGCTGGGCCACTCAAGGACATTCAGAGACTTGTCCCGAAGCCACTCCTGCGTGGTCTTGGCTGTGTGCTTAGAGTCGTTGTCCCAGTCTGAGGTCCTGAGCGCTCTGGAGCAGGTTTTCATCAAGGATCTCTCTGTACCTTGCTCCTCTCATCTTTCCCTCGATCCTGACTAGTCTCCCAGTCCCTGCCGCTGAAAAACATCCCCACAGCATGGTGCTGCCACCACTATGCTTCACCGTAGGGATGGTATTGGCCAGGTGATGAGCGGTGCCTGGTTTCCTCCATACGTGACACTTGGCATTCAGGCCAAAGAGTTCAATCTTGGTTTCATCAGACCAGAGAATCTTGTTTCTCATGGTCTGAGAGTCCTTAAGCTGCCTTTTGGCAAACTGCAAGCGGGCTGTCATATGCCTTTCACTGAGGAGTGACTTCCGTCTGGCCACTCTACCATAAAGGCCTGATTGGTGGTGTTGCAGAGATGGTTGTCCTTCTGGAAGGTTCTCCCATCTCCACTGAGGAACTCTGGAGCTCTGTCAGAGTGACCATCGGGTTCTTGGTCACCTCCCTGACCAAGGCCCTTCTCCCCCGATTGCTCAGTTTGGCCGGGCGGCCAGCTCTAGGAAGCATCTTGGTGGTTCCAAACTTCTTCCATTTCAGAATGATGGAGGCCACTGTGTTCTTGGGGACCTTCAATGCTGCAGAAATGTTTTGGTACCCTTCTCCAGATCTGTGCTTCGACACAATCCTGTCTCGGAGATCTATGGACAATTCCTTCAACCTCATGGCTTGGTAATTGCTCTGACATGCACTTTCAACTATGGGACCTTATATACACAGGCGTGTGCCTTTCCAAATCATGTCCAATCAATTGAATTTACCACAGGTGGACTCCAATCAAGTTGTTGAAACATCTCAAGGATGATCAATGGAAACAGGATGCACCTGAGCTCAATTTCGAGTCTCATAGCAAAGGGTCTGAATACTTATGTACAGGTAGTAAGGTATTTTCTTTTTTTATTTGTAATACATTTGCAAAAATGTATAGAAACCTGTTTTTGATTTGTCATTATGGGGTATTGTGTGTAGATTGATGAGGAAACATTTAATTTAATCCTGTGGAAAAAGGGAAGGGGTCTGAATACTTTTTGAATGCACTGTGTACATCACACATCATAAAACATAACATTTTATTATTTAACCTTGCACATTATATCACACTGTATCACATTATACCTACATGCCCCCAGGACCAAGCTCTGCTCCATAGGGGGTTGTAGCATATACAGTACATCATATACATATAACATTAGACAATATATCACACATTAACCCTATGCATCACTGTTTTTATACTGTCTAACATTCTAACTGAACACATACTATGGTTATACATTGAGATACCCTCAGCCATGTAGGCCTATACATCAGCTTGACTGACACATTCTATCTCCCTCTCTCTATTGTAGGTCCATGCTCTATAACGGTTCAGAGGTCATCAGAGATTTAGAGTGGGTGATCTTTGACGAGGTTCACTACATCAATGATGCTGAGGTAACAGAGAAGCCTCACTCTCAAAACCTGCCCCTCTCACTCTTTTAGTCAATCAAGTGTCACTAAATCTCATTCTCTCCTGTTTTCTTTCCCTCCCTTTCTATCTTTCTCTCCCTCTTAGAGAGGAGTGGTGTGGGAGGAGGTTCTAATCATGTTACCTGATCACGTCAGTATTATTCTGCTGAGTGCCACTGTCCCCAATGCAGTGGAGTTCAGTGAGTGGATCGGGTACGTTGTCAACTATTGCCTACTGTTCTCCTGATCACCCTAAACACCATCTGTCATCATCAAACCCAAAGCATGTATGTTGGGAAACACACTGTTAAACCATGTGCGTTTTCTTGATTACATGACCTACTGAGGAAAAACTCTGTGCCCTAATATCTGAGTATTTCTTGGTCAAGTCACGTGGTTAGAAAGAAACTCCTGGCCCTAGTTAAAGTATAGTAATATCTGTTGCTGTGGTCACAGTATGGAGCATTTATAGTGTGTGTTCAATGTTGTGCTTGGCCTCTAGTATATAAATGGAATGATGTCTGAGCTGTGAATGGATGCTTCAGTTTCTCCCCTCCCTTCCTCTCTCCTCTCCAGGCGCATTAAGAAGAAGCACATCTATGTGATTAGCACAGCAAAGAGACCTGTGCCTCTGGAGCACTACCTGTACACAGGCAACAGCACCAAGACCCAGAAAGAGATGTTCCTACTGCTGGACGCTACAGGCAACTTCCAAACCAAAGGGTACGTACACACACACCTGGGCTCATGTATATGTTAGGTTTGTCATTAGACTTGGGACAAAAAACCGAAAATTATTGATACAGACCGAAACAACAATTTATCGATTACATTTTACTGATATCAATAATAACTATGAGTAACCTTCACTAAAATAATGTGAAGTTTGAAATTAAATAAGTCTGCTACTATGGGCTATTGCTAACAGGGCAATAATATTCACAACATTCAAAGTAGTATTAGTAGTTTTAAGGGTAATATGAAAAAGTAACTGGTGCAAATTAATGTTGTAAACTTATCATTCAATTTATTGTTAACGTGATAATCAGTCAATTTATAGTGATATGGATTATTAAATTGTTTTATGTTGCTGGTTTCTTTGTTTTTAAGGTACTATGCTGCAATAGATGCCAAAAAGGAACGTACCAGTAAACACGCCCAGTCCTTTGGGACGTAAAATATATCTCAGAACACTACACCCAACCAGGTACAGAATATCACCCCTACTCTCTCTCTCTCTGTCCTCCTTACCCTCTCTGTCACTCACTCATCCCCATTGTAGCACTTCTGTCCGTTTTTGAACATCTTCTCTCTGTATCATTTCTTTACTCTTTCCCTCTCCATTTTCTCATCCCTCTCTCCATCTCTCTCCACCAGGTCCGGGCGGTATGGCTTTTCCTCCTCCACTTCCTGTCCCAGCGCCAGCAGACCCCCGTGGTGGCGTTCACCTTCTCCAGGACTCGCTGCGACAACAACGCCCGCTCTCTAGCCTCCATGGACCTTACCAGCTCGGTGGAGAAGAGCGAGATCCACTCCTTCTTCCAGAAGAGCCTGAGCCGCCTCAGGGGAGGGGACCGCCAGCTGCCCCAGGTAGGGTGCACTCTGGCTGGGACCGGTTTGCTTCAGTGTCTGAGAGAACTAAGACCTGCCTATCAAGTGTACCCATGTTCTACTTGAAAATTTTCATGCAACCATCAACAATGCAATGAATTCAGCTCATATGGCTGTGGATTTATTATTCCCTATCATAGCCAATTGTAGCAAATAGATTGAACTGTTGGACATGTAACCTAGGAATTGTTAGATTGTACATTTACATTTTAGTTGTGACTTTTGGCAAAAATTCAAGATCATTTACTGATTAATTACTGGAATAATTAATTGATTAGATTAATTTGGTTATCCTATCCAAATGTATCTAAGAGGGCACCATTAAGGGTTGGATATAGAGAAACCCTTCAATTAACTCTATCAGTAGTTATCGTTAACCGTTATACCATTAATCACCATCAACAATAGTCTAATCAACAGTCAATTTACTATATTCTCCATTCTGAATAGCCATCATTTCTGGAACTGCAAAAACCCAGTCGCTCGCAAATGACTTCAATGCCATATAATTAATTCAAGGTTTTATTTATTAGACTAAACAAGTTGGGAAATGACGTAGTTAAGACTTACAATATAAAGACAGGGTACTTTGGGATGCAACACAGTTATTGAGGTGAGAGGCTCCACAGGTCAATATGAATGGCTTCCGTACTCAACTCAGGCAAATACAACAACACATTCACAGGACGTTTGAGAATTATATGATCTTATTAATTGAAAGAGAAAATGTGAGAGGACTACGTCGACATAGGCTTTCACAACCGGGAAACTATAGAGCTCACCAACCAGGAACAGACATGAACTAGGCTACCAATTAGCATCCGATGTGGACAGTGCTGGGACAGTATTGATGAAGAGTTTGTAAATTAGACCTGCCGTCTTACAATACTCAATGACTTCCACCACTTTACACACACAACACCAATTTCAGAGGAAAAGAAGAATGCAACAGGATAAATTACTTGCATGGGTTGTTGCCTGCCCAGTTGGATTCCATTAGGATGGGATGGAGCCGGTTCAAAGGTTGTTGTCCAAGTCTCTCTCGACAGTAATGCTGAGGCCAGCAGGCCAAAGTAGCTCACAGCCGAATGAGCTATACCCACTTCTCTCTGTTCTCAGTCTAAGAAAGTAAATTATTTTAGAGCCCATCCCGATTGTGAACTCAGTCAGTTAGTCTTGAATGAGCATACAGTGCGTTCCGCAGGATCACCTCTGGGATGATTGCTTCTGTCTGAGTAGGATATGGTCTCGTCGATAGGTGTTTGGCTTCCAAGGAGATGTAGGACATTTGTTCAACTGGTGTGGCCGCACTGCGAAGAAGCTTGATCTGCCAGTCTGTTAGCAAGTCCTGTATTTATAGGGATATTCACAGAGGGCGGGCTGGTTAGTCCAGACAGGTTGTCACAGGACCACCCCGTTGATTCTGAGAATTCAGCACAGTTATGTCCATTGAGATAAATCTGAGATTTCCTCATAAGTGTCCACAGTATGTTCCTACTGTACAGAAAACCGTTAAACAGACCCTAGGATGAAATATGTAGCATATAGGTTCTAAACATGCTTTGAGTAAAATACACATTAAACCCCCTTTTAATGACATAGAAAAATCAGAAGAAAACTGTCACAATATGCTTCAAGTTATGCCAACATGTTATGAGTCGTTCAGTTTGATACATTGTTCAGAAACGTGTTTAAATGTCACTGGTGCAATTGCCGCTACTTTTCCCTCTTGTTACAAGGAATATTATTGCCTGACCCCCCTCTTTCTTTGAATTTACATCCAGGGTGCCTGAAAGTCTAGTTGCTAATCCATAGTAACACATGTATGCAGATCGTAAGATGGTCTCCTAATCGGCAGAAAGTGTCTGTTCTTTGTCTCCTTGACCTCCCCCAGGGGACACTCGGAGTCGTAAAATGGGGAAAGGGAGAGGAGTTCTTCTGATAGGGGCGTCTTGTAAGCTACTCAGTGACAGGAAGGGCTAACCCCCCTTTCACCACATTGATGCGTGCACAGGGTATTTTGGTATTTTATTAGGATCCCCATTAGCTGTTGCAAAAGCAGCAGCTACTCTTCCTGGGGTCCACACAAAACATGAAACATTACATAATACAGAACAGTAATAGACAAGAACAGCTCAAGGACAGAACTACATAAACATTTTTTTAAAGGCACACGTAGCCTACATATCAATACATACACACAAACTATCTAGGTCAAATAGGGGAGTGGCGTTGTACACAGGGAACATCTGCTCCTTCATCATTCATAGCTTGAGGGAGGCGCTGTCAATAACATGGAGAGTGCGTGACCCTCCTCGTGGGCTCTTTTTACAACAAAGTCACTTTGCAGATGCTCTTATCCAGAGCGACTTACAGGAGCAATTAGGGGTTAGTGCCTTGCTCAAGGGCACATTGACAGATTTTTCACCAGTCGTCTCGGGGATTCGAACCAGCGACCATTCGGTTACTGGCCCAATGCTCTTAACTGCTACGCTACCTGCCGCTCCACCTGTCTTGTTACCAACCCCTCCTCTGTTGTAGATCCTGTTGATGAGGGACCAGCTGAAGAGGGGGATCGGCGTGCATCACAGCGGCATCCTGCCAATCTTGAAGGAGGTCATTGAGATGCTGTTCTCGCGGGGGCTAGTAAAGGTGAGTCTTATTGGTCCATTTTTGAATCAATGTGACAATTTGTCAATATCTTGAAATGCCATGTCTGATGAAAAGTCCTAACTTCTCTACCTCTGTCATCAAATCACAATTTATTTAAAGTGCATTTAACAACGTCTTGACACACTTTACAAATAAATGTTCGCTCAGGTCTGTTTTGTTTAACTTGCTGGGACAAACGTTTCATTAGGAAAAAAAGTGAATGTCATTTCCCTCTTTACACGCTTTAAAAAAATGTTTCATCACTCTCGTTCTTTTTTTTGATGACTGTCTCTCTCGGTCTCGTCTCAACTCGCTCCTGCATCTAGTGTTTGACGCTCTCGAACTCATCGATGGCTCTCCCTCTGTTCTCCTTCCTCTCCCTCTCCCTCTTCTCACCTTATAACAGAAACTATTCACGTCACATCTTTCATTATGGCCAAAGGAAATCGTTTGAATTCATCCAAGGTTAATGTTTTGAACGGCACGTCTTGATTTAACATGCTCATCTCTCCATTAATCTAAACGGGAAGCACATACGCACACTTCATTGGAAAGAACGGTGTTACAGGGTTAATGTTAACTGAGCAACTGATTAAACCTGATTCTAATTACGGGGAGAATTGAAACGGTCTACAGGAGTATTACTGAGCAACGTCAATCTAATCTCCTCTCGGCTCGCTCTCTCTCTCTCTCTCTCTCTCTCTCTCTCTCTCTCTCTCTCTCTCTCGCTCTCTCTCGCTCTCTCTCTCTCTCTCTCTCGCTCTCTCTCTCTCTCCTCTCTCTCTCTCTCTCTCTCTCTCTCTCTCTCTCCTCTCTCTCTCTCTCTCTCTCTCTCTCTCTCTCTCTCTCTCTCTCTCTCTCTGATGTTTGAGTGGAGAGGAAAAAATAGAATGGATGTTTTTCTACATGTTTAAGAGCTCTTAGTACCGTATGACCAGGGTTTCCGTTAGCCGGTAAATGACGGCTTTTGGCGGATAAAAAAAATGAAAAGCCGATAAAGAAAATGTTGCCGGCCAAATTGTCCGGGAGAAAAATTATATCCATTGCAAAATAAAGCTTTTTATTCATTGATGGAAAACCAGTCGAATTACAAATTTTAATTTTACAATGATCTGAATGTGATTTTCAGCACTGCGGGTGGATGCCCTAATGCGTTACGCACCCAATGCATATGGATGTCCGGTAAATTAAAATCTTGCTGGTCACGTTGTCTGGTGCCACATTTTTGTAACGGAAACCCTGCGTATGACTGACCTGCCTCTTTTGGCTTGCTCTCTCTCTCTGTCTGTAATCTGTAATCATGACGTGCTTTGAGAGGCTGGTTATAGCACACATAAACTCCATCATCCCAGACACCCTAGACCCACCATAATTTGCATACCGCCTCAACAGATCCATAGACAACACAATCTCCATTGCACTCCACACTGCCCTCACCGACCTAGATAAGAGGAATACCTATGTGAGAATGCTGTTCATTGACTCCAGCTCAGCGTTCAACACCATTTTCCCCTCCAAACTCATCACCAAGCTTAGGACCCTGGGACTGAACACCTTCTGCAACTGGATCCTGGTCTTCCTGACGGGCCGACCCCAGGTGGTGAGGGTAGGTAACATCACCTCCGCCACACTGACCCCCAACACGGGGGCCCCACAGGGGTGTGTGCTTAGTCCCTTCCTGTTCTCCATGTTCACCCACAACTGCTTGGCCACACACAACTCCAACACCATCATCAAGTTTGCTGATGACACGACATTGACCTGGCAGTGTGGGGCCGGAACAACAACCTCTCCCTTAACGTCAGTAAGACCAAGGAGCTGATTGTGGACTACAGGAAAGGGGGGGGGGGGGGGGGGGGGGCAGCAGCACGTCCCCATCCACATCAATGGGGCTGCAGTGGAGCAGGTCGAGAGCTTTTAAGTTCCTCTGTGTCCTAATCACTAAGAACTTAAAATGGTCCACACACACGCACAGTCGTGAAGAAGGCGCGACAGTGCCTCTTCCTCCTCAGGAGGTTGAAAAGGTTTGTCATGGGCCCTCAATAAGTTATACAGCTGTACCAATGAGAGCGTATTGACTGGCTGCATCACTGCTTGGTATGGCAATAGCACCGCCCTCGATCGCATGGCGCTACAGAGGGTGGTGCGGACAGCCCAGTACATCACTGTGACTGAGCTCCCTGCCATCCAGGACCTCTATATCAGTCTGTGTGAAAGGAAGGCCCAGAAAATCGTTAAAGACTCCAACCACCCAAGCAACTGTTCTCTGCTTCCACACGGCAAGCGGTACCGGTGCATCAAGTCTGACACCAACAGGCTCCTGAACAGCTTCTATCCCCATGCCATAAAACTGCTAAATAGCTAACTAAATAGCTACACGGACGATCTTTTGTTTTTTATTCTTATTTTTGCACTGTCTCTATGCACACTCACAGGGCCCTACACACTACGCACACTGATACTCCAACACGCATACATACAGTCGTGGTCAAAAGTTTTGAGAATGACACAAGTATTGGTCTTCACAAAGTTCGCTGCTTCAGTGTTATGAGATATTTTTGTCAGATGTTACTATGGTATACTGAAGTATAATTACAAGCATTCCATAAGTGTCAAAGGCTTTTATTGACAATTACATTAAGTTTATGCAAAGAGTCAATATTTGCAGTGTTGAACCTTCTTTTTCAAGACCTCTGCAATCCGCCATGGCATGCTGTCAATTAACTTCTGGGCCACATCCTGACTGATGACAGCCCATTCTTGCATAATCAATGCTTGGAGTTTGTCAGAATTTGTGGGTTTTTGTTTGTCCACTCGCCTGTTGAGGATCGACAGTGGGAGAAGTTGCTCTCGGAGGATGTGTTGGTACCATTCTTTATTCATGGCTTGGTTCTCAAAATTATAAGTGAGCCCACTCCCTTGGCTGAGAAGCAACCCCACACATGAATGGTCTCAGGATGCTTTACTGTTGGCATGACACAGGACTGATGGTATGACACAGGACTGATGGTAGCGCTCACCTTGTCTTCTCCGTACAAGGTGTTTTCCGGATGCCCCAAGCAATCGGAAAGGGGATTAATCCGAGAAAATGACTTTACCCCAGTCCTCAGCAGTCCAATCCCTGTACCTTTTGCAGAATATTTGTCTGTCCCTGATGTTTTTCCTGGAGAGAAGTGTCTTCTTTGCTGCCCTTCTTGACACCAGGCCATCCTCCAAAAGTCTTCGCCTCACTGTGCATGCAGATGCAGTCACACCTGCCTGCTGCTATTGCTGAGCAAGCTCTGCACTGGTGGTGCCCCGATCCCGCAGCTGAATCAACTTTAGGAGACGGTCCTAGCGCTTGCTGGACTTTCTTGGGCGCCCTGACGCCTTCTTCACAACAATTGAACCTCTCTCCTTGAAGTTATAATATAATAACAAGTTCTTGATGATCTGATAAATGGTTGATTTAGGTGCAATCTTACTAGCAGCAATATCCTTGCCTGTGAAGCCCTTTTTGTGCAAAGCAATGATGACGGCACGTGTTTCCTTGCAGGTAACCATGGTTAACAGAGGAAGAACAATGATTTCAAGCACCACCCTCATTTTAAAGCTTCCAGTCTGTTATTCTAACTCATTCAGCATGACAGAGTGATCTCCAGCCTTGTCCTCGTCAACACTCTCACCTGTGTTAACGAGATAATCACTGACATGATGGCAGCTGGTCCTTTTGTGGCAGGGCTGAAATGCAGTGGAAATGTTTTTTGGGGATTAAGTTCATTTTCATGGCAAAGAGGGACTTTGCAATTAATTGCAATTCATCTGATCACTCTTCATGACATTCTGGAGTATATGCAAATTGCCATCATCAAAACTGAGGCAGCAGACTTTGTGAAAATTAGTATTTGTGTCATTCTCAAAACTTTTGACCACGACTTTTGACTCACTCCATCATTTGCTCACGCACACATAATGCACATACATTTATACTGACTACACACAATCACTCACATACAATCATCATAAATGCTGCTGCTACTCTGTTTATCATATCCTGATGCCTAGTCACCTTACCCCTATACATATCTACCTCTATCAATCCAGTATCCCTGCACATTGTAAATATGGTACTGGAACTGACCTTGTATATAGTATGCTTACTTTATCGTGTTCTTATTTTTATAGCTTGTGTGTTTTTGTTCTACCCTGTTATTTTTAGTATTACATTGTTATTGATTCCTGCATTGTTGTGGTTAGAGCTTGCAAGAAAGGCATTTCACTGCATGTGACATTCACTTTAAACTTGTCTCTCTCTCTCTCTCTCTGATGTTTGAGTGGATAGGAGAAAATAGAATGAATGTTTTTCTACATGTTTAAGAGCTCTTAGTACCGTATGACTAACCTCTCTCTCTCTCTCTCTCCCTCACTCACTCATTCATTCATTCATTCACTCACTCACTCTCTCTCTCTCTCTCTCTCTCTCTCTCTCTCTCTCTCTCTCTCTCTCCTCTCTCTCTCTCTCTCTCTCTCTCTCTCTCTCTCTCTCTCACTCTCTCTCTCTCTCTCTCTCTCTCTCTCTCAGGTGAGTATATCCAGATGGCTGGTAGGAGAGGTCTGGATGCCACAGGCACTGTCATCATCCTCTGTAAGTCAGGGGTACATGACATGGGAGACCTACATGTCATGATGCTGGTAAGGCTTCCATCAGAATGTACTGTTGTCTTCCATTTAATACCACTACATCAGTGTTATAAAACATTTTTGTGATCAACTTTTTATACTTTTTTTGCTGACAGGACAAACAAACACAAACCAACAGATGTTACACAAATATACATTTATCTCCCTCCACTTTCCACCTGCAGGACTCTCTTACTTGAGTGCATATATCAAAGTAGGGATTTTAAAGTATTGTGGTCCATATGTTAATATTGTCTGACTTTGCACCATGCAGTCAACAGATTGACAGTTCAAGTTGAACAATGTCCATGAATGAGAAAATCCATTGCTGATGTGGCAGAATGTGTGGGGCTTGCCATCGTAAGGAAACCATTCTCTTGGCTGCTGTTAGGCCAGCAAGCCAAATCCTTCTTTGCCTGTATGTTAGGTTCAGTGAAGTATCATCATTAAGCAGTAGCACATTGGAAGGACATGGGATGGGTTTAGACAAAATGCTTGATAATGATGAAGCCACCGATTGCCAAAAGGAACCATATGAATGAATGTGCCAGGAGTACCCTGGAGGCAGAGCATACAGACAGTGGTTGAATTTATGTTCATCTGAAAAAGTTTTTTCAGAGTCACATAACTTGTGTGCAAAATTGTAGTGGGTGATTTGGGTTTCTTGAGAATGTAATGTTGGACCAGACAGTACTCCAGTTAATATCTACTGCTGGTATAGCTTAGGTATGGGCATTTGAAAAAATGTCACTATTTACATTTTGACACATATCCGGATAGTCCTTTGTTTAAACTTGGACACTTGTTTTCTGCGCACCCTACACAACACGGGAGAGACTGTGCGCGCTGCAGCAGGGTGGGGGATCGGCAGTGGTCGGTGGTGTGTGCATGGGAGGGAGAGAGAAAAAGTAGCCACTGACTCGCGCTAGTTAGACAAACTTGTAAATGCCATAGGTTATCTATCATCCCATCTGGCAGTGCCTGTCTTTACTGCGTCAAATCAATGTAAAGAAGCTAGCTAAGATGTTAGCTAGCCAGCTAGTTGAGGCTATTTTGCTATGCTCCACCTCACCGTCCTTGTCCACAACTCAATTCATATTAAACAACAGCCTTCCTGTTTGTTGATCATTGTAGCCTACTCCTTCTCATTTAACTAATTGAATTTGAATTCCATTTTGCATTGATTAGAGATCTCCCACTTCACATTGCTACACATGGAGTCTCTGACTGTAGTGCCAACAATAAGCTACACGCATGAAACACCTGTGTAGACTATAGCTACAGTATGTATTTTTATGCGGCTCATGTCATAAAAACTATATTCAAAAGTTAGTTTTTATTAAATTTAGAATTTCAAATGTCATGGTATATCCTTCCTTGTATGTAGCAATGCCATGTAGATTATTTAATTTAATTAAGACAACGCCTTTTAATTGTTAAAATAGGCCTATGATTTGTTATAAAAAAAAAAAAAGAATACTCTCTTAAGTATTCGAAATTTGAGGTCCATTCAGATATTAAGGTCTGTTCAGATATTCGTATATTCTAATAACCATGCCCATCCCTAGTATATTTGTGTTCCATTTTGAATGTATTGGTAATTGATGATATGTTGCTTTGAATAAGGAATACAAATATAAACGCAACATGCAACAATTTCAAAGACTTGACTGAGTTATAGTTCATATAAGGAAATCAGTCAATTTAAATACATTCATTAGGCCCTAATCTATGGATTTCACATGACTGGGAATACAGATATGGATCTGTTGGTCACAGATACCTTAAAAAAAGGTAGGGGCGTGGATCAGAAAACCAGTCAGTATCTGGTGTGACCACCACTTGCCTCATGTAGTGTGACACATCTCCTTCACATAAGAGTTGATCAGGCTGTTGATTGTGGCCTGTGGAATGTTGTCCCACTCCTCTTCAATGGCTGTGCGAAGTTGCTGGATATTGGCAGGAACTGGAACACGCTGTCATACATCGATCCAGAGCATCCCAAACATGCTCAATGGGTGACATGTCTGGTGAGCATGCTGGCCGTGGAAGAAATGGGACATTTTCAGATTCCAGGAATTGTGTACTTGCGACAAGGGGCCTTGCATTATCATGTTGAAACATGAGGTGATGGCGGCAGATGAATGGCACGACAGTGGGCCTCATGATCTCGTCACAGTATCTCTGTGCATTCAAATTGCCATCGATAAAATGCAATTGTGTATGTTGTCCGTAGCTTATGCCTGCCCATACCATAACCCCACCGCCACCATGGGGCACTCTGTTAACAACGTTGACATCAGCAAACTGCTCTCCCACACAACGCCATTAGCCCGGTACAGTTGAAACCGGGATTCATCCATGAAGAGCACACTTCTCCAACTTGCCAGTGGCCATTGAAGGTGAGCATTTGCCCACTGAAGTCGGTTACGACGCCAAACTGTAGTCAGGTCAAGACCCTAGTGAGGACAATGAGCACACAGATTAGCAGTTTGTGCAGAAATTCTTCGGTTGTGCAAATCCACAGTTCCATCAGCTGTCTGGGTGGCTGGTCTCAGACGATCCCGCAGGTGAAGAAGTCGGATGTGGACGTCCTGGGCTGGCGTGGTTACATGTGGTCTACGGTTGTGAGGCGGGTTGGACGTACTGCCAAATTCTCTAAAACGACATTGGAGACGGATTATGGTAGAGAAATTAACTTTAAATTCTCTGGCAACAGCTCTGGTGGGCATTCCTGCAGTCAGCATGCCAATTGCACGCTCCCTCAAAACTTGAGACATCTGTGGCATTGTGTTGTGTGACAAAACTGCACATTTTAGAGTGGTCTTTTATTGTCCCCAGCACAAGGTACCCCTGTGTAATGATCACGCTGTTTAATCTGCTTTTTGATATGCCATACCATGTCAAGTGGATGGATTATTTTGGCAAAGGAGAAATGCTCACTAAAAGGGATGTAAACAAATTTCTGCAAAAAAATTTTTTATGTGTGTATATAATTTGGTCAAGACTATGCCCTTACTTACCCTTGCTGTCATTATTTTGTGAATTGGATGAGATACTAGCTCTGAACCCCAGGTTACGTAGAGCAGAACGAAGCTGCAAATAAAAGAAAAATGAAGGACCATGCAGATTGTATTGCTTTTCAAGTCTTGGTGATTATTTATTTTTTGTAAAAAAAAATCTTCAAAAAAGAATAACATTTGGGAGTATTAATGATTTTTAAACAATTCTGCATTACTTTTTACAATGAAAATTGTTTAATAAACATCCGTCTGTTACATTCAATGATTAAATTGATACAAAATTTGACCGCTAAAATATTCTATGTTAAAAAACTCTGCTTACATTTGAGAGTGATTTGGTGGTCCCTGGAAAGGAAAAGTTTAGGAACCGCTGCTCTACATCACAGTCGGTTCTTTTGTTAGAAGTGTATTACTTGGCTTACTTTTCCCATGGGTGAGGGGATAGCTCATATAATTAGAAAGGGATTGCTATTCTAACAAGGATATAATAATGAAATCCCATATTTTGTATTTAAATCCGAAATCCCTCAATAGGTTCCATCTACCTCGCCCTCTAAGTGCTCCTCCGTTGCACAGAATATAGGCTGAGTCCCAATTGGCACCCTATGCCCTATGTAGTGCACTACTTTTGACCAGGGCCCATAGGGAACTGGTCAAAAGTAGTGCATTATGTAGGGTTTGGAAATAGGGTGCCATTTAGGAAAAAGCCATACACTCCTCAAGGGTTGCTGCATGCTAGATTGTATAAACAAGTGCCTCATTAAACTGTCAAGGGCTTTATTTTTAACCAACCTCTCTAATGTGGGGCTTTTGAGTGGACTTTAATGTGGGGCTTTGGAGTGGACTATTTCCATCCTCAATTGGTCCTCCTGTTTCTATACTGTACTGTAGAAAACATGATCATATTTCCCGATCACCCTCTCGCTGCCCACTGCCATTTGTTGATCAATTGTTGGATCAATCTTCGGATAAATTGTTTTAGCCTTATGCTAACAGTCATTGCTTGATAGCAGTGGTAGCTAATCGCTAACTGTTAGTGTATAACTATGGCCCCGAGTTTTTCATCAGGGAAAAATGTAGGCTCCTATAACAGTTGTTTGCTTTGCTAATTGCTGTCTATATGATTAGAAATGCTCAACTTCATCCTCCGTACCTCCACCCTGTGTGATCTAGCACTAACCTTTCTCAATCGACATTGAAAGGTTCTGCTCCATTACCTCCATTTAGTGTATACAACATAAAAGTGACATTCATTTTAAATTACATACATTTGAATGACACTTCTTCTTTGTCGTCCAGGGTAAGTGACGGGGTGATTTTGACCGTTTCCTACTACAAAAAGAGTCTAAATGGATCCACCTCCTAGATACTGTCGCTCCCCACGGATTAAACAAACCAACTATAGCTAAACTGTTTTCTCTAGTATACCTAGACCTTCCTAGACTTGACCAGTAGCATTTTGTGTATTTTCCTTGTTCTTCTGAGTTTTTTGTTAATCGCCATGGTGTGCGTTGTCTTTTACGCAACAGTGCATGAATTGTATTTTACGCACACAACTCTAAAACATTAACCCTTTACGCACTTCCATTGTATACATCCCTGTGCGTTATTTTTCATGTTGCCCCTATACACTGACGTGATCATGTTGTGTGTGTATATATATATGTTTTGTATATAGTTTATTTTCCTGACATGTGACATTTACTTGCCCCACCTCTATTTCTAGAGACACGTCACCTTCCGTCTACAATGCTGCCTGTGGAAGACTAGTAGTCGAAATGCGTTACAGTTGTGCGTCCTGATGTACAATGCTGACTGCTCCTATGTATTATTTTGTAAATATATTCAGTTAGTAGTTCACTAAAGTTTAATGCAACGTACTGGCCGCCTACTCGTCTTCTTTCTTCGTCCAGGGGAAGCCCACAGTGCTGCAATCCCAGTTCAGGCTGACCTACACCATGATTCTCAACCTGCTGCGTGTGGAGGCCCTCCGAGTCACCGACATGATGATGAGGAGTTTCTCTGAGAGCCACAGAGACACACAGGTACTGTACTACATAACCCACAAGCACTTGGGACAAAAGACTAGAGATAATGCATGACACGACCTATGAGGACTACCAGTTTTAAAAATGTGACTACATTTAAAAAACCAGAGCTCCTTTATCAAAGGCCCATTCAGCTTTTGATACAGTTGAAGTCGGAAGTTGACATACACATAGGTTGGAGTCATTAAAACTCATTTTTCAACCACTCCACAAATGTCTTGTTAACAAACTATAGTTTTGACAAGTCGGTTAGGACATCTACTTTGTGCATGACACAAGTAATTGTTCCAACAATTGTTTACAGACAGATTATTTCACTTATAATTCACTGTATCACAATTCCAGTGGGTCAGATGTTTACATACACTAAGTTGACTGTGCCTTTAAACAGCTTGGAAAATTCCAGAAAATGATGTCATGGCTTTAGAAGCTTCTGATAGGCTAATTGACATAATTTGAGTCAATTGGAGGTGTACCTGTGGATGTATTTCAAGGCCTACCTTCAAACTCAGTGCCTCTTTGCTTGACATCATGGGAAAATCAAAAGAAATCAGCCAAGACCTCAGAAAAGAAATTGTAGACCTCCACAAGTCTGGTTTATCCTTGGGAGCAATTTCCAAACGCCTGAAGGTACATCGTTCATCTGTACAAACAATAGTACGCAAGTATAAACACCATGGGACCACGCAGCCGCCATACAGCTCAGGAAGGAGGGGCGTTCTGTCCCTAGAGATTAACGTACTTTGGTGCGAAAAGTGCAAATCAATCCCAGAACAACAGCAAAGGACCTTGTGAAGATGCTGGAGGAAACAGGTACAAAAGTATCTATATCCACAGTAAAATGAGTCCTATATCGACATAACCTGAAAGGCCGCTCAGCAAGGAAGAAGCCACTACTCCAAAACCGCCATAAAAAAAGACAGACTACGGTTTGCAACTGCACATGGGGACAAAGATCGTACTTTTTGGAGAAATGTCCTCTGGTCTGATGAAACAAAAATAGAACTGTTTGGCCATAATGACCATCGTTATGTTTGGAGGAAAAAGGGGGTGGCTTGCAAGTCGAAGAACACCATTCCAACCGTGAAGCACAGGGGTGGCAGCATCATGCTGTGGGGGTGCTTTGCTGCAGGAGGGACTGGTGCACTTCACAAAATAGATGGCATCATGAGGAAGGAAAATGATGTGGATATATTGAAGCAACATCTCAAGACATCAGTCAGGAAGTTAAAGCTTGGTCGCAAATGGGTCTTCCAAATGGACAATGACCCCAAGCATACTTCCAAAGTTGTGGCAAAATGGCTTAAGGACAACAAAGTCAAGGTATTGGAGTGGCCATCACAAAGCCCTGACCTCAATCCTATCGAAAATGTGTGGGCAGAACTGAAAAAGCGTGTGCGAGCAAGGAGGCCTACAAACCTGACTCAGTTACACCAGCTCTGTCAGGAGGAATGGGCCAAAATTCACCCAACTTATTGTGGGAAGCTTATGGAAGGCTACCCGACACGTTTGACCCAAGTTAAACAATTTAAAGGCAATGCTACCAAATACTAATTGAATGTATGTAAACTTCTGACCCACTGGGAATGTGATGAAAGAAATAAAAGCTTAAATAAATCATTCTCTCTACTATTATTCTGACATTTCACATTCTTAAAATAAAGTGGTGATCCTAACTGACCTAAGACAGGGAACTTTTACTAGGATTAAATGTCAGGAATTGTGAAAAATAAATGTATTTGGCTATTTGTTGTCACATTTATTTATGCTTATTGAGGATCTACATTCATCTATATGATTTTCCTACATAAAGTCTCTCTCTCCAACCTGCGTTTGTATGTATTTGTGTGTGTATATCGGAGGAGTTGGGTAAAAAAAGCAGAAGACACATTTCCAGCTCATATGAACTAATAAAAGTATATATTGTCTTGTCCTCTTTCTCCTCTCTTTCTCTCAGGCCCATGAGCAGCAGATAGGTCAGTTGAAACAGACTCTGTCCTCTCTCCCGCTTCTGGACATGGAGGGTCAGCTGTCTGACCTACTGCCATACTACTACACTGTCACTGAGCTACGCATCACCGCTGAGGCGCTGCAGGTACACGCACAACATAGTATAGAGGCACACACACACACACAAAGACACACATGTGCCCACAGACAGACACTCACGTATGTATAACACACACACTGTCTCAGAACACTCAAGCTCAAACCACATCACAAAACAACTCAAGATAATTGATTGTGCAAAAGTGTCATCATCTGAAAAAATATACAACATCACTATTATTAGCTAATTGTCCATCTCTCATCTGTCAGTGTGAAGTTCTGGGGTCCGTGAATGGGTTGAAGGCTCTCTCCGTGGGACGGGTGGTAGTGGTCAACAACAAACAGCACTTCAACGCCCTCGGAGTCCTACAGGTGTGTGTGTGTCTGTGTGTGTGTGGACTGCAACTTGTTTTAGGTGACAAAGACATTTCTCACTTCTCCTCTCATCCTTCCATTCTTTAATTTCTCTCCCAGGTGTCCAGCGACTCAGTGAATCGTACGTTTACTGCTCTCATCATCTGTGAGAAAGGCAACGAAGAGGGAGGAGGGGACAGCCCCAACGCCAGTGCCTTCCCCCAACTCTACAACACTGCCCTCTTTATACCTGAGGGTCAGTTCATGCACATATATATTCATGCACACACACACTGATTGATGCTCAACCTCTCCCTATTAGAGACATACACATTTACCAATAAAGACTCACCATACACACGCACACAGCTGTCTAAACACACACACACACACAGCTAATTGAACACACACACACACACACACACACACACACACACACACACACACACACACACACACACACACACACACACAGCTACTTGAACACACACACATGCTAACACTAACTAACAAGCTCACATAAGCTTAAACTGAATAACCAATAACGATTGTGTACGTTCTATATGATCCGCTGATAGGTCCCTGCAGTCACACGGTCCAGAAGCTGAAGCTACAGGACGTGTCAGCCATCACAGTCAAGACCCTGAAGGTGATCCCTGACCAAATTATTGACAACTATAACAAGAGGCAGCAGCCGCGCTTCAGGTGTGTGTGTGTGACACTGTGTGTGTGTGTGTGTGTGTGCATTCATGCATTATCATGTAGCGTATACAGTATGTTTCAGCCTTTTTGCATATTATGGCTCCATGTTTATCTATGCAAATGAGGGGTTACATCTGTGATGTCATCATGACCACTCAACAGTGTCTATCCATCTGCCTTCCTTTTTTGAATAGCACTCTACATATCATTGAATGCACAGAAATAAAGAGCCACCACTCTTGAGTCTATTTTCATCTTTCTCTCCTTCCTTCCCCTTCCATCCTTTCTCCCTCCCTCCATTTCTCACAGGCTTGATCCTCCGGGCCAAGCCATCTCCACGGCATCCCAGGAGCTCCTGCGATTGGCGGAGGCCAACCCAGGCGGGGTGGTGACCCTTGACGCGGTGAACGACCTCCAGCTGAAGAGTGTGGATGTGGTGGAGGGCACCATGAGGCTGCACGTTCTGCAGGACAGCCTCAAAGACTTCAACTGCATCCACTCACCCACCTTCTCAGAACAGGTGTGTGTGCGCGTGTGTTTATGTGTGTGTGTGTGTGTCACTTCCAAACACTGACCTGATATTGCCATAATGATGTTGGAGCACTCGTATAATGAACAGAGACCGGTCTGACAGACTGACTGTCTCCACACACCTGCGTCCTCCTCGGTCTTCCTCTCTTTCCCTCTGTCTTTTCCACTTCATTCTCCCTTTCCAGCAGTGCTGATATAGGATCCGTTACTGTCTTTTCGATCATAATGAATTAAATTACATGGACAGGGTGGACCTGATCCTAGATCAGCACTCCTACTCTGAGACTCTTTATGAATACACGCCCTGGACTCTTTTTATTCTTCTTTCTAATAGTAATTAGTCAGACTGTAATTTCTTTGGGCCTGCACCATTGTTTCCATTATCCGGTAATAGCCAGCTTTTGGTCGCTATTATTTTTTAAAGCTGCTAAATAGAATTTAGCCTATTCATTGATTGAAATACAAGTCGATGTAGGTCGAGAGCTCAAACAGCTGTTTGTTGCTGCTGGAGTGAAACATGTGCTTTAATAAGCCCAATCATTAAGTGACAATACTAAAGGCAATCACGTAAACATTTTTAAAAAAAAGACTGTTAATTGAAGCGCGCTTCGCATTCGCCATTCAAGTTCATAGGCAACTAGGCAGGCTTCAGCACGTCACACCACTTTGCATTGAGCTGGAGGCAGTATGCATTTTGAAAACATATACTTAATTGTTTGAAACCTAAATGTTTTACTACATATAGGCATGTCTTACCTTGCTTCAAAGTAGCCTAGCCAAAACCCAACCAAACTTGCAGGCAATTATTTTATAAAGACCTCCAAAGGCCATTGAAACCAGTAGCCTTTTTCTCCCATTGGTTTTTTAAAACAACTTTCTTTCATTGTCCAGTAGCCAAAAGCACAAGCCTAGTTATATTAGCAACCCATGTCAGTTGTTGCATACTTAAATTTCCACTCTTGCAAAATTTCTAACGGAAATGTTCATCTCTGTCACATGAAACATCTCACAATGGTGTTTTCCCCCTAGTTGCATTAAGGAACTAACTTTACAACTAACACACTGTGCATAGCCTACTGCCTTGTGCTCATTGCTGCGTTCATAATGTTAAGAAATAATAGTTTGTCAACATTTTATGCTAAAAGTTCTGATCTGTTGCATGAGCCTCATTGCTTTTTAAAGTTTTTTGGAGGTACAGTGCTTTGCAAAAGTATTCATCCCCCTTCGCGTTTTTCCTATTCTGTTGCATTACAACTTGTAATTTAAATGGATTTTTATTTGGATTTCATGTTATGGGCACACACAAAATAGTACAAATTGGTGAAGTGAAATGAAAAATATAACTTCTTTCAAAAAATTCTACAAAATAAATAACGAAAAAGTGGTGCGTGCATATGTATTCACCCCCTTTGCTATGAAGCCCCTAAATAAGATCTGGTGCAACCCCAATTACCTTCAGAAGTCACATAATTAGTTAAATAAAGTCCACCTGTGTGCAATCTAAGTGTCACATGATCTGTCACATGATCTCAGTATATATACACCTGTTCTGAAAGGCCCCAGAGTCTGCAACACCACTAAGCAAGGGGCACCACCAAGCAAGCGGCACCATGAAGACCAAGGAGCTCTCCAAACAGGTCAGGGACAAAGTTGTGGAGAAGTACAGATCAGGGTTGGATTATAAAAAAATATCAGAAACTTTGAACATTCCACGGAGCACCATTAAATCCATTATTAAAAAATGGAAAGAATATGGCACCACAACAAACCTGCCAAGAGGCGGCCGCCCACCAAAGCTCACGGACCAGGCAAGGAGGGCATTAATCAGAGAGAGAGGCAACAAAGAGACCGAAGATAACCCTGAAGGAGCTGCAAAGCTCCACAGCGGAGGTTGGAGTATCTGTCCATAGGACCACTTTAAGCCGTACACTCCACAGAGCTGGGCTTTACGGAAGAGTGGACAGAAAAAAGCCATTGCTTAAATTAAGAAATAAGCAAACACGTTTGGAGTTCGCAAAAAGGCATGTGGGAGACTCCCCAAACATATGGAAGAAGGTACTCTGGTCAGATGAGACTAAAATAGAGCTTTTGGTGGCTGCATCATGCTGTGGGGATGTTTGTCATCGGCAGGGACTGGGAAACTGGTCAGAATTGAAGGAATTATGGATGGCGCTAAATACAGGGAAATTCTTGAGGGAAACCTGTTTCAGTCTTCCAGAGATTTGAGACTGGGACAGAGGTTCACCTTCCAGCAGGACAATGACCCTAAGCATACTGCTAAAGCAACACTCGAGTGGTTTAAGGGGAAACATTTAAATGTCTTGGAATGGCCTAGTCAAATCCCAGACCTCAATCCAATTGAGAATCTGTGGTATGACTTAAAGATTGCTGTACACCAGTGGAACCCATCCAACTTGAAGGAGCTGCAGCAGTTTTGCCTTGAAGAATGGGCAAAAATCCCAGTGGCTAGATGTGCCAAGCTTATAGAGACATACCCCAAGAGACTTGCAGCTGTAATTGCTGCAAAAAGTGGCTCTACAAAGTATTGACTTTGAGGGGGTGAATAGTTATGCACGCTCAAGTTTTCTGTTTTTTTGTCTTCTTTCTTGTTTGTTTCACAAAAATGCATCTTCAAAGTGGTAGGCATGTTGTGTAAATCAAATGATACAAACCCCCTAAAAATCAATTTTAATTCCAGGTTGTAAGGCAACAAAATAGGAAAAATGCCAAGGGGGGTGAATACTTTCGCAAGCCACTGTAGCCTAGGCCTACTGGTTATATTAATTTAGGATCTATCGTCCCACAACTGTCCCAGAGTCTGTTTGGAAAAGGCTTTCTTTCTCGCACAGAACGACAAGCTGACCAATAGAATATGTCAACTTTTCTACTATGGGGGATAGTAGATTGACATAGTCTAGTGATTTTGCTGTTCGTTACTCATCTTGTGGCTGAGGAAAAGTAAATGTGGGCAGTTATTCTAACATAGGCGGCGTGTGGTTTTAAGTTTGGTGAAGCTAATATTCACCATTAAAATGCACTTATATAATAAAGCATTCCTCGCATTTGCAGACTTACAGTACCAGTCAAACGTTTGGACACACCTACTCATTCAAGGGTTTTTCTTTATTTTTTTACTATTTTCTACATTGAGAATAGTAACTATGAAATAACACATATGGAATCGTGTAGTAACAAAGAAAGTGTTAAGCAAATCAAAATATATTTTATATTTGAGATTCTTCAAATAGCCACCCTTTGCCTTGATGACAGCTTTGCACACTCTTGGCATTCTCTCAACCAACTTCATCTGGAATGCTTTTCCAACAATCTTGAAGGAGTTCCCACATATGCTGAGCATTTGTTGGCCGCTTTTCCTTCACTCTGCCGTCCGACTCATCCCAAACCATCTCAATTGGGTTGAGGTTGGGGGATTGTGGAGGCCAGGCCATCTAATGCAGCACTCCATCACTCTCCTTCTTGGTAAAATAGCCCTTACACAGCCTGGAGGTGTGTTGGGTCATTGTCCTGTTGAAAAACAAATGATAGTCCCATTAAGCCCAAACCAAACGTATCGCTGCAGAATGCTGTGGTAGCCACGCTGGTTAAGTGTGCCTTGAATTCTAAATAAATCACAGACAGTGTCACCAGGATAGGCACCCCCACACCATAACACCTCCTCCATGCTTTACGGTGGGAACTACACATGCGGAGATCATCCGTTCACCCACACCGCGTCTCACAAAGACACGGCGGTTGGAACCAAGAATCTCCAATTTGGACTCTAGACCAAAGGACACATTTCCACTGGTCTAATGTCCATTGCTTGGGTTTCTTGGCCCAAGCAGGTCTCTTCTTATTATTGGTGTCCTTTGGTAGTGGTTTCTTTGCAGCAATTCGACCATGAAGGCCTGATCCACACAGTCCCCTCTGAACAGCTGATGTTGAGATGTATCTGTGACTTGAGCTCTGTGAAGCATTTATTTGGGCTGCAATTTCTGAGGCTGGTAACTCCAATGAACTTATCCTCTACAGCAGAGGTAACTCTGGGTCTTCCATTCCTGTGGCGGTCCTCATGAGAGCCAGTTTCATCATAGCGCTTGATGGTTTTTGCGACTGCACTTGAAGAAACTTTCAAAGTTCTTGATATTTTCCGTATTGACTGACCTTCATGTCTTAAAGTAATGCTTGACTGTCGTTTCTCTTTGCTTATTTGAGCTGTTCTTTCCATAATATGGACTTGGTCTTTTACCAAATAGGGCTATCTTCTGTATACCCCCACTACCTTGTCACAACACAACTGATTGGCTCAAACGCATTAAGGAAAGAAATTCCACAAATTAACCTTTAAGAAGGCACACCTATTAATTGAAATGCATTCCAGGTGACTACCTCATGAAGCTGGTTGAGAGAATGCCAAGAGTGTGCAAACTGTCATCAAGGCAAAGGGTGGCTATTTGAAGAATCTCAAATATAACAAATATTTTGATTTGTTTAACACTTCTTTGGTTACTACATGATTCCATATGTGTTATTTCATAGTTTTGATGTCTTCACTATTATTCTACAATGTAGAAAATAGTAGAAAAACCCTTGAATGAGTAGGTGTGTCCAAACGTTTGACTGGTAGTGTATGTAAGAAAGCCTACTATTCCTAATGTGATGATTAGATTGGATAGTCATAATTTAGTCTAATAATATAAGTAAATTACTGTTCACAAAAAAATACTGTTCAATGCAGCGCGTAGTTGCATAGAGTAGGCCTAGGCTATATCAGATAGCCTACATTTCTTCTCCTTTCTTTGCACAGGAAAATGTTGGCCTTTTATAAACACATTTCATGCAACTCTACTACACTTTATATAACTGGAGACATTAGCAGAATCTTTTTTAATACAACAAAAATTACAGGAGAGGTTGAGAGTAGAAGAAGTTCAGGAGAAAGAACAAACAAAATGTAATTACTGTAAAATTGACTGTGTCCATAAAATGTAGATAGTGGGTATGGGCTGGAAGTAGAGGCCTAGGCGTTGTTGTTCACTAGTTCGTGGGGAAAGGGTGGCGGGTTGGTAAGTAATGAAGGGGAATATATATATTTTTAAAAAGGATATGTACAGTGGGGAAAAAAAGTATTTAGTCAGCAACCAATTGTGCAAGTTCTCCCACTTAAAAAGATGAGAGAGGCCTGTAATTTTCATCATAGGTACAAATCAACTATGACAGACAAAATGAGAAAAAAAAATCCAGAAATTCACATTGTAGGATTTTTTATGAATTTATTTGCAAATTATGGTGGAAAATAAGTATTTGGTCAATAACAAAAGTTTCTCAATACTTTGTTATATACCCTTTGTTGGCAATGACACAGGTCAAATGTTTTCTGTAAGTCTTCACAAGGTTTTCACACACTGTTGCTGGTATTTTGGCCCATTCCTCCATGCAGATCTCCTCTAGAGCAGTGATGTTTTGGGGCTGTCGCTGGGCAACACAGACTTTCAACTCCCTCCAAAGATTTTCTATGGCATTGAGATCTGGAGACTGGCTAAGCCACTCCAGGACCTTGAAATGCTTCTTACGAAGCCACTCCTTCGTTGCCCGGGCGGTGTGTTTGGGATCATTGTCATGCTGAAAGACCCAACCACGTTTCATCTTCAATGCCCTTGCTGATGGAAGGAGGTTTTCACTCAAAATCTCACGATACATGGCCCCATTCATTCTTTCCTTTACACGGATCAGTCGTCCTGGTCCCTTTGCAGAAAAACAGCCCCAAAGCATGATGTTTCCACCCCCATGCTTCACAGTAGGTATGGTGTTCTTTGGATGCAACTCGGCATTCTTTGTCCTCCAAACACGACGAGTTGAGTTTTTACCAAAAAGTTATCTTTTGGTTTCATCTGACCATATGACATTCTCCCAATCCTCTTCTGGATCATCCAAATGCACTCTAGCAAACTTCAGACGGGGCCTGGACATGTACTGGCTTAAGCAGCGGGACACGTCTTGCACTGCAGGATTTGAGTCCCTGGCGGCGTAGTGTGTTACTGATGGTAGGCTTTGTTACTTTGGTCCCAGCTCTCTGCAGGTCATTCACTAGGTCCCCCCGTGTGGTTCTGGGATTTTTGCTCACTGTTCTTGTGATCATTTTGACCCCACGGGGTGAGATCTTGCGTGGAGCCCCAGATCGAGGGAGATTATCAGTGGTCTTGTATGTCTTCCATTTCCTAATAATTGCTCCCACAGTTGATTTCTTCAAACCAAGCTGCTTACCTATTGCAGATTCAGTCTTCCCAGCCTGGTGCAGGTCTACAATTTTGTTTCTTGTGTCCTTTGACAGCTCTTTGGTCTTGGCCATAGTGGAGTTTGGAGTGTGACTGTTTGAGGTTGTGGACAGGTGTCTTTTATACTGATAACAAGTTCAAACAGGTGCCATTAATACAGGTAACGAGTGGAGGACAGAGGAGCCTCTTAAAGAAGAAGTTACAAGTCTGTGAGAGCCAGATATCTTGCTTGTTTGTAGGTGACCAAATACTTATTTTCCACCATAATTTGCAAATAAATTCATTAAAAATCCTACAATGTGATTTTCTGGAATTGTTTTTCTCAATTTGTCTGTCATAGTTGACGTGTACCTATGATGAAAATTACAGGCCTCTCTCATCTTTTTAAGTGGGAGAACTTGCACAATTGGTGGCTGACTAAATACTTTTTTTCCCCACTGTATGTGTATGTATGTATGTATGTATGTATGTATGTATGTACAGTGAGGGAAAGTATTTGATCCCCTGCTGATTTTGTACGTTTGCCCACTGACAAAGACATGATCAGTCTATAATTTTTATGGTAGGTTTATTTGAACAGTGAGAGACTGAATAACAACAAAAAAATCCAGAAAAACACATGTCAAAAATGTTATAAATTGATTTGCAATTTAATGAGGGAAATAAGTATTTGACCCCTCTGCAAAACATGACTTAGTACTTGGTGGCAAAACCCTTGTTGGCAATCACGGAGGTCAGACGTTTCTCGTAGTTGGCCACCAGGTTTGCACACATCTCAGGAGGGATTTTGTTCCACTCCTCTTTGCAGATCTTCTCCAAGTCATTAAGGTTTCGAGGCTGACATTTGGCAACTCGAACCTTCAGCTCCCTCCACAGATTTTCTATAGGATTAAGGTCTGGAGACTGGCTAGGCCACTCCAGGACCTTAATGTGCTTCTTCTTGAGCCACTCCTTTGTTGCCTTGGCCTTGTGTTTTGGGTCATTGTCATGCTGGAATACCCATCCACGACCCATTTTCAATGCCCTGGCTGAGGGAAGGAGGTTCTCACCCAAGATTTGACGGTACATGGCCCTGTCCATCGTCCCTTTGATGCAGTGAAGTTGTCCTGTCCCCTTAGCAGAAAAACACCCCCAAAGCATAACGTTTCCACCTCTATGTTTGACGGTGGGGATGGTGTTCTTGGGGTCATAGGCAGCATTCCTCCTCCTCCAAACATGGCGAGTTGAGTTGATGCCAAAGAGATCGATTTTGGTCTCATCTGACCACAACACTTTCACCCAGTTCTCCTCTGAATCATTCAGATGTTCATTGGCAAACTTCAGACGGCCCTGTATATGTGCTTTCATGAGTCCTTCACGGCGTAGTGTGTTACCAATTGTTTTTTTGGTGACTATGGTCCCAGCTGCCTTGAGATCATTGACAAGATCCTCCCGCGTAGTTCTGGGCTGATTCCTCACCGTTCTCATGATCATTGCAACTCCACGAGGTGAGATCTTGCATGGAGCCCCAGGCCGAGGGAGATTGACAGTTATTTTGTGTTTCTTCCATTTGCGAATAATCGCACCAACTGTTGTCACCTTCTCACCAAGCTGCTTGGCGATGGTCTTGTAGCCCATTCCAGCCTTGTGTAGGTCTACAATCTTGTCCCTGACATCCCTGGAGAGCTCTTTGGTCTTGACCATGGTGGAGAGTTTGGAATCTGATTGATTGCTTCTGTGGACAGGTGTCTTTTATACAGGTAACAAGCTGAGATTAGGAGCACTCCCTTTAAAAGTGTGCTCCTAATATCAGCTCATTACCTGTATAAAAGACACCTGGGAGTCAGAAATCTTTCTGATTGAGAGGGGGTCAAATACTTATTTCCCTCATTAAAATGCAAATCAATTTATAAATTTTTTGACATGCGTTTTTCTGGATTTTTTAATTGTTATTCTGTCTCTCACTGTTCAAATAAACCTACCATTAAATTATAGACTGATAATTTCTTTGTCAGTGGGCAAACGTACAAAATCAGCAGGGGATCAAATACTTTTTTTCCTCACTGTATGTGTGTGTGTATGTGTGTATATGTATGTGTATGTATGAATATATATATATATATATACACTGCTCAAAAAAATTAAGGGAACACTTAAACAACACAATGTAACTCCAAGTCAATCACACTTCTGTGAAATCAAACTGTCCACTTAGGAAGCAACACTGATTGACAATAAATGTCACATGCTGTTGTGCAAATGGAATAGACAACAGGTGGAAATTATAGGCAATTAGCAAGACACCCCCAATAAAGGACTGGTTTTGAAGTTGGTGACCACAGACCACTTCTCAGTTCCTATGCTTCCTGGCTGATGTTTTGGTCACTTTTGAATGCTGCCGGTGCTTTCACTCTAGTGGTAGCATGAGACGGAGTCTACAACCCACACAAGTGGCTCAGATAGTGCAGCTCATCCTGGATGGCACATCCAATGCGAGCTGTGGCAAGAAGGTTTGCTGTGTCTGTCAGCGTAGTGTCCAGAGCATGGAGGCGCTACCAGGAGACAGGCCAGTACATCAGGAGACGTGGAGGAGGCCGTAGGAGGGCAACAACCCAGCAGCAGGACTGCTACCTCCACCTTTGTGCAAGGAGGAGCAGGAGGAGCACTGCCAGAGCCCTGCAAAATGACCTCCAGCAGGCCACAAATGTGCATGTGTCTGCTCAAACGGTCAGAAACAGACTCCATGAGGGTGGTATGAGGGCCCGACGTCCACAGGTGGGGGTTGTGCTTACAGCCAAACACTGTGCAGGACGTTTGGCATTTGCCAGAGAACACCAATATTGGCAAATTCGGCACTGGCGCCCTGTGCTCTTCACAGATGAAAGCAGGTTCACACTGAGCACGTGACAGACGTGACAGAGTCTGGAGACGCCGTGGAGAACGTTCTGCTGCCTGCAACATCCTCCAGCATGACCGGTTTGGCGGTGGGTCAGTCATGGTGTGGGGTGGCATTTCTTTGGGGGGCCGCACAGCCCTCCATGTGCTCGCCAGAGGTAGCCTGACTGCCATTAGGTACCGAGATGAGATCCTCAGACCCCTTGTGAGACCATATGCTGGTGCGGTTGGCCCTGGGTTCCTCCTAATGCAAGACAATGCTAGACCTCATGTGGCTGGAGTGTGTCAGCAGTTCCTGCAAGAGGAAGGCATTGATGCTATGGACTGGCCCGCCCGTTCCCCAGACCTGAATCCAATTGAGCACATCTGGGACATCATGTCTCGCTCAATCCACCAACGCCACGTTGCACCACAGACTGTCCAGGAGTTGGCGGATGCTTTAGTCCAGGTCTGGGAGGAGATCCCTCAGGAGACCATCCGCCACCTCATCAGGAGCATGCCCAGGCGTTGTAGGGAGGTCATACAGGCACGTGGGGCCACACACACTACTGAGCCTCATTTTGACTTGTTTTAAGGACATTACATCAAAGTTGGATCAGCCTGTAGTGTGGTTTTCCACTTTAATTTTGAGGGTGACTCCAAATCCAGACCTCCATGGGTTGATAAATTTGATTTCCATTGATAATTTTTGTGTGTTTTTTTTGTCAGCACATTCAACTATGTAAAGAAAAAAGTATTTAATAAGATTATTTCATTCATTCAGATCTAGGATGTGTTATTTTAGTGTTCCCTTTAGTTTTTTGAGCAGTGTATATATATATATACACAGTGGGGAGAACAAGTATTTGATACACTTTCCTACTTACAAAGCATGTAGAGGTCTGTCATTTTTATCATAGGTACACTTCAACTGTGAGAGACGGAATCTAAAACAAAAATCCAGAAAATCACATTGTATGATTTTTTTATAATTAATTTGCATTTTATTGCATGACATAAGTATTTGATCACCAACCAACCAGTAAGAATTCCGGCTCTCACAGACCTGTTAGTTTTTCTTTAAGAAGCCCTCCTGTTCTCCACTCATTACCTGTATTAACTGCACCTGTTTGAACTCGTTACCTGTATAACAGACACCTGTCCACACACTCAATCAAACAGACTCCAACCTCTCCACAATGGCCAAGACCAGAGAGCTGTGTAAGGACATCAGGGATAAAATTGTAGACCTGCACAAGGCTGGGATGGGCTACAGGACAGTAGGCAAGCAGCTTGGTGAGAAGACAACAACTGTTGGCGCAATTATTAGAAAATGGAAGAAGTTCAAGATGACGGTCAATCACCCTCGGTCTGGGGCTCCATGCAAGATCTCACCTCGTGGGGCATCAATGATCATGATGAAGGTGAGGGATCAGCCCAGAACTACATGGCAGGACCTGGTCAATGACCTGAAGAGAGCTGGGACCACAGTCTCAAAGAAAACCATTAGTAACACACTACGCCGTCATGGATTAAAATCCTGCAGCGCACGCAAGGTCCCCCTGCTCAAGCCAGCGCATGTCCAGGCCCGTCTGAAGTTTGCCAATGACCATCTGGATGATCCAGAGGAGGAATGGGAGAAGGTCATGTGGTCTGATGAGACAAAAATATAACTTTTTGGTCTAAACTCCACTCGTCGTGTTTGGAGGAAGAAGAAGGATGAGTACCACCCCAATAACACCATCCCAACCGTGAAGCATGGAGGTGGAAACATCATTCTTTGGGGATGCTTTTCTGCAAAAGGGACAGGACGACTGCACCGTATTGAGGGGAGGATGGATGGGGCCATGTATCACGAGATCTTGGCCAACAACCTCCTTCCCTCAGTAAGAGCATTGAAGATGGGTCGTGGCTGGGTCTTCCAGCATGACAATGACCCAAAACACACAGCCAGGGCAACTAAGGAGTGGCTCCGTAAGAAGCATCTCAAGGTCCTGGAGTGGCCTAGCCAGTCTCCAGACCTGAACCCAATAGAAAATCTTTGGAGGGAGCTGAAAGTCCGTATTGCCCAGCGACAGCCCCGAAACCTGAAGGATCTGGAGAAGGTCTGTATGGAGGAGTGGGCCAAAATCCCTGTTGCAGTGTGTGCAAACCTGGTCAAGAACTACAGGAAACGTATGATCTCTGTAATTGCAAACAAAGGTTTCTGTACCAAATATTAAGTTCTGCTTTTCTGATGTATCAAATACTTATGTCATGCAATAAAATGCAAATTAATTACTTTAAAATCATACAATGTGATTTTCTGGATTTTTGTTTTAGATTCCGTCTCTCACAGTTGAAGTGTACCTATGATAAAAGTTAAAGACCTCTACATGCTTTGTAAGTAGGAAAACCTGCAAAATCGGCAGTGTATCAAATACTTGTTCTCCCCACTATATATGTATATATATATATGTGTGTGTATGTATGTATATATGTATGTATATGTATATGTGTATATATGTATGTATGTATATACAGTGGGGAAAAAAGTATTTAGTCAGCCACCAATTGTGCAAGTTCTCCCACTTAAAAAGATGAGAGAGGCCTGTAATTTTCGTCATAGGTACACGTCAACTATGACAGACAAAATGAGAAAAAAAAATCCAGAGAATTACATTGTAGGATTTTTTATGAATTTATTTGCAAATTATGGTGGAAAATAAGTATTTGGTCAATAACAAAAGTTTTTCAATACTTTGTTATATACCCTTTGTTGGCAATGACACAGGTCAAACGTTTTCTGTAAGTCTTCACAAGGTTTTCACACACTGTTGCTGGTATTTTGGCCCATTCCTCCATGCAGATCTCCTCTAGAGCAGTGATGTTTTGGGGCTGTCGCTGGGCAACACGGACTTTCAACTCCCTCCAAAGATTTTCTATGGGGTTGAGATCTGGAGACTGGCTAGGCCACTCCAGGACCTTGAAATGCTTCTTACGAAGCCACTCCTTTGTTGCCCGGGCGGTGTGTTTGGGATCATTGTCATGCTGAAAGACCCAGCCACATTTCATCTTCAATACCCTTGCTTATGGAAGGAGGTTTTCACTCAAAATCTCACGATACATGGCCCCATTCATTCTTTCCTTTACACGGATCAGTCGTCCTGGTCCCTTTGCAGAAAAACAGCCCCAAAGCATGATGTTTCCACCCCCATGCTTCACAGTAGGTATGGTGTTCTTTGGATGCAACTCAGCATTCTTTGTCTTCCAAACACGACGAGTTGAGTTTTTACCAAAAAGTTATATTTTTGTTTCATCTGACCATATGACATTCTCCCAATCATCTTCTGGATCATCCAAATGCACTCTAGCAAACTTCAGACGGGCCTGGACATGTACTGGCTTAAGCAGGGGGACACGTCTGGCACTGCAGGATTTGAGTCCCTGGCGGCATAGTGTGTTACTGATGGTCCCAGCTCTCTGCAGGTCATTCACTAGGTCCCCCCGTGTGGTTCTGGGATTTTTGCTCACCGTTCTTGTGATCATTTTGACCCCACGGGGTGAGATCTTGCGTGGAGCCCCAGATCGAGGGAGATTATCAGTGGTCTTGTATGTCTTCCATTTCCTAATAATTGCTCCCACAGTTGATTTCTTCAAGCCAAGCTGCTTACCTATTGCAGATTCAGTCTTCCCAGCCTGGTGCAGGTCTACAATTTTGTTTCTGGTGTCCTTTGACAGCTCTTTGGTCTTGGCCATAGTGGAGTTTGGAGTGTGACTGTTTGAGGTTGTGGACAGGTGTCTTTTATACTGATAACAAGTTCAAACATGTGCCATTAATACAGGTAACGAGTGGAGGACAGAGGAGCCTCTTAAAGAAGAAGTTACAGGTATGTGAGAGCCAGAAATCTTGCTTGTTTGTAGGTGACCAAATACTTATTTTCCACCATAATTTGCAAATAAATTCATTAAAAATCCTACAATGTGATTTTCTGGATTTTTTTTCCTCAATTTGTCTGTCATAGTTGACGTGTACCTATGATGAAAATTACAGGCCTCTCTCATCTTTTTAAGTGGGAGAACTTGCACAATTGGTGGCTGACTAAATACTTTTTCCCCCCACGGTATATATATGTGAATATATATATATATATATATATATATATATATATATATATATATATATATATATATATAATTATTTATTTTATTTTATTTTTTAAACATGGGGTATTGGAAGTGATGCAGACAATTACATTGATGGAAGTTACTATCTATCTGCAATATTAAACTGATCTACCCCCCCCCAAAAAATGTTTTTTACAGGGTAGCCTATTCTGCTGACACTGACAAACAGATCAATAAAAATGACGTTGTCTGATCCATATATTAGGCCTACCAAAAGGGGAGACAGAAATACAATATGATGTCCATCTAACCTGGAGGAGGTAATTATTGTCCAAAAACAAACAAAAGTGGCACTGACCGCTGATGGCTGATGTTCTCCGCTGTTGTCAATAACATAGGTTACTTTTCGCTCAATTAAGTTGAGAATTTTCATAACTAAAAGTCAGATTGGAGTCTTTTCATTGTCTTCTCTTTACAGCAATAGCCATTTGTTTTTTCCTAACTGTTTTTACAAGATTGTATTTTTAATATGGCAATATGCCTGGCTGTGTCTCTCTGCTTTTCACTGACAGTCGCAACTCAACAATCATCTATTTGGTATTTGCCGTGCTCTGCCCACATTGCGGGCACTTTCGACTGTAGGCTATGTGATTTAAAACAATCCACAGCTTTAAAAAAAAATAATCATCATCATCCTCTGTGGCCAAATCATGCTTTCTGGTGTAGTAGCCTATTTTGAATGATTTTATGTATTTCTGTATAGACAGGAGTAAGCTATATAAATCTATATAATTTAGCCACTTTTATTAAATGTACTGTAAGGAAAGCTTAGCTTTATGGACGCACCGCACTGCCTGTGTATTCTAACATCTTCAAATTGCTAATCGGAATTCGGTAAGAATGATGCACGCCGTTGCATCCGAGTTGCATGTTCTGTTAAGATGAATTACCATAAACTAAATGTGATTTCTGTCATTCTGAGAATCGTGGATGAACGCCCTAATCAGGTTACGCAACCAAAGCATGTGGGTCCAGTAAATTTAAAATGCTGCCAGTCAAATGTCCTAACGGAAACCCTGGCCTTCACTAAGCATTGTAAACCTAAGCCTTGTTAGATATTTCCCTGCCTTGTTCAGTGGCCAACTCAGTTGCCTTGTGGTTAGTGTCGGCCCTGAGATTGGAAGGTTGGGAGTTCGATCCGCAGCCGTGTCATACCATAGACTGTAAAAATGGTACCCGCTGCGTCTCTGCTTGGCACTCTGCATTAAGGAGATAGATTGAGGGTCAGGCCCTGTGATAGACTAGCAAAGTACTTGCACATCAAGCTGCCTCGCGCTACAGAAACAGGAGATAGGCTCCTGCTCCTCTTGTTCAAGGCTACTTACTGCCTTGTTCCAGGATAAGGATGATATGAGAACAGCAGAGCAGGGAGTTCTATAATTACCCATGTAGGAGGAGCAGAGTCACACATCACCACTGTCTGTCTCACTAAGGGGATGCATTAGAACTGCATATCATTAGATCCATTGCTCAGTTAGACAGTAGGCTTTGTGCTGCTGGGCTCTAATTTATTTGGAAGATGGTGATAGTGTATGTGAGCTATCCTCTCTCTCTATTAACAGGCCATTCCATTTTTTGTGGCATACAATATAGCTTCGTTTTTGTATTATTTATTTTATTGTCTTTTTTGCTCATCTTTATCAGGGGATCCAATAATTTTGGGCCCCACTGTATGTGTGTGTGATAGCCTATCTAGAGTAAATGTATTTTAAATTAGGTGAAATTGCTGTTCAATCTATGCGATCAAATAGTTGCAGGGTATATGAAATAATTCTACAGACCTCTTCTCTATTGCTGTTCAGAGTGCATAGATAAAGTGATTGTACACAACATTACCAAAAGTATGTGGACACCTGCTCGTCGAACATCTCATTCCAAAATCATGGGCATTAATATGGAGTTGGTCCCCCCTTTGCTGCTTTAACAGCCTCCACTCTTCTGGGAAGGCTTTCCACTAGGTGTTGGAACATTGCTGCGGGGACTTGCTTCCATTCAGCCACAAGCATTAGTAAGGTCGGGCACTGATGTTGGGCGATTAGGCCTGGCTCACAGTTGGCGTTCCAATTCATCCCAAAGGTGTTCGATGGGGTTGAGGTGAGGGCTCTGTGCAGGCCAGTCAAGTTCTTCCACACCGATCTCGACAAACCATTTCTGTTTTGTGCACGGGGGCATTGTCATGCTTAAACAGGAAAGGGCCTTCCCCAAACTGTTGCCACAAATGTGGATGCACAGAATCATCTAGAATGTCATTGTCTGCTGTAGCGTTAAGATTTCCCTTCACTGGAACTAAGGGGCCTAGCCCGAACTATGTAAAACAGCCCCAGACCATTATTCCTCAACCACCAAACTTTACAGTTGGCACTATGCATTGGGGCAGGTAGCGTTCTCCTGGCATCCACCAAACCCGAATTCGTCTGTCGGACTGCCAGATGGTGAAGCGTGATTCATCACTCCAGAGAACGCGTTTTCACTGCTCCAGAGTCCAATGGCGGCAAGCTTTACAGCACTCCAGCCGACGCTTAGCATTGCACATGGTGATCTTAGGCTTGTGTGCGGCTGCTCGGCCATGGAAACCCATTTCATGAAGCTCCCGAAGAACAGTTATTGTGCTGACGTTGCTTCCAGAGGCAGTTTGGAACTCGGTAGTGAGTGTCGCAATCGAGGACAGACGGTTTTTACGCATTACATGTTTCAGCACTCAGCGGCCCCATTCTGTGAGCTTGTGTGGCCTACCACTTCACAGCTGAGCCGTTGTTGCTCCTAGACTTTTCCACTTCACAATAACAGCACTTACAGTTGACTGGAGCAGCTCTAGCAGGGCAGAAATTTGACGGACTGACTTGTTGGAAAGGTGGCATCATATGACAGGCTCTTCAGTACGGGCCATTCTGCTGCCAATGTTTGTCTATGGAGATTGCATGGCTGTGTGCTCGTCAGCAACTGGTGTGGCTGAAATAGCGAAATCCACTAATTTGAAGGGGTGTCCACATACTTTTGTGTGTGTATATAATAGCCATGTTCACCGTTTTTCCACTCAGTTTCTGCGGGTGCAGGAGAGGATGGGTGTTCAGCAGGAGCTGGACAAACTTCTCTTCCTCATCTCAGACCAGTCCCTGTCTCTACTGCCAGAGTACCACCAGAGAATCAAGGTATGTCTGACTCCCATTGTCTTAATGCACATCCAATACTCAATTCAAAACTATTCATACAGTAGCTTTCTTCCTAGGATCCTGCCTTATATGGAGTTTTTCCTAGCCACTGTGCTTCTGCCTCTGCATTACTTGCTCTTTGGGGTTTTAGGCTGGGTATCTGTTAAGCACTTTTTGACAACTGCTGATGTAAAAAGGGCTTTATAAAATACATTTGATTTGATTTAAAGGTCCGCCATTTCCTGGTTGCAAAAATTCTAATAGTTCGCCTAATTTCAGTTTGTAACAAAACAAGCAGTCATTGAGTAGAGAGTCATTGTACCATCTAAACCGCTGTGAAATATATTTTCCATAACCACAAATATTGTATTTTCAGCTGTTTGAAGCTGGTGTACAAAACCGAAAGTAAAAGACTACATTTGACAGATCTATAACTCACATTTCTGTGTGAATTTGGTCGCGTCTCCCCAAAAAGTTACATATTGTAGCTTTAACTAGTTCATACACATGCAGGGCTCTAAATTAACATTTTTCATTGGTTGCACCGGTGTTCCCAACTTTAAAAAGTTAGGAGCAAAGCATAAAATGTAGGAGCACCAGAAAATAATATTTTTGAAATCGATTGAGATATAGCATATATAAATTCTAGCTACATTTGAAGCTCATTTTGAGCCCTAGAAACTAATATGTAATCCTGTAAATACATTTATTTATTATAAGAAAGTCAAATGTTTATACAAATACCTGTCATTGATATTAAAAAGTCATTTGTGGAATTTTAGGTTTCTACATTATGTAAAAGCTCTATTTTCCTATTGAGATGTATTACATTGAAAATTGTACACGTTGTCAAGTTTGTGATGACGACATGCAAGAGATCTGTCATTCATTGCTATGATCACTGATCTCCTGAACAAGCTATCCCTTTTCCTCTCTTTCTGTGCCCCCAAATGTTTGGATATACTGGTAAAGTTACCAGGTTGTTAGCTAGCTAGCTAATGAGGTATCAACCATGACTGAACAAGGTGTAAAACAAATGGTTAACGCCGCGTGAATAGTTTTGGAATGGCCCGCTACATGGTTTATGAATGTAAAATGCGAGCCCCCCAATCCTCGACAGGAAGAAAATAACAGCTCTTCGTTCAGTAGTGCTTATAAATGTACCTAAAACCATGAAAAAAATGAACATCTATAATGTGTAAAGCCTACAAAGTTGCCTGGCATTATGTCAGATCGTGACATTGAGTTCAAATACATTTTTAACTGTTAGATGGCCCAGAAAATTAAGAATTGTTTTTAACGCACTGCAAAAATGTGTATGGACCAGAAAGAGGCTCTCTTGTCACTATCTATTGTTCATGCAAGGAGGAATTACTATCTTCAGAGATTTTTTATAATTTATCTGCAAATAATTGTTGTCTGGAGATCAAAAAGCAGTAGTAACAGTATGCAAATCAGGGAGCCAAATGAACGACTTGTTCAAAGATGCGATTCTGTTCCCGACATTCACCAAAAAGATCTGTTTAAAAACAGCCTTTCGTTCGTGAACGATCCATCACTATGTAACACCAGTGTAATAAAGGCATTATCCCCCATCCCCAGGCGCTCCAGTCCCTGCAGTACGTGGACAATAGCGGTGCGGTGCAGCTGAAGGGCAGGGTGGCCTGCCAGATCAGGAGCCATGAGCTGCTCCTCACAGAGCTACTGTTTGAGAACGACCTGAGCCCCCTGGCCCCTGAGGAGAGCGCCGCCCTGCTGTCCTGTCTGGTCTTTCAACAGAAGACCCAGGTGGAGCCCCACATCACCAACACACTGCAGGAGGTATAGGGGAACTGGGGGAGGGTTGGGTGTAGGGGGAGAGGGGTGGGGATGAGAGTGTGTGAGAATCTCAATAGCATTTCCTTGATTCCTTGGGTCCTCTCTTGTCGAGTTTCTTATCGAAACCCATTGAATTAGAAGATCAGAGGTCCCTCCCCTCTGACCTCATCCAATGGGTTTTGAGAAGGAGGCGAGGAGAGGACAAAAGGAATTTAATGAAATGCAATTGAGTTTCTCCCTGTGTGTGTGTTGGGGTGGTAGAATGTGCTTGGTTGTCTACTGGGGAACGGTTGAGGTTACACTTTTGTGTTTTTGTGTCTGTCCCCTATGTGTTATAGTTGTGAAGGTTGTGCAACTTTTTTTCTCACCCATCTACACACAATACCCCATAATGACAAAGTGAAAACATGTTTTTAGAAATGCTTGCAAATGTATTGAAAATGAAATACAGAAATATACATAAATATTCACACCCCTGAGTGAATGCTTTGTAGAAGCACGTTTGGCGCCGATTATAGCTGTGAGTTTTGCATCATACCGGCTGTATTTCTGTGTTTTGAAAGTTATACCGTGCCTTCGGAAAGTATTTAGACCCCTTGACCACATTTTGTTACGTTACAGCCTTATTCTAAAATGGATTAAATAAAATACTTCCTCAGCAATCTACACACAATACCCCATAATGACAAAGCGAAAACAGGTTTTTAGACATTTTAGCAAATGTATTAAAAATAAAAAACTGAAATACCTTATTTACGTAAGTATTCAGACCTTTTGCTATGAGACTCGAAATTGAGCTCAGGTGCATCCTGTTTCCATTGATCATCCTTGAGATGTTTCTACAATTTGATTGGAGTCCACCTGTGGTAAATTCAATTGATTGGACATGATTTGGAAAGGCACACACCTGTCTATATACAGATCACACAGTTGACAGTGCATGTCAGCAGAAGTTTGGAACCACCAAGACTCTTCCTAGAGCTGGCCACCCGGCCAAACTGAGCAATCGGGGGAGAAGGGCCCCGATGGTCACTCTGACAGAGCTCTAGAGTTCCTCCGTGGAGATGGGAGAACCTTCCAGAAGGACAACCATATCTGCAGTACTCCACCAATCAGGCCTTTATGGTAGAGTGGCCAGTGGAAGCCACTCCTCAGTAAAAGGCACAAGACAGCCTGCTTGGAGTTTGCCAAAAGGCACCTAAAGACTCTCAGACAATGAGAAACAAGATTCTCTGGTCTGTTGACAAGATTTAACTCTTGAAACCTGGCACCGTCCCTACGGTGAAGCATGGTGGTGGCAGCATCATGCTGGGTGATATTCTTCAGCGGCAGGGACTTGGAGACTAGTCAGGATCGACGCAAAGATGAACGGAGCAAAGTACAGAGAGATCCTTGATGAAAACCTGCTCCAGAGCGCTCAGGACCTCCGACTGGGGCGAAGGTTCACCTTCCAACAGGAAAACGACCCTAAGCACACAGCCAAGACAACGCAGGTGTGTCTTCAGGACAAGTCTCTGAATGTCCTTGATTAGCCCAGCCAGAGCCCGGACTTAAACCCGATCTAACATCTATGGAGAGACCTGAAAATAGCTGTGCAGCAACGCTCCCCATCCAACCTGACAGAGCTTGAGAGGATCTGCAGAGAAGAATGGGAGAAACTCACCAAATACAGGTGTGCCAAGCTTGTAGCGTCATACCCAAGAAGACTTGAGGCTGTAATTGCTGCCAAAGGTTCTTCAATAAAGTACTGAGAAAAGGGTCTGAATACTTATGTAAATGTGATATTTCAGTTTGAAGAAATATGTATAAATTAGCAAAAGATTATAACCTGTTTTTGCTTTGTCATTATGGGATATTGTGTGTAGATTGATGAGGGGAAAAAACTATTCAATCAATTTTAGAATAAGGCTGTAACCTAACAAAATGTGGAACAAGTCAAGGTGTCTGAATACTTTCCGAAGGCACTGTATATCTTGAAAACTTGATTACTGACATGCAAAAAAATGTGGGACTATGTCAACAATGGACTAATGAAAAAAATATCAAAATATAGTTTTTGGGTGGAGTTTTCCTTTAAGTAATACTGCAAAAGATGTGGCAAAGAAATTAACTTTTTGTCCTGAATACAAAGCGTTATGTTTGGGGAAAATCCAACAAAACACATCACTAAGTACCACTTCATATTTTCAAACAGGATGCATGTTTTGGAATATTTTTATTCTGTACATGCATCCTTATTTTCACTCTGTCGTTTAGGTTAGTATTGTGGAGTAACTACAATGTTGTTGATCCATCCTCAGTTTTCTCATATCACAACCATTAAACTTTGTAACTGTTTTAAAATCACCATTGGCCCCATGGTGAAATCCCTGAGCAGTATCCTTCCTCTCCAGCAACTGAGTTAGAAAGGACGCCTGTATCTACCAATCGGTGCCCTTCTTTGCGTGGCATTGAAAAACCTCCCTGGTCTTTGTGGTTGAATCTGTGCTTGAAATTCACTACTCGATTGAGGGACCTTTCAGATAATTGTATGTGTGGGGACAGAGATGGGGTTGTCATAAAAAAATCATGTTAACCACTGTTATTGAACACGGAATGAGTCCATGCAACTTATTATGCAATTTGTTAAGCACATTTTTACTCCTGAACTTATTTAGGCTTGCCATAACTAAGGGGTTGAATACTTAGACCCAAGACATTTTAGTTTTACATTTTGTATTAATTTGAAAATCATTCTACAAACAAAATTCCACTGACATTATGGCGTATTGTGTGTAGATCTGTGACACAAAATCTAATTTTAATCTATTTTTAATTCAGGCTGTAACACAACAAAATGTGGAAAAAGTAAAGGGGTGTGAATACTTTCAGAAAGCACTGTAACTACACATTTCAATGTGTCATCTGTAATATACAGTGGGGGAAAAAAGTATTTAGTCAGCCACCAATTGTGCAAGTTCTCCCACTTAAAAAGATGAGAGAGGCCTGTAATTTTCATCATAGGTACACGTCAACTATGATAGACAAATTGAGATTTTTTTTCTCCAGAAAATCACATTGTAGGATTTTTAATGAATTTATTTGCAAATTATGGTGGAAAATAAGTATTTGGTCACCTACAAACAAGCAAGATTTCTGGCTCTCACAGACCTGTAACTTCTTCTTTAAGAGGCTCCTCTGTCCTCCACTCGTTACCTGTATTAATGGCACCTATTTGAACTTGTTATCAGTATAAAAGACACCTGTCCACAACCTCAAACAGTCACACTCCAAACTCCACTATGGCCAAGACCAAAGAGCTGTCAAATGACACCAGAAACAAAATTGTAGACCTGCACCAGGCTGGGAAGACTGAATCTGCAATAGGTAAGCAGCTTGGTTTGAAGAAATCAACTGTGGGAGCAATTATTAGGAAATGGAAGACATACAAGACCACTGATAATCTCCCTCGATCTGGGGCTCCACGCAAGATCTCACCCCGTGGGGTCAAAATGATCACAAGAACGGTGAGCAAAAATCCCAGAACCACACGGGGGGGACCTAGTGAATGACCTGCAGAGAGCTGGGACCAAAGTAACAAAGCCTACCATCAGTAACACACTACGCCGCCAGGGACTCAAATCCTGCAGTGCAGACGTGTCCCCCTGCTTAAGCCAGTACATGTCCAGGCCCGTCTGAAGTTTGCTAGAGTGCATTTGGATGATCCAGAAGAGGATTGGGAGAATGTCATATGGTCAGATGAAACCAAAATAGAACTTTTTGGTAAAAACTCAACTCGTCGTGTTTGGAGGACAAAGAATGCTGAGTTGCATCCAAAGAACACCATACCTACTGTGAAGCATGGGGGTGGAAACATCATGCTTTGGGGCTGTTTTTCTGCAAAGGGACCAGGACGACTGATCCGTGTAAAGGAAAGAATGAATGGGGCCATGTATCGTGAGATTCTGAGTGAAAACCTCCTTCCATCAGCAAGGGCATTGAAGATGAAACGTGGCTGGGTCTTTCAGCATGACAATGATCCCAAACACACCGCCCGGGCAACGAAGGAGTGGCTTCGTAAGAAGCATTTCAAGGTCCTGGAGTGGCCTAGCCAGTCTCCAGATCTCAACCCCCAGATCTCAACCCCATAGAAAATATTTGGAGGGAGTTGAAAGTCCGTGTTGCCCAGCGACAGCCCCAAAACATCACTGCTCTAGAGGAGATCTGCATGGAGGAATGGGCCAAAATACCAGCAACAGTGTGTGAAAACCTTGTGAAGACTTACAGAAAACGTTTGACCTGTGTCATTGCCAACAAAGGGTATATAACAAAGTATTGAGAAACTTTTGTTATTGACCAAATACTTATTTTCCACCATAATTTGCAAATAAATTCATGAAAAATCCTACAATGTGATTTTCTGGAGAAAAAAAATCTCAATTTGTCTGTCATAGTTGACGTGTACCTATGATGAAAATTACAGGCCTCTCTCATCTTTTTAAGTGGGAGAACTTGCACAATTGGTGGCTGACTAAATACTTTTTTTCCCCACAGTACATGGATGGATGGATGGATATGTTGGCTTCTGGGCTTTAGTAGTACCAGCCTAGCCGTGCTACTGGTGACACACACACACACACACACACATATACACACGCACACATACACACACTGGTCTGAGCTCAGGCTAGACACACACAGCTGTCTTAGCCCGCAGCAAGGGCGCCACACCTGATACACACTTCCCTGAACACACACACACAGCCATCAGTGTGTGTTGTCGAGCAACCCTGAAACATGGAAGTGCTCTAAAGAAGGCTGAATTAGTGATGGCCGATGCGAGAGCTGTGTCTGGAGTGGTTTATAGGGGAGCCATCCCAGGGGCGAGCAGCACTGAACAGTGAACACAGACAGGGAACACATTTACCAACACAGGTAACAGGGCTCTGAGTGGGACTTCAGATGATGTGCAGCTTAACACTTAACAGAGAGGAGGCTGAGGTTGGAGTGGAGTGGGCAAAGTAGGGCAGATGTGATTGGAAAGTGTTACGTGTTTAAGTGCTCCTTGTATGACTAATCTGTGTCTGTCTGCCTTTGTCTCTGTCCTTCCTCTCTCTCGCTCTCGCTCTCGCTCTCAATCTCCACTCTTCTCTGTCCTTCTCCTTGTATTACCCCACATTTTACCGTCACCCATTACTACCTCAACTCTCTTCTTTTTCTTTGTCTCTCTTTCTTTCTTTGCCCTTCTCCTTACATTACCCCACTCTGTCTGTGTGCCCCATCCATTACTTTCTTATTTTGCCCTATCTCTCCTTCCCTCTCTCTCGTAGGGTATTGAGAGAGTGCTGGCAGTGGCCCAGCGTATTGGGGAGCTGCAGAGGGACTGTGGGATAACCCAGACAGCTGAAGAATTTGTGGCCCAGTTCAAGTTTGGCCTGATCGAAGTGGTCTACTGCTGGGCCAGAGGCATGGTGAGTGGTATAAGCTAACCGTAATGTTGGACTATTCTTGATTGACCTCATTTCAATCAAAACACTCGTGGAAAATGTTTCCTGGACACAGAATAAGCCTAGTCATGGACTGAATGGCATGTTAAAGTAAAGTGCTTTTTACTCCAGAACTAGGCTTAATCCGTGTCCTGGAAACTGGCCTCTCAAAGCTCTGAAAGCACTGTACTAAACTATACTGCAGCGTTTCCAAAACTAGGTCGCAAGCCCATGTGGGGTCGCCTGATTTGAAAATGGGGTCGCGAGAGAAACTGAAATAAAAATGTAAAAAATCTCGCTGGGTTTATAGAACCGGGGTTACGTCAGTAACCTCCGGTAGCCGCTAGGTGCTGTTGTAATATACAGCGGTTTCTGATTTCTCCATACAAATGTGGCTCTATCTTTTGAACTTTTTAAGCTACAAAATATTGTGAACATTCTCTGAAGATGGTAATTCCTCAGGGCAGGAACAATATAGTGAGGAGAGAGCCTCATTCTGGTCCACGCTAATTTTTTCAGTGCGTTAAGTTGACAATGGTTGGCAAAATTTTAGGCTTTACATTAAAGATTTACTATTTTTTCATGATTTTAGGTACATTTCTAAGCATTACTGAACGAAAAGCAGTTTGGGAGCCAAATGAACGGCTCTTTTAGGTGAACGGAGCCAAATGATCCGGCTCACAGAAAATACTCTGAATACCCATCACTATGCAACAGAGCTCAAAGGGGACAATTGCGTCTTAAAAGGGCAATGACATACACTACATTACCAAAAGTATTTGGAAAACTGCTTGTCGAACATCTCATTCCAAAATCATGGGCATTAATATGGAGTTGGTCCCCCCTTTGCTGCTATAACAGCATCCACTCTTCTGCGAAGGCTTTCTACTAGATGTTGGAACATTGCTGCGGGGACTTGCTTCCATTTAGCCACAACCGCATTAGTGAGGTCGGGCACTGATGTTGGGCGATTAGGCTTTGCTCACAGTCGGTGTTCCAATTAGTCCCCAATGTGTTCGATGGGGTTGAGGTCAGGGCTGTCGACAAACCATTTCTGTATGGACCTCACTTTGTGCACGGGGACGTTGTCATGCTGAAACAGGAAAGGGCCTTCCCCAAACTGTTGCCACAAAGAATGTAATTGTATGCTGTAGCGTTAAGATTTCCCTTCAACTAAGGGGCCTAGCCTGAACCATGAAAAACAGCCCAAGACCATTATTCCTCCTCCACCAAACTTTACAGTTGGCACTATGCATTGGGGCACTTAGCGTTCTCCTGGCATCCGCCAAACCCAGATTTGTCCGTTGGACTGCCAGATAGTGAAGCGTGAATCATCACTCTAGAGAATGCGTTTCCACTGCTCCAGAGTCCAATGGCGGCGAGCTTTACACCCCTCCAGCCAACGCTTGGCATTGCGCATGGTGATCTTAGGCTTGTGTGCGGCTGCTCGGCCATGGAAACCCATTTCATGAAGCTCCCGACGAACAGTTATTGTGCTGACGTTGCTTCCAGAGGCAGTTTGGAACTCGGTAGTGAGTGTTGCAACCGGGGACAGACGATTTTTACGTGCTACGCGCTTCAGCACCCGGCAGTCCCGTTCTGTGAGCTTGTGTGGCCTACCACTTCGTGGCTGAGTCGTTGTTGCTCCTAGACGTTTCCACTTCACAATAACAGCACTTACAGTTGACCTGGGCAGATCTAGCAGGGCAGAAATTTGACAACCTGACTTGTTGGAAAGGTGGCATCCTGTGACGGTGCCATGTTGAAAGTCACTGAGCTCTTCAGTAAGGCCATTCTACTGCCATTGTTTGTCTACGGAGATTGCATGGCTGTGTGCTCGATTTTATACACCTGTCAGCAACGGGTGTGGCTGAAATAGCCGAATCCAGGGGTGTCCACATACTTTTCTATATATAGTGTACTTTGTAATAAAACAAATTATTATAATAATTAGTAATTATTTATATAGTCATAATAAAATAATAATAGTTAATAATAATAACAATCAGGATGTTGTGTCCAATGGGGTAAATGCTTCAGCATATGTACATTTTATAGCCACTATGCTACAGGTGATAATGCTTATTGCTAATAGCACATCTGATAATAGACCATGCATAGACTATATGCATGGTCCAATATGCTAAAATAATTTTTACCAATACATTTTGGGGCTTTTAAAAAGTCACCAGAACTGATCTTCTCAGTCCTTCTATATAAAAATTATCCCGGGAGGACTGAAATTTGCCGAACTCACAGTTCAATACATGTACAAAATGATCTCTAAAAAGCATGATGGTCATTTCTTACATGAAAGGGGAGGTTAACTTGGCCCCAGACAATCGATCTGAGATTGACTTAAGTATCAGTCATGGGATTTGTTTTTGCTTTAACCCCTGCTTTCACCACCCTGTGAAGTTCATCATAATTTATTTTATCTGTAGCCTAATAAACTGCATGGTTTCCCGAGTCGTAGTGGTAGGACCACACACAATGTCATCGAGTGACTCCAAGTTTACTTCGATACGATGGTTATTATATCAATATTTGTGCATGAAGGCGTTTCCACCGCCATTTCTCACATAATTAATTTTACTGACATAAAAACATCCCACCATGTCGAACGAACAAATTATCTGTCGACATTTATGACACTTCCTGTTTCCATGACAGCTGTCGTTATTTTTTTTCTACGGTAGTGTTGATAATACAAGTTTACTGGAGAACTGAGACCAAGTAGAGACTTTTGGACAAGGTGGATAATGGTATAATATAAGGCAGTTTATTCAGAGGTAAAGATATCTGGAATCGCGTGCACGGACCCGTTCGTCAAACTCTTAGGGAGCTGTCTGAAGAGAGCCCCGAAACATTGTGTGCTGACATTTTATGCAATAAAATGAAGTAGGTTGAATCTAGTAGTTCTGATCTTCTGATTGGTCCTGATGAGTTGGGCGAGGTCCCTTCCAGGCCAGTGTCACTGTTGCATTGGCTCTGAGTCGGGTTCTCTGTCTTCAGATGTTCAGCCTAAGAGAAGGGGATTTTTGTGTGTGTGTGTGTGTGTGTGTGTGTGTTTAACAGTGATGATGTGTGTGTGTGTGTGTGTGTGTGTGTGTGTGTGTGTTTAACAGTGATGATGTGTGTGTGTGTGTGTGTGTGTGTGTGTGTGTTATCAGTGATGATGTGTGTGTGTGTGTGTGTGTGTGTGTGTGTGTGTGTGTGTGTGTGTGTGTGTCCTCAGAGCAAGAACTCGTGAGTTGGAAGAACTGAGAGACCTATGGCGTGGGTGTTGTCCTTGGCCACCTGCTGACAAGGCTGACAAGATAGGACTCTTTTGTCCATTGTATTGAAAACAAACGCCCAACACAAAATGGGTCATGCACAAGATTTTAGTCAGACCAAGCTATAACATTATATATTTACTACGACAGTAGGACTTTACTCACATAAAAACTGGATGGAAACGTGATTACTGATGATGTTCTTTTCTACACAGAAGCTCATACAAAATTATTGCCTGATGATCTTCTGAACTTCCTAATACCTTTCTGATTTCAGTCACTTCAAACCATACTTCCTTCAGGTTTAAATACTGTCAAAACTACTATTAGACTGATTTGTAGTAGACTGTCATAGCCCCGTTCAAAAAAAGTAAACATTGGCTGTTGATTACATCACTTTTTTTACATGGTGGGGTTGCAATTTTTATTTTTTTTATATAAAAATGGGGTTGCGGCCCAAAAAAGTTTGGGAACCCCTGCTGTACTTTATCTCAAGTTTAAACTAACTGGTATCCCTACTTCCTGTCCTAGCCTGTACTTCATTTAAAAAGAGACACATTCTCTTTTACAGGCGAGACCAAGAAGGCAGCAGTCCTGTACTCAACTCTGTAAATTAACTTGTGTACTTTCCTATTTCCTGCCCCAGCCATTTGCAGAGATTGCGCAGTTAACAGACGTCCAGGAGGGCACAGTGGTGCGCTGCATCCAGAGACTAGACGAGGTACTGAAGGAGGTGCGCCAGGCGGCCCGCATCGTGGGAGACTCGGTCCTGGGCAGCAAGATGGAGAAGGCCTCCCTGGCCATTCGCAGAGATATCGTGTTCACCGCTTCGCTCTACACACACTGAGATGGGGAGGGAGGGAGGGGAGGGGAGAGAAGCAAGGGAAGAGGGAGGGTGTAGATAGTGTTTGTATAGTAGGTAAAAGAGTGTGCCGAGGGAAGGAAGGAGGGAGTGGAGAGAGAGAGAGAGAGAGGATGTAGGTACTGTATTGTAGGTGAGAGAGTGCCAAGGTGCCTGAGCCAAGTCCGAAGCTCGATCAGTGTGTGTGAGCATAGTGGAAGAGAGGGTGAGTGTGTGAGGGAGGGATCTGTGTGTGCGCGCGCGTGTTTACGAGTGTGTTTACGTGCGAGTATGTATGGTTATACTATTGTTTACGTGAGTCCTAATTAAATACATGGAAAGGGAATGCTATTAAACAAATCAGACCAAAGTAGTAATGATAGATATGAATGAAATTATTTGTAATTTTTTTGTACAGTAATAAAATCCACTGTAGACTACCATTTTAGAGTGCTTTTTTCAGCTATTGTCCCCGAAGGTGTCCTGTGATTGTTTGAGTAAGTGCCTGTATGCATGAGTCTGACATTGGTTTAAACCTTATGACACTGTTAACTACTGCTCTTGCTGTATACTGTAGGAACAAAAATCTGTACATATCCTATTCTGTAAAACATAATGTAATTTACAGTCAACTATCTAACCTTGATCAAAATCCTTACCAGTTCTAGACTCATGTTCATGTCCAGCAAAGTGTTGCATGTCATGACAGCAAGATGATTCTCAAAACTTCGTACAGCATCCACAGGGATAAAGAGTTGTCAGCATAGCATAAAAAGTATTCAAATCCAATATCGGTCGCCTCTTTAAAAATATTGTGTCGGGTTTACCAGCTCAGTGGCATATGTATTTCCCAGTCTCGGCTGTCTCTTTAAGACAACGATAGCTTTGTGTCTGATTAATTCAATGTAACGAGAGATGCATTGGAGAAACCTATTTTCTGCTGTTACTGTGGATGTACCAGCTACAGAGAGAGTGTGAAACCTGGACATTTCTTTCCCAATTGGTCATTATCATCGGATAGTCCAATTGGCGGTTATCATATAATAAAGTTATAACGTGATACCGTTATTATAGGCCACGGATGTGGAGATAAAAAATATGGATTTAAATTAGCTGGAAATTAAGTCTCCATAATTTCATAATTTTTCCGTGAGAAGATTTACCAAAAGTCGTATTGGAGAAATAAGAATATTTACATTAAATTGTTTGGAGGGGAGTTTTATTCTGACTGCACGAAATGTCGGAAAAACAAGGTAAGCTTTTTTTCTGTTGTTCTGTTGCGTCTTTTATGTCACCACTGTAATTGATAATTGAGCCAATTATTCTCCTCCCCCGCTGTCTATTCTCTCCGTTGAATTGTGATAAATGTGTACATTTGGGATAATTGTTTGGATATAGGTTGTTTTGGTGGTGCACAACTAACAATTGGCTACTTGGTGACGCATGATATCTGTTTCCATCTTCTCAATTTTCACCTCCCCATGTCAACATCTCCGACAAACTCATCCTTCTATTTATCTGCATGCGCTGCATCTGTAGTCCGCTATGTTTTTTATTCCCAATAAACTACTCCCTATTTAATCGCCTATACATGCACATTTATGTAAATAACTACAATGAAATATGGTTTTGCGCGCGTTTGTTTCCCTGCGTGTGGGCGGATATGCGTGCGTGTGTACAGTGTATCAGGAGGAATTAACGAGTGTGTGTGTGCGCGTGCGTGATGTTCACATAAAAAAATGCAGCACAATAATTTGCTTCATTTCTCTCTTTTAACTCCTCTGGATTCACTGTATCCTAGGTGGTTACCAAGGTAAGCGCCATGCTACTGAGTGAGATGCCTCCTTCATTCTGTATGAAAGCCTATAGCACAGAAAACAGGTTTCGGTTGGAAAAGCCCTGTATAGAGGCCTACAGTGCATGTTCATGGCATGCTCACATCACCTCAATGAATGAAGTTTATAGGCTATATAGCCTTATCACGTGTTGGACACAAACACACAGCTGAGGTTTTGTTTTATGTATCAGAATAGACAGAATATTGTAATCCAGTATGGATGATAAAACATGGCAGATATAATTGGTATTTTTCATTATGGAGAGATGGCAACAGATATAGGACTATTCCCCCTCAAAGGAATCAGTCGATCTTAATTATAGACACCCAAAGAAATCCTATCATGATTTGCCTATAGATCTACAACAGACATTTGGAATTATCAAATAATATATGTTCTTTGATGGTTTTAGATCACCATTACACTACTGAGTAGCATGGTATCTGGTATATGCCATAGTTGTGAATGGGCCTTTAATTCATACAGCCAATTAAAGGCTACATTAGTGCATATTGAATAGGAGTATATTTGGATCATGAACTAGCCATGTAGCACTTATCCCTCATTCATCCACTATAACCCCGCCTTTTCTTCACTGTTGTCCTCTCTCCTTTTCCCATTTGACTATCTCTCCCATTGTGTCCTATTAATCAGATGTCCCTGTTTCTCATTCAGTCCCTGTTATGTGCCCTTGAAAGGTGTCCCTCCTGCTGTGTCAGGATCCCATCCCCCTTCTAACGTGTCTGAGTGGTCTTATTCTGGCGGTTGTGACAGTGTTAGTAGGTTATGTAATGGTGTGTGTATCCCCAAGCACAACTCTCTGTGTTTCTCTCTGTCTGCCTCATCAACTGCCGAATAGGCTAGTCAGCATGCTGTGTATTGCTATACTGTACAAAGTCAACCTGGCTACTGTGTGAACGTGGTGCTTTTTGTTTATCTTTGTGTGTGAAATGTATTCAACATTTTCCCACTCTACATACATCCGTGTGGTTTACATACCAGTAGGTGACAAATCTATTATAGTGCTTGTATTGTGTAAGCGGTGACCAAAATGTCAGAGTGATGGCTAGTTAGATAACATTTCTGCCTACTCTTTTCTCTCTTTTCTCTCTCTCTCTGTCTCTCTCTCTCTCACACATTTATTTTTCTCTCTCATTTCTTTCCATCTCTTCCTCTCTCAGGTCTGGAGGACTGCAATCGCCAGGCCATGTCCCAACCCATGCAGCAAATGCAGCCCCCTCCATACCTCCCCTCCCAGGACCCTAACATGGGCCAACAACACTCCAACATGCAACACTCCAACATGCAGCACCCCAACATGACCCCTCCGCCCGGCTGTGGCCCCCAGCCCAACTACCCCCCTCCACCCCCCGGGGCCCCCCGGGGCCCCGGGGATTGGGGTTTAAAAGGAAAACCCATTTAGGGGGAGTTTTCCAAATGGCCCTCCCACCGGCCCCACCTCAAGGCGCCCCAAACAGGGCTTAACAAAAGTTTCCAGACCAAGGGGCCCGGGAAAAGGGGGGGAAGGGGGGTGGGGTTTTTTTCCCCCCACCCCGGCCAATTTTTGTGGGGGGGGTATTTTCAAACCCCAAGGAAAAAACCCCCCCTTTCCAACCAGTGGCCAGCCCTTTTTTTTGGGAAAAAAAACCCCCCTTTTAGGGTTCCCTTGTTCAAAAAACCCCCCATGGCCCTTTGGGCCGGTTTTGAGTCAAATTTTTTTGGTTTTCCTTCCAAAAGGGGGAAATAATCCCCAACCAAAAAGGTTTTTCCCTTAAATGATATTAATAAAATGGGCTTTTGGGGGGGCCAAACTTTTTTTTCCCAAAAAAAGGGGGAAAGGGGGGGAAAGGGGGGGAGGGGGGATTTGCTTTGGGAATTTTTGGGAAAACCGTTGGGGGGGAAAATTGGGTATTAAGGGTTGCTCCCCGGGGTTTTTCCCTTTTTCCCCTCCGGGGATTTCCCTTTTAAATTTCCCGAGGGGCTTGGGTTAACTCTCCTTTTGGGCCCTTCCCCAAATAAAAAAACGGTTCAAAATCCCAGGAAACAAGTGGGACGGGGATGTTCAGGGGGGTTTAAAAGGGTTTGGGGGGGCAGGCCCCCCTTTTTAAAAAATGGGAAGGGGTCCCCCAACAAACCAATTCCAGGTTTCTTGGGTTAACTGTGGAAAAAAAAACCTGGTTTGCCCCCAGGGGAAGAAAAATTTTCCAAAAGGGTTTTCCAAGGTCATTCCAAAAATTAAAAGGTAAGCTTTCATGAGTATTGGTTTTTTGGATCTTTTTTGGGGCTTTTGGATTAACAATGTTGGTTTAACTGGGGGGGGGGGACCTTGCCCTTTTGTAGTCGGCCCCCTTTTACTTTTTAAATGCTTAGAAAGTTTGGAAAAAAAAAGGGGAAAGGCAGGGCAAAGGGGGGCCCGCGGGAAGGAAGAGGGGCCGGGGAAAGAGGGGAGGACGGAGGAAGGAGGAGAGAAGGGGGAGCCGAAAAAAAGGGGGGCCCGGACGGGGGGGGGGGGTTTTTTTAAAGGGGGGGAAGGAATAAAAAAGAAGGGGGAGTTTAGGAGAAGGGCAAAAGAAAAGGGCGGCGTCTCTGGGCTGTTTTTTCCGAATCCCCTTTGGTTTACCAACCCTTTTTTCAGTCGAGTCTCTCTCTCTCTCTCTCTCTCTCTCTCTCTCTCTCTCTCTCTCTCTCTCTCTCTCTCTCTCTCAGGGACAGCCCTACCAGGGGATGCCCCAGGGCCAGATGGGCATGCAGATGCCCCATGGCATCGCCCTGATGGAGCCCCGGCGCCCGCCTCACGACTACCTGCCCATCGCTGTGTTCACCACCGTCTGCTGCTTCTGGCCCACAGGAATCATAGCCATCATCAAGGCAGTACAGGTTGGTATAAGGCTAGCACAGGATGTTTGTTAGCTAGCCAGTCATCTTTAGTGAAATTATTGATTATTTTGTTGTATCTCTGTGCATTACATTTACGTCATTTAGCAGACGCTCTTATCCAGAGCGACTTACAAATTGGTGCATTCACCCTATAGCCAGTGGGATAACCACTTTACAAATGTTTTTTTTTTTTTTTTTTAGGGGGGGGGGGGGGGTTAGAAGGATTACTTTATCCTATCCCAGGTATTCCTTAAAGAGGTGGGGTTTCAAATGTCTCCGGAAGGTGGTGAGTGACTCCGCTGTCCTGGCGTCGTGAGGGAGCTTGTTCCACCATTGGGGTGCCAGAGCAGCGAACAGTTTTGACTGGGCTGAGCGGGAACTATGCTTCCGCAGAGGAAGGGGAGCCAGCAGGCCAGAGGTGGATGAACGCAATGCCCTCGTTTGGGTGTAGGGACTGATCAGAGCCTGAAGGTACGGAGGTGCCGTTCCCCTCACAGCTCCATAGGCAAGCACCATGGACTTGTAACAGATGCGAGCTTCAACTGGAAGCCAGTGGAGTGTGCGGAGGAGCGGGGGTGACGTGAGAGAACTTGGGAAGGTTGAACACCAGACGGGCTGCGGCATTCTGGATGAGTTGTAGGGGTTTAATGGCACAGGCAGGGAGCCCAGCCAACAGCGAGTTGCAGTAATCCAGACGGGAGATGACAAGTGCCTGGATTAGGACCTGTGCCGCTTCCTGTGTAAGGCAGGGTCATACTCTCCGAATGTTGTAGAGCATGAACCTGCAGGATCGGGTCACCGCCTTGATGTTAGCGGAGAACGACAGGGTGTTGTCCAGGGTCACGCCAAGGCTCTTCGCACTCTGGGAGGAGGACACAACGGAGTTGTCAACCGTGATGGCGAGATCATGGAACGGGCAGTCCTTCCCCGGGAGGAAGAGCAGCTCCGTCTTGCCAAGGTTCAGCTTGAGGTGGTGATCCGTCATCCATACTGATATGTCTGCCAGACATGCAGAGATGCGATTCGCCACCTGGTTATCAGAAGGGGGAAAGGAGAAGATTAGTTGTGTATCGTCAGCGTAGCAATGATAGGAGAGGCCATGTGAGGATATGACAGAGCCAAGTGACTTGGTGTATAGCGAGAATAGGAGAGGGCCTAGAACTGAGCCCTGGGGGACACCAGTGGTGAGAGCACGTGGTGCAGAGACAGCTTCTCGCCACGCCACTTGGTAGGAGCGACCGGTCAGGTAGGACGCAATCCAAGAGTGAGCCGCGCCGGAGATGCCCAGCTCGGAGAGGGTGGAGAGGAGGATCTGATGGTTCACAGTATCAAAGGCAGCAGACAGGTCTAGAAGGACAAGAGCAGAGGAGAGAGAGTTAGCTTTAGCAGTGCGGAGAGCCTCCGTGACACAGAGAAGAGCAGTCTCAGTTGAATGACCAGTCCTGAAACCTGACTGGTTTGGATCAAGAAGGTCATTCTGAGAGAGATAGCAAGAGAGTTGGCTAAAGACGGCACGCTCAATAGTTTTGGAAAGAAAAGAAAGAAGGGATACTGGTCTGTAGTTGTTGACATCAGAGGGATCAAGTGTTGGTTTTTTGAGAAGGGGTGCAACTCTCGCTCTCTTGAAGACGGAAGGGACATAGCCAGCGGTCAAGGATGAGTTGATCAGCGAGGTGAGGTAGGGGAGAAGGTCACCGGAGATGGTCTGGAGAAGAGAGGAGGGGATGGGGTCAAGCGGGCAAGGTTGTTGGGCGGCCTGTAGTCACAAGTCGCAAGATTTTATCTGGAGAGAGAGGGGAGAAAGAAGTCAAAGCATAGGGTAGGGCAGTGTGAGCAGGACCAGCAGTGTCATTAGACTTAACAAACGAGGATCGGATGTCGTCAACCTTCTTTTCAAAGTGGTTGACGAAGTCATCCACAGAGAGGGAGGAGGGGGGGGGGGGGGGGGGGGAGGATTCAGGAGGGAGGAGAATGTGGCAAAGAGCTTCCTAGGGTTAGAGGCAGATGCTTGGAATTTAGAGTGGTAGAAAGTGGCCTTAGCAGCAGAAACAGATGAAGAAAATGTAGAGAGGAGGGAGTGAAAAGATGCCAGGTCCGCAGGGAGTCTAGTTTTCTTCAATTTCCGCTCAGCTGCCCGGAGCTCTGTTCTGTGAGCTCGCAATGAGTCATCAAGCCACGGAGCTGGAGGGGAGGACCGAGCCGGCCGGGAGGATAGGGGACACAGAGAGTCAAAGGATGCAGAAAGGGAGGAGAGGAGGGTTGAGGAGGCAGAATCAGGAGATTGGAGGGAGAAGGAGTGAGCAGAGGGAAGAGATGATAGGATGGAAGAGGAGAGAGTAGTGGGAGAGAGAGAGCGAAGGTTGCGGCGGCGCATTACCATCTGTGTAGGGGCAGAGTGAGTAGTGTTGGAGGAGAGCGAGAGAGAAAAGGATACAAAGTAGTGGTCGGAGACATGGAGGGGAGTTGCAGTGAGATTAGTAGAAGAGCAGCATTACAATATTATGTTTCTTGTTTATATGCTGGCTTTGTTGGTTAGCCTACAACAGTCTATATTATGTAATTGCAGCATTGTTTACACAGGCTAAAATTGATTTTTGCTTTGGGCTTCCTTCCGATTTGTTTGAGTTGAGCTAAGCTGACAAGGCATAGATAGCCCTGCAAACTTGGGGCTTTAACCATTATTATGGTTGATTAATTTAAGGCTGAATAAACAGTTTTTTTACATTTTGTGTGAGTATGCGCTGTTTTCAACACCACTCTCTCCCTCTCTCAACTAAATTCAGTTAAAGGTTCATTATCGGCATGAAATACATTCTATATATATGGCCAAGCACTCCAAAAACCATAGTTTGTGAGGGGGAAAAAACATTCTCTCTCTCTCTCTCTTCCTCCCTCCCTCAGGTGCGTACGGCGGTGGCCAGGGGGGACATGGTGACGGCAGAGATAGCTTCCCGCGAGGCGCGTAACTTCTCCTTCATCAGCCTGGCGGTGGGCATTGCCTCCATCGTCCTGTGTACCATCCTCACCGTGGTAGTCATCATCGCCTCCCAACACCATGACGATGACTGGGAACCCTAATACATAACGCAGAGTGGCATCATGGGATATGTCGTTTTGGGTGGAGATTGAAGAATAAGGGCACTGAAATTCAATCTCTGAAACTGGTATGTTATATTGGGGGATATATATATGTGTATATGTGTGTATGTATATATATATATGTGTGTGTATATATATATATATACAGTGAGGGAAAAAAGTATTTGATCCCCTGCTGATTTTGTACGTTTGCCCACTGACAAAGAAATTATCAGTCTATAATTTTAATGGTAGGTTTATTTGAACAGTGAGAGACAGAATAACAACAAAATAATCCTGAAAAATACATGTCAAAAATGCTATAAATTGATTTGCATTTTAATGAGGGAAATAAGTATTTGACCCCCTCTCAATCAGAAAGATTTCTGGCTCCCAGGTGTCTTTTATACAGGTAACGAGCGGAGACTAGGAGCACACTCTTAAAGGGAGTGCTCCTAATCTCAGCTTGTTACCTGTATAAAAGACACCTGTCCACAGAAGCAATCAATCAATCTGATTCCAAACTCTCCACCAGACGCTTTTATCCAAAGCGACTTACAGTCATGCGTGCATACATTTTTTGTGTATGGGTGGTCCCGGGGATCGAACCCACTACCTTGGCGTTACAAGCGCCGTGCTCTACCAGCTGAGCACTCCAAGGATGTCAGGGACAAGATTGTAGACCTACACAAGGCTGGAATGGGCTACAAGACCATCGCCAAGCAGCTTGGTGAGAAGGTGACAACAGTTGGTGCGATTATTCGCAAATGGAAGAAACACAAAAGAACTGTCAATCTCCCTCTGCCTGGGGTTCCATGCAAGATCTCACCTCGTGGAGTTGCAATGATCATGAGAACAGTGAGGAATCAGCCCAGAACTACACGGGAGGATCTTGTCAATGATCTCAAGGCAGCTGGGACCATAGTCACCAAGAAAACAATTGGTAACACACTACTCCGTGAAGGACTGAAATCCTTCAGCGCCCGCAAGGTCCCCCTGCTCAAGAAAGCACATATACAGGCCCGTCTGAAGTTTGCCAATGAACATCTGAATGATTCAGAGGAGAACTGGGTGAAAGTGTTGTGGTCAGATGAGACCAAAATGGTGCTTTTTGGCATCAACTCAACTCGCCGTGTTTGGAGGAGGAGGAATGCTGCCTATGACCCCAAGAACACCATCCCCACCGTCAAACATGGTGGTGGAAACATTATGCTTTGGGGGTGTATTTCTGCTAAGGGGACAGGACAACTTCACCGCATCAAAGGGACGATGGACGGGGCCATGTACCGTCAAATCTTGGGTGAGAACCTCCTTCCCTCAGCCAGGGCATTGAAAATGGGTCGTGGATGGGTATTCCAGCATGACAATGACCCAAAACACAAGGCCAAAGCAACAAAGGAGTGGCTCAAGAAGAAGCACATTAAGGTCCTGGAGTGGCCTAGCCAGTCTCCAGACCTTAATCCCATAGAAAATCTGTGGAGGGAGCTGAAGGTTCGAGTTGCCAAACGTCAGCCTCGAAACCTTAATGACTTGGAGAAGATCTGCAAAGAGGAGTGGGACAAAATCCCTCCTGAGATGTGTGCAAACCTGGTGGCCAACTACAAGAAACGTCTGACCTCTGTGATTGCCAACAAGGGTTTTGCCACCAAGTACTAAGTCATGTTTTGGAGAGGGGTCAAATACTTATTTCCCTCATTAAAATGCAAATCAATTCATAACATTTTTGACATGCATTTTTCTGGATTTTTTTGTTGTTATTCTGTCTCTCACTGTTCAAATAAACCTACCATTAAAATTATAGACTGATAATTTCTTTGTCAGTGGGCAAACGTACAAAATCAGCAGGGGATCAAATACATTTTTCCCTTACTGTATGCACCCTGTGTACTGTATATACAGTTCTGACCTGACCTACTGACTACTAACGGGTTGAGAACCAATCACAGTAATATTCAATAGCCAAAACAAATAGGTACACATTATGGGCCAGTATTACTTACCTGCGCTCCATAGCACTTATGGGGGAAAACAATACACAGAGGCATTAAAGGGCAATTCCACCACTTTTCAACCTCATTTTCATTATCTACAGCACAATACCAGTGTCTACATATGTGAAAATGGCGCATGACATCATCAAAAGTTAAAAAACAAAAACGAACTGTGATTTTCAACAAATATGAGATTCGCAGTGATGTGGGAAGTAAGAAAATACCCTCCCTCTGGCTAGAAACTCGTTGCAGGTTTTGAAAATTACAGTTTTTCTTTCTTTTAATCCTGCCTTGTGATGTATGAAAAAAATTTATGCACTCACTAACTCTAAGTCGCTCTGGATAAGAGCGTCTGCTAAATGATGTAAATGTAAATGTAATGTCACAGATAAGCATTTTTTAGGACCTTTCTTCTTATGTTTTTAACCACAGATCATAGAAACGCGCCATTTTCACATATGTAGACACTGGTATGGTTCTGGATATGAGGTTGAAAAGTGGCAGAATTGCCCTTTAACTATGAGTTATTTATGAATTACTGATGAATTTATAGTCCCCTCGAACCTAGGTAGACCAAACCATGGGTCACACTGTATCTTGATAAACTATTTAATCCTTCACAAAACTGCCAAATAGATCACAAATCATAACTGACATTAGTGCCATATATAATTAGTATTGCATAAGGAGGTTGTTTTGAATTACTTCTAATATAAATACTTTTATTGAATTGTGTTTGTAGTCATTTATAGTTTTTGATTCATTATGATTTTCAGAAACACTCACCATCTAACGATAGTATTTTTTTATATTTATTTAATGGATAGTATAAATTACAGTATAAGACTGCCAAATTATATTATATTCATTTTACACACAATCAAATGGAAAGTAAATTAAGAGAAAAAAATAGATTTTTCTTGTGAGATTAATGACATCTATTTAAAGTTGTGCTGATGGAGGGATACACCATAGGATATACTGTGTCAGTGACTTTTTCCCCGCCTTTTTTTAATATGATATGGACTTTTTTAGCTACATTGACAAATTGTTTGTTGCACAAGATTGTTTAATACTTGTTCTCTTTATTTATGTATGTATTTATCTATATTATAATTTATTTATATAATATATTTTTCATAGATTATTAGCATGTCACCATTATGTTTTAGTTGAAATCAATAGTTTTTTGGCCTAGAAAACCTTAACTAGATTACATTTGATGACGTTTGTGATGATTTACACTTCCCAGCGTTGACATAGCACAGAAACTGACATTGTTACTTTGTACACCTTGGCTAATGTCAGCAGGCCTAGAACTTTCTATACACTTTTCTTTTTTTTTCTTTTTCTTTTTTTATAGAAAATTGTATAATTGTAGAAATAGACACATTTAGAACAAAAGTAGCTTGCTTAATTGAAGTGGTTGATCAATTTTCTAATGTCATATACATAGAGTAAAGTATTGCAGTACTAAGACAAAAAGCAACACATTTGATGGAAAGTGCTTGGATGGACGCAAGATTAAAAAGGATATGTCATTATATATAGGGCTAGTGTAGTGTACATTTGAGAAATTGCTTATTTTGCAAATAATGTTTTTCAAATATGAATGGTTATAATAGACAATAAAATAGTATTATCTAAGTCAATAGTTTATCAGAGTAAAAAGGTTGTAGGCAAAGAATTGATATGCTACAGACAAAACTCTGTAATGCATGCCATTATTACAATTCTCTCAGCTTTTCCCCAATTGTCTTATCTGATAATAAGGGTTGCGTCAAATACATTTGGTCTCTAATCAAGCCTATCACTTTATGAGGTGTGCTGCCCCATGTTAGAGAGCCAAGAGGACTGTCGTGTAACAGTGTGAGCTAAAATGACCTGAGCCGGAATCAGTGAAGCAGAAATACTGATGGTGGCACTGAAAACGAATGTCTCTGAGGGGAGAGAAAAGAATCTATGCCTAATAGATGGTACACTGTAGCATTTTCCTCTCCTCAACTTGTTTCTATTACCCCAAGCCCCCTCTCTTTCTCTCTGTCTCTTTCTGCTGTCCATTGCAAAATTGGGACCGTAATTGTCGACATATCTCGAATCTGCTTCTCCCTATTCTTCTGTTTCCAATTCCTATGATAATGCTATTTGTAAAAGAAAATAAAGTTATTCAGAGATATAGAAAATGTATTGTTTCTCGTGAAGGACCATGATTACAGATTTGAATATTGTATTAGGGTGTATGAAGTTTTATTCCAAAAGTATTATAAACATTATTATTATTACTATGGTTATTACTATTATTCTGGTACATTGTAATCACTTTTACATTTGATTATCATTACTGTATTTATAATGTACATTGTATGTGGACAATATGTTCTTATTCTGATAACACAGTATTCTAGAAATATGTTGAGTGCAAAGTAAGCACAGGACTGTGACCTGTAGTGCTGTTACTCACCTCTATACAAGAGAAGTATTGGTATGGAATGTGCGTATGCTTTTTAGACTCACTCCTAGCATATCTAGTTGTGTTTAGATCTACACTGTGCTCTCCCCACATACTTGTTTTGTAAGGCGGTTCTATGTCATTTAAGATGACAGGCTGGGCAAATGCTACTGCTTCTTTGCAGTATTGATACCTTTTCTCAGAGCTCGTAAATGAAATGGATTTGCATTTTCAAAGTGGCTGGTCGAATCACAGTGTACATGTACTTTTCTTGGGGTTTATTTCTGTTCATGGATGTTACACATGCATTTGTTGTGTATGAATTCAGTTGTTTGAATAAAATACATTGTCTTTTGTGCAAGACTAGGTAACAGTGATGTGTACTCTACATCTATCTCACTCTCTGTCTTTCTCTCTGTCTTTCACTCTCTCTCTGTGGCCTTTCCTCTCCCTACATCTCTTAGGTGCTTATTTATAGTTGGCCCGGATTCCTCCATCCCTGTATCTCTCTTTCTCTCCCTGTGAGAACATGAACTATCACTCAATATCTGGTGGGAGGAGGCTGGTGGGAGGAGCTATAGGAGGACGGGCTCATTGTAATAGTGAAATCAATGTAACAGTATCAAACATATCAAACATTTGGAAACCACATTTGACTCCTTTCCATTTATTCCATTCCACCCATTACAATGAGCCCGGCCTCCTATAGCTCCTCCCACCAGCCTCCTCTGAGATAGAGATAGAGAGGGAGGTGGTGGGACTAGGCCAGACTGTGTCTGCAGGATCACAGATGGTCATTTAGCCTCCCAAAGAGCGTCCCAGCGTCTCTGCGATCGTTTTACTTGGTCTGTCGCAACATGCATCTCTGTTCGGCTACACATACCTGCCTCCCCTGAGCGGACCTGCACTGTCGCTCCCTGTGTGTGTTTGTGTCATCGTGCTGAGTACAGGATACGTATGAGCCAATCACCTCAGCAGTTGCGTCAAGGCTGATTAATAACCATGGGTAATGAATGAAACTGTGTGCCACATGCTCCTCCTGTGTAGCTGTGCAGTCAGCCAAGACCAATGATTCATGTTGACCCCTTGAGCTTAATACTTTCTCTCTGCATCAATGAATCTGTCCTCTCCTGCCCCCACTCTCTCTTTTTATATCTCCCCAAAATCTCTTCATACTTTGCCCTGTTTATCTAAATGCACTCCCAAAATGTTTTGTAGCATGTACCTTATCAAAGTAAATTAATATCCCTGTCTATATAAGGACACAACTCTTAAAGATATATATTTATTGTTTGTATAATTTAATGCAAAATGTACACAAAAGTGGGTATTAAATCGTGACTTTTACATTGTCAGTGCAAATATTCTATTGTCCTACAGTAACATATTATTATAAGTAGAATGCATCAGCTTTTCTGTGTCCCCGTCTTATAATTGTAGGACCTTGGTTTTTATATACTGACAGAGACAAAGGGAGGCGGTGGTGCAGTGATTCATCCTGGGGTGTAGGGGGCGGTGTGTGGAGTTTGGCAGCTTTTCCGACACCAACAGCTTGACATAAACCGCACCGTAGGTCAGTAGAAGTTGGAGTGCTTTGGCCTGCAAAAAGGGATATGTTAGTATAACATGAACAACAAAAGAGACTTCGTAATACTGTATTGAACACATGCTACAGTCTATAGGTGGCTCCCAGATTTCTCCCTCCACCAGCCTCCACTAATCTGGAATACCTTTAGCGAGCAGTCTACATCTTAACATAAGATTACAAGTATTATTGAAAGCAGTCTAACTTACCTGAGCTGGTAGTATTTGGTCCGGTACCAAAATGTAGTTAGTGGTGAGTTTGGTGTCCTCCCTCTGGCTGGTTGAGGTACTGCGTTCAGTCTCCTCATCGTTCACCAAGAGGGGCCTTTCCTCATCAGAACCTTCATGAACACTTGACCCCACCGCCACAGGGTCAAGGGTCATGACCTCTGTCACCAGGACAAGGTGGGACATTCTCTTCTTGAGTCTCTTCTAGGGAGTGAGTGAAAAGTAAGGGGAACCCATTAGAGTGCATTGTCTGCTAGTGCTACACAGAAACACTGAATGGTGGTCATCATTATACGTCACAAGATTGCCTTACTAGGCAATTGAAAGGCTATATACACCAAATAAAACCCTCCGATAGGCCTAACACACAATATATAATGCTCAAATGTCTCCTATTGTCAATGTCCAGTTTCATTTCAATTTGCCTCAGACAATTCCTTATAACAGTACACAGAGATTTGTCAGTATCGATCTATGCATATTATATCCCATTGCCTTCCCTAAACAGCATGTCACTACTGAAAGCCTTGCCAAAGAGAACACAAACACAAATCAATAGAGTCGCAGAGCGAACATGGTGACATCATGATGTACGTACCTGGGCCTCGTCTCCGACAAAGCTCATCTCCTCTAGAGTTTCAGTCAGTGCCCTCAAGCAGTGGGCCGTATCCCAGTACACAATGAACAGCTGAGAGAGAACGAGACGAGACACAGGCAGGCAGGCAGACAGAAAGACAGACAGATGGTCAGAGACAAACAAACAGAAAGACAGATGGATGAATGTAATATGGACATTGTAGATGACTAAAGTTCACATTTGGTCTAGAGTGATCAACACAATGTTTAGCATATGGAGTTTCTGTAATACACATAATTTCCAATATACCATTATTGACACTCAAGGTGTGGGTCTATGGTCACTATCCCCTGGGCACACACTGGTTGAATCAATGTTGTTTCCATGTCATTTCAATGAAATTACGTTGAACCAATGTGGAATAGACGTTGAATAGACGTCTGTGCCCAACGGGTAGACTTGTTATGGATTAATCTCATACAGGTATCTGTTGATAGTGATTGATGCCAGACTGGAGGTAAGGACCGAAGACACACTGATTATTCAATGTTGTATTGATGACATTCTGTGGACACTGTGATTCTCCAGCAGCTAATAAAGTCACTGTCTTTTTGTTTTGACTTTATACGAGCCAGAACATTTGTTACTGTCTGATTAGGATATAAAAGGGCCTGTCTCAAAGAGGCCAGTTCTCTGTGCTGGGTGGTGTCTCCCTGTTGCAACTTGTAATAAACCAGATAGATTGTTGATTGACTTTATCTCTGACTGCTCTTCTCTTTTGTTCACCTGGAAAGTCCTATTTCAATTAAACTACAGAATTAATACATTGATATATAACTTCAAAGTGTCTTGCCGTATTGATCGGTCGAAGGATCTGCTTAGATTAATATCACAAAAAACAGTAAAGGTATTTAGAAGTAACCTCAATTACAAGAAATTGAGTGTGATAAAAAGGTTTGACACAAAATGTCTGCCCTCTCAGATTGAGCTGCCTATATGTGCAGGTTACAGTAGCCTACCTGTAGAGTTCCAGTGCAGTTCTGCACCCAGTCAGCCACGCCCACTAGCAGCATATGTTGGCTCAGCCTCTCATTCACCTGGATGAGTCGCACGTCGATGTTGATGTTTATCTGTTGGAAGACCATTAAATGTTACAGGTACATCTACATTAACGTTTTTTGGTCTTAAAACTGGTTGCAGACTATAGTCCAATATCTCTATAGAATTCATGGTGTTCAATAACGAACCACATTGGTTTCAAGGTGTCTGAATATTTCACTTCAATCCTCTTGTGTGGCATATCTATGTAGTCTATTAAGCACAGATGTATTCCTATTAATATCTATGCATAATTTATGTTGCTACCACAGCTCACTAATTTTAGCACTGCGATTAAAGATTAGAAGGCATTTATATGTGGGCTACCCATTAAGACTCTACCTTTTCCTGTAGTCAAATGCCCAAAAGCGCCCTCTAGTGGCCCCATGGGTGGGATTTCATTCATATTTTTCATAATTAATGTTTAAACATTTAAACATTTTTTTAAACTGCTGAAAATCAGGTGTTTCTATGTCAAACAGGCCCTTAGCCAGCCAAATCACCAGTTGAGATCTTTATCAGCCTTGCTCCCCTCCAACACAAGGTCATAAATCCCCAGCTGTCAGCAGGGCCATAAATGACCAGCTGACCAGCTGCTCACTGCTCATTTACATTTTCGTCATTTATCCAGAGCGACTTACAGTTAGTGCATTCATCTTAAGATAGCTAGGTGGGACAACCACAGATCACAGTCATAGTAAGTACAGCTAGTAAGAGGGGGAAATGAAGTCAAGTGTGAGTGTTAATTCACAAAAGGCTTTTATTTATTTATGTTGTTCATTTAGATTTTTGGGGTGGGTGGGGTGAGGATGTGGAGCAAGAGGGGGTGCTGTGGGATTATTTTAGATACTCTTCGAAGAGGTAGGGCTTGTTTAGGTAGATGTTTTCAGAAGATGGGCAGGAACTCTGCTGTCCTAGCTTCAGGGGGAAGCTGGTTCCCCAGTCTCCCGGACACCTACATGTCAAAACCACACCAAAACTGATAACCAACTCTGAGAACTATTTTTCCAATACACAAACAAAATTACCAACTTTAAACTGGAATAGAAAAATCCATATTATACATTAGACCGGTGGAAATTTGTCCTTTGGTCTAGAGTCCAAATTTGAGATTTTTGGTTCCAACAGCCGTGTCTTTGTGAGACGAGGTGTGGGTGAACGGATGATGTCTGCATGCGTAGTTCCCACCATAAAGCATGGTGGAGGAGGTGTTATGGTGTGGGGGTGCTTTGCTGGTGACACTGTCTGTGATTAATTTAGAATTCAAGGCACACTTAACGAGCATGGCTACCACAGCATTCTGCAGTGATACGCCATCCCATCTGGTTTGGGATTAGTGGGACTATCATTTGTTTTTCAACAGGACAATGACCCAACACACCTCCAGGCGGTGTAAGGGCTATTTTACCAAGAAGGACAGTGATGGAGTGCTGCATCAGATGACCTGGCCTCCACAATCCCCCGACCTCAACCCAATTGAGATGGTTTGGGATGAGTCGGACGGCAGAGTGAAGGAAAAGCAGCCAACAAGTGCTCAGCATATGTGGGAACTCCTTCAAGACTGTTGGAAAAGCATTCCAGGTGAAGCTGGTTGAGAGAATGCCAAGAGTGTGCAAAGCTGTCATCAAGGCAAAGGGTGGCTATTTGAAGTATCTCAAATATAAAATATATTTTTATTTGTTTAAGACTTTTTTGGTTACTACATGATTCCATATGCGTTATTTCATAGTTTTGATGTCTTCACTATTATTCTACAATGTAAGAAATAGTAAAAATAAAGAATAACCCTTGAATGAGTAGGTGTGTCCAAACCTTTGACTGGTACTGTATACACTACCGTTCAAAAGTTTGGGGTCACTTAGAAATGTCCTTGTTTTCAAAAGAAAAGCAATTTTTTTGTCCATTAAAATAACATCAAATTGATCAGAAATACAGTGTAGACATTGTTAATGTTGTAAATGGCTATTGTAGCTGGAAACGGCAGATTTTTTATGGAATATCTACATAGGCGTACAGAGGCCCATTATTAGCAACCATCAGTCCTGTGTTCCAATGGCACATTGTGTTTGCTAATCCAAGTTTATCATTTTATAAGGCTAATTGATCATTAGAAAACCCTTTTGCAATTATGTTAGCACAGCTGAAAACTGTTGTGCTGATTAAAGAAGCAATAAAACTGGCCTTCTTGAGACTAGTTGAGTATCTGGAACACCAGCAATTGTGGGTTTGATTACAGGCTCAAAATGGCCAAAAACAAATAACTTTCTTCTGAAACTCGTCAGTCTATTCTTGTTCTGAGAAATGAAGGCTATTCCATGCGAGAAATTGCCAAGAAACTGAAGATCTCGTACAACGCTGTGTACTACTCCCTTCACAGAACAGCGCGAACTGGCTCTAACCAGAATAGAAAGAGGAGTGGGAGGCCCCAGTGCACAACTGAGCAAGAGGACAAATACATTAGAGTGTCTAGTTTGAGAAACAGACGCCTCACAGGTCCTCAACTGGCAGCTTCATTAAATAGTACCTGCAAAACACCAGTCTCAATGTCAACAGTGAAGAGGCGACTCCGGGATGCTGACCTTCTAGGCAGAGTTGCTAAGAAAAAGCCATATCTCAGACTGGCCAATAAAAAGAAAAGATTAAGATGGGCAGTCTGAGATATGGCTTTGTCCTCATGGTTTTTGCTCTGACATGCACTGTCAACTGTGGGACCTTATATAGACAGGTGTGTGCCTTTCCAAATCATGTCCAATCAATTGAATTTACCACAGGTGGACTCCAATCAAGTTGTAGAAACAACTCAAGGATGATCAATGGAAACAAGATGCACCTGAGCTCAATTTCGAGTCTCATAGCAAAGGGTCTGAATACTTATGTAAATAAGGTATTTTTTTATTTTTTTTTATATAGATTTGCAAACATTTCTAAAAACCTGTTTTCGCTTTCTCATTATGGGGAACATTTTTTATTTAATCCACTTTAGAATAAGGCTTTAACGTAACAAAATGTGGAAAAAGTGAGGGGTCTGAATACTTTCCGAATGCACTGTAAAGTTTAATATTGCGATGCAAACTCAAAATTGACTACATTTCAACTCTATCTCTGACAAGGTATGGGTGTTTTCTTTTTTTAAGCCCATAACCATGTGTGTGAGGTTTATACTTTTGCTTCAAAGTAGGTTTGTGTAAGACTACCAAGAAACCCTCTGAATGACCCTACTTTAGCCCAATGCAGTAAAAGGTTACGTGCTCTCAGACTGATAAACAGATTGAACACCCACCTCCTTGTTACTATAGTGGAGGATGACGATGATGGCTGTGGTGAGTAAGATGGAGACCAGACTGACAGACAGGCAGAGGACCCAGTAGTTAGTGACCGAGAGATAGAGATGAAGAGTGGAGAACACAGCACACCATATCACCACATATAGAATCTGGAAGGGAGATAAAATGATACACAGTATAAACTAAACATAGAAGAACTAGCACTAACTCTGAACAAATACAGGACACATTAGTATAAGATCCCCAGATAGTGTATGAGATACACAGATACTGGACACTATATTGTGAATAACGTAATGGATGTAAAAAATAACAAACAACATGACCCTTGAGTTATTAATCAATACTTTGAGGGACCCTACCGGTGCCATGATGAAGTGGAAGAGAGAAGAGTTAAAGAACAGGTATCTCCTGACCGAGGGCATGTCCAGTGCTATATCCAGAGGTGTCTCAAAGTCTGCTACAGGAATCTACAGTGGAGAAACCAAAAGAACCAAACAGTGAACACATGGTAATAATGTATTCTAAATGTAATTTTCCATGCAATGGCCTTCATACTTTACCAAAATGCATTCCACATAATAAACAAGATAAGGGAAAAAGATCAGCGGGAAAAAGACAAATGCTTTGATCTGCAATATGTGTCAAGGTTGTGGTTGGTCAAAAGGTTGTAAAAGTGTGTGTGTGTGTGTGTGACGTTTAACAACAAAATAATTAACTTCACTCACTGTGTCTGTGTGAATAAGCTGTGCTCCAAAGGCAGCACTACAGCCATTCCACAAAAGTAGGTATTGCCATGTAACCCTGTGTTTTATCATAATTTATGTGCCAGGTTTTGTGTGCCACAGAGCTTCTTGACCAAATAAAAAGACAGCTGATGCAAGCACACAAACCTTTGTAGTTCTATTTACAATTCATAAGCAAATTATAAAAAAATATATAATATAAGGTGTTTAGTTAATAGGTTTCTTCTCAGGATAGAAGACTCAGGACAGCCAGGGACAGCCCCTCCATCTTGACGGACGACTGACTAGCAGAGACGCTCGGCGCAGAGACGCTCGGCGCAGACAAAGGTGTAACCCTTGCTGCAGTCATTATCAATCCACAGCATTTGATAGTTTGTATTTACACAGTTTTGAGCCTCTCCACCATCACGGTCAAACCAGTCGGTAAAGTCCACCTTGGACCTGTCAGTCCACATCCACCTCCCCTCCCCAGGGCCGGATTAAGACATTTTAGGCCCCAGGGATTTTTTGATTTTTGATTTTCTCCTCCTGGCACACCCTAATGTTCTGTAAACAAATCGGCCCACAAAGATGCAATTCGTTAACTTCAGTAGCGGTGCGTGGGTAAATTTACTGGGGGGAAAAAATCCATAATATAACAAGAACAATTGTGATAATTGCATTTACATTTTAGTCATTTTGCAGACGCTCTTATCCAGAGCGACTTACAGTTAGTGAGTGCATAGATTATTTTAATTTTTTATTTTTCATACTATTTTTCATACCCCCGTGGGAATCGAACCCACAACCCTGGCGTTGCAAACGCCATGCTTTACCAACTGAGCTACATCCCTGCCGGCCATTCCCTCCCCTACCCTAGACGACGCTGGGCCAATTGTGCGCCGCCCCATGGGTCTCCCGGTCACGGCCGGCTACGACAGAGCCTGGATTCGAACCAGGATCTCTAGTGGCACAGCTAGCACTGCGATGCAGTGCCTTAGACCACTGTGCCAGTCGGGAGGATCTGTCACATGATCTCAGTATATATACACCTGTTCTGAAAGGGCCCAGAGTCTGCAACACCACTAAGCAAGGGGCACCACCAAGCAAGCGGCACCATGAAGACCAAGGAGCTCTCCAAACAGGTCAGGGACAAAGTTGTGGAGAATTACAGATCAGGGTTGGGTTATAAAATAATATCTGGAACTTTGAACATCCCACGGAGCACCATTAAATCCATTATTAAAAAACGGAAAGAATATGGCACCACAACAAACCTGCCAAGAGAGGGCCGCCCACCAAAACTCACGGACCAGGCAAGGAGGGCATTAATCAGAGAGGCAACAAAGAGACCAAAGCTCCACAGCAGAGATTGGAGTATCTGTCCATAGCACCACTTTAAGTCATACACTCCACAGAGCTGGGCTTTACGGAAGAGTGGCCAGAAAAAAAGCCATCGCTTAAAGAAAAAAATAAGCAAACACGTTTGGTGTTCGCCAAAAGGCATGTGGGAGACTCCCCAAACAAATGGAAGAAGGTACTCTGGTCAGATGAGACTCAAATTGAGCTTTTTGGCCATCAAGGAAAACGCTATGTCTGGCGCAAACCCAACACCTCTCATCACCCCAAGAACACCATCCCCACAGTCGAGCATGGTGGTGGCAGCATCATGCTGTGGGGATGTTTTTCATCGGCAGGTACTGGGAAACTGGTCAGAATTGAAGGAATGATGGATGGCGCTAAATACAGGGAAATTATTGAAGGAAATGCACACTCAAGGACCAGGGAGGTTCTCCAATGCCTCACAAAGAAGGGCACCTATTGGAAGATAAAAAATAAATTAAAAAAGCAGACATTGTATATCCCTTTGTGCATGGTGAAGTTATTAATTACACTTTGGTCACTACAAATATACAGCGACCTTCCTAACTCAGTTGCCGGAGAGGAAGGAATCCGCTCAGGGATTTCACCATGAGGCCAGTGGTGACTTTAAAATAGTTACAGAGTTTAATGGCTGTGATAGGAGAAACCTGAGGATTGTAGTTACTCCACAATACTAACCTAGGCCTAATTGACAGAGTGAAAATAAGGAAGCCTGTACAGAATATATATTTTTTCAAAACATGCATCCTGTTTGCAACAAGGCACTTAAGTTATACTGCAAAAAATGTGGCAAAGCAATTAACTTTTTGTCCTGAATACAAAGTGTTATGTTTGGGGCAAATCCACATTGGTACACATGACTGAGTACCACTCTCCATATTTTCAAGCATAGTGGTGGCTGCATCATGTTATGGGTTTGCTTGTAATCGTTAAGGACTGGGGAGTTTTTCAGGATAAAAAAAGGAAACGGAATGGAGCTAAGCACACACAAACCCCTGGAGGAAAACATGGTTCAGTCTGCTTTCCACCACACACTGGGAGATTATTTCACCTTTCAGCAGGACAATACCCTAAAACACTAGGCCAAATCTAGTTGCTTACCAAGAAGACAGTGAATGTTCCTGAGTGGCCGAGTTACAGTTTTGACTTAAATCTGTTTGAAAATCTATGGCAAGATCTGAAAATGGTTGTCTAGCAATGATCAACAACCAATTTGACAGAGCTTGAAGAATTTTGAAAAGAATAATTGCACAATCCAGGTGTGGAAAGCTCTTATAGACTTACCCAGAAAGACTCACACCTGTAATCGCTACCAAATGTGATTCTAACCTGAATTGACTCAGTCTGTTAATGACAAGAGACAGCTTTGGTAAGAGGTAAAGTCAAGAATATTTGCAAGGCAATGTCAACATTGGGAAACTGCTTGTATATTTCTCTGTCTCAACATGTGAAGTAATGCCCTGGCATATGTGTTTTTCTCACTTTCAATAAATTCTTTAAACTGGACCATTTCATCTGGAAAAGCATGATGACCACTTTGCACACTCTTGGCATTCTCTCAACCAGCTTCATGGAATGTATTTCAATTAACATGTGTGCCTTGTTAAAAGTTAGTTTGTGGAATTTCTTTCCTTCTTAATGCATTTGAGCCAATTAGTTGTGTTTTGACAAGGTAGGGGTGGTATACAGAAGATAGCCCTATTTGGTAAAAGACCAAGTCCATATTATGGCAAGAACAGCTCAAATAAGCAAAGAAAAACGACAGTCCATCATTACTTTAAGACATGAAGGTCAGTCAATACGGAAAATTTCAAGAACTTTGAAAGTTTCTTCAAGTGCAATCGCAAAAACCATCAAGCGCTATGATGAAACTGGTTCTCATGAGTACAACCACAGGAAAGGAAGACCCAGAGTTACCTCTGCTGCAGAGGACAAGTTCATTAGAGTTACCAGCCTCCGAAATTACAGCTCAAATAAATGCTTCACAGAGTTCAAGTAACAGACACATCTCAACATCAACTGTTCAGAGGGGACTGCATGAATCAGGCCTTCATGGTCAAATTACTGTGGTCCTCTGTAGCTCAGCTGGTAGAGCACGGCACTTGTAACGCCAAGGTAGTGGGTTCAATCCCCGGGACCACCCATACACAAAAATGTATGCACGCATGACTGTAAGTCGCTTTGGATAAAAGCGTCTGCTAAATGGCATATTATTATTATTATTATTATACTGCAAAGAAACCACTACTAAAGGACACCAATAAGAAGAAGAGACCTGCTTGGGCCAAGAAACACGAGCAATGGACATTAGACCGGTGGAAATCTGTCCTTTGGTCTGATGAGTCCAAATTTGAGATTTTTGGTTCCAACCGCCATGTCTTAGTAAGACTGTGATATGAATGGATGATCTCCGCATGTGTGGTTCCCACCGTGAAGCATGAAGGAGGAGGTGTGATGGTGTGGGGGTGCTTTGCTGGTGACACTGTCTGTGATTTATTTAGAATTCAAGGCACACTTAACCAGCATGGCTACCACAGCATTCTGCAGCGATATGCCATCCCATCTGGTTTGCGCTTAGTGGGACTATCATTTGTTTTTCAGCAGGACAATGATCCAACACACCTCCAGGCTGTGTAAGGCCTATTTGACCAAGAAGGAGAGTGATGCATTCCAGGTGAAGCATTCCAGGTGAAGCTGGTTGAGAGAATGCCAAGTGTGTGCAAAGCTGTCATGAAGGCAAAGGGTGGCTACTTTGAAGAATCTCGAATATGAAATATATTTTGATTTGTTTAACCCTTTTTTGGTTACTACATGATTCCATATGTGTTATTTCATAGTGTTGATGTCTTCACTATTATTGTACAATGTAGAAAATAGTAAAAATAAAGAAAAAGGCATTGTGAGGAAAGTGAAGGCATATTGTTTAAAAAGTCAAAGCAGTTGTTTAGCTCTTTGTATGACTCATACCTCCTATCCGGGCGCATGCAGGCTAACATCGGTCGCCAGCTGTACGGTGTTTCCTCCGACACATTGGTGCGGCTGGCTTCCGGGTTAAGTGAGAAGTGTGTCAAGAAGCAGTGCGTCTTGGCAGGTCGTGTTTCGGAGGACGCATGGCTCTTGACCTTTGCCTCTCCCAAGTCCGTACAGGAGTTACAGTGATGGGACAAGACTGTAACTACCAACTGAGGGGTAAAAAGTAGAACAATTCTAAAAGAAGAAACGAGAAGGAAATAAAAAAGTTGAAGAAAGTTATTTCTCACGTCCCTTACTAAGGGTCTGTGTGAATAAGCTGTGCTCCAAAAGGGCTGATGCTGAGCGACCGAAGGTAATCGCCTAGTTCCGCCCCAGTTCCACCCCCCTGAACACCTTCCCTTCTCCATTCATCATTGAAGTTGTCCAGAGTAACCTGTTCTCTGGGCAGCCAAACAAATCCTGCACATCCGCAGAAGCGTTGGTTGTTTAGCTATCGGGAAGAGAATTCGGCAACGCAGCCTATCTGCTCCAAAAGCATCACTACAGCCAGTCTAGATAAGGGGGTATTGCCACGTAACCCAGTGGTCATATCAACTCTGCAGATGTGTTCTTCTCATAATTTCTGTGCCAAGTTTTGGTACAGGGCTTTTTGACAACAAACAAACCACACACTGGATGTGATATTTTGGCCAACAACTTTGACTTGAGGTAAAATGTTCAATATTAACTGCGGTTCAATCTTCATTTCAATTAATTATATACTGTATACTGATTTTTGAAGAATATAACTTAGAAATGCCTCATGAGCTTAGTACACCGGTCTTATCCCATCATAACCCAAAATATAAGGATAGGCCGGGATTCATTCCGATCTGTAAGGTAATTTCCGATAAAGCTGACATGCAGCGTTTGTCTCTGTGAACACGGAAACATTGCCTTTTAAAAAGTGCATAGCCGAAAAGGGGCAATAGGATTGAATCGCAGCCTCACTCCATGGTTTATGTTTTGTTGTCATTTATGTCTTTGTAAACAAACTATTGCCTATAGCTTAAAAATATGTTTAACTATCATGTTGATCTCATGGACTAAGTCATTGCATGCAAAGCTTTATCGATGAATTTGCTTGCATTTCTCCAGCCTAGCAAATCAAGTGTTGGGGGTGCCGTTTGCTGACACACAAATTCAGGATTGTGGCTTTAGCACGTTTTTCTTCATGAAAACCTTTCAGATTGATAAAATAACAGTAGGCCTATATTTTGGTGAGACATAAGACAGTCTGAGAGAGGAAGTGAGATAACGAGCTAATCTAGTTCAATCTCCCCACACAAGTGGACAGGCTGCTTGACATAGTGAGGCGCAGCAATTGATGAGAATAAAGATTGCTAGTGGGCGCCCAGAGAGAGGATGAGAGAGAGAGAGAGAGAGAGAGAGAGAGAGAGAGAGTGTTTATGTGTGTGTGTGCTCTGACCTGGAAGCCGTCCTTCTCCAGCAGAGCCCTGCAGAGCGACAGATCAAACCTGGGGCTCAGCATGGAGGAGGTTGGTACTGCCAGCACACACTGACCTGGAAGAGAGAAAAGGGAGAGGGAGAGGGAGAGAGAGATGGGGGGGAGAGTGTTAAGGTCGACAATAACACATTCTGACAGAGATTTTAACAGTGATGAAAAAGGAGAGTGAGTGTGAGAGTCAAAACATAGAGAAAGAATAAAAAAGGTATAGAGGGTAAATAAATAAAGTGGATCATTGTGAAAAGGGTTTGTTTATCCCAAAAACTTACAAAGAGGGAAAAAATAGAACAAGGAAGAGAAAAAAAACAAGAATAATGATTTGACAAAGAGCATATTTTACATGGTCAGACTCTTACCCATTGTACAATTTGATAACTACGTTACTACGCACCATTCTTCCATCTAGATGTTCTTCTGTTTTCTGGCTGGATCTTGGATGATCGTCTTAGGTCAGCTTCAACATCACTCTCATCTGAAGGCACAGAAGTCTTGTCCTCCATCTCATCCATGATGACGAGACCCTGAACGAGCAAAAACAGTCATAGAGTTGAATCAAAATTGCTGAAACCGTAATTCAGAGGAAATGAGTAAGAGCGTGAATGGCCCTGACTGTCAGCGTGAAATAAACAGTGCATCTGACCACAGCAACACAGTTCCGTTAGCCTGGTCCCAGATCTGTTTTTGCTGTCTTGCCAACTCCTACAATGACTGAAAGAGTTGGCAAACCAGCACAAATAGATCTGGGACCAGGCTACTTCCGTTGCTCAAGCAGACAGATGCTTGGTCTGATTACAACACGACTTCTCAGTTGTCCCATGTGCCATAGGTTTTCAGATGTGTGTGTGATGTATACACAGTATTTGAAGTGAGTAACAACATTATAGCAAGCAAGCAGCACATTCCAGTGTCATGCAAAACAAAGAAAGACATTGAAATTCGAAAATGTAACAAATATTCCCTCAGTAGATAGTGTTTTCCTGGGGCATGGCTTGTACTGACACTGTTGGAGAGAACATGTCCAATGGCTGAAGCTGAAGCTCCCTTTGAGAGGCCCAATCTGAGACTATAACTTTATCTAGCAATGGCATCAAACGCCAAAGCTTAACTTTAGAGAAGTCAAGCACTTGATGTGTCCTATGTTTCAAAAGCAACCGGAAACCACATCACTTCTCCTTTTAGAATTGATTACATTGCTCTGCTATGTTCTGTCAGCATGTTGGAGAAACCAACAGAAGAATGAATCTAAACTTTTACCAACAAGGTTTCTGATTCAACACTTTCAAGTTTCAGCATAAGTTCCAACAATAAGTTTAGTAGCAGACTGAGTAGACTTAAATGTACTGTTCTTTAAAAAAAATTTGCCTACACAATTCACAGGTTTCTGTTAAAAGTGGCTAAGCTGTACCACAGTTATAAGATAGACATACTGCACCTCAACAGGGTCCATCTTCAACGCACCATACACAGCCAAGTTATCGCTCTCCTTTCAACAGCTACAAACTCTGAAAAAGAAAGTGACAAAATAAAGAGACTGCGGCTACATTTTTAGACACTACTGTTGCTTTCTCATTCTCTTGTTTTTGCTCTCTCTCCCCCACCGTCCCTCTTTCCCTCTCCCGCCCTGTGTCTCTCGTTTGATTGTTAGAGAGGGAGACACATTTTAGCACAAACGTGTGAAAATGCTGTTGGCAAGCGTGATTTCAAGTTGTCTTCTTCTATCCCTACTCCAGTTCTCTCTCTCCTCTCTCTCGGTTTCTCGTTTTCTCTCTCTCTCTCTCTCTCTCTCTCTCTCTCTTCTCTCTCTCTCTCTCCTCTCTCCTCTCTCTCTCCTCTCTCTCCCTCTCCTCTCTCTCTCTCAAGGACACACTCTCTCATTCTCACTTCCTGCTGTAAGTACAGTGAGGGGAAAAAGTATTTGATCCCCTGCTGATTTTGTACGTTTGCCCACTGACAAAGAAATGATCAGTCTATAATTTTAAGGGTAGGTTTATTTGAACAGTGAGAGACAGAGTAACAACAAATACATCCAGAAAAATGCATGTCAAAAATATTATAAATTGATTTGCATTTTAATGAGGGAAATAACATTTTACCCCCTCTCAATCAGAAAGATTTCTGGCTCCCAGGTGTCTTTTCTACAGGTAACGAGCCAAGATTAGGAGCACACTCTTAAAGGGAGTGCTCCTAATCTCAGCTTGTTACTTGTATAAAAGACACCTGTCCACAGAAGCAATCAATCAATCAGATTCCAAACTCTCCACCATGGCCAAGACCAAAGAGCTCTCCAATGATGTCAGGGACAAGATTGTAGACCTACACAAGGCTGGAATGGACTACAAGACCATCGGCAAGCAGCTTGGTGATAAGGTGACAATAGTTGGTGCGATTATTCGCAAATGGAAGAAACACAAAATAATTGTCAATGTCCCTCGGCCTGGGGCTCCATGCAAGATCTCACCTCGTGGAGTTGCAATGATCATGAGAACGGTGAGGAATCAGCCCAGAACTACACGGGAGGATCTTGTCAATGATCTCAAGGCAGCTGGGACCATAGTCACCAAGAAAACAATTGGTAACACACTACGCCGTGAAGGACTGAACTCCTGCAGCGCCCGCAAGGTCCCCCTGCTCAAGAAAGCACATATACAGGCCCGTCTGAAGTTTGCCAATGAACATCTGAATGATTCAGAGGAGAACTGGGTGAAAGTGTTGTGGTCAGATGAGACCAAAATCGAGCTCTTTGGCATCAACTCAACAAGCCGTGTTTGGAGGAGGAGGAATGCTGCCTATGACCCCAAGAACACCATCCCCACCGTCAAACATGGAGGTGGAAACATTATGCTTTGGGGGTGTTTTTCTGCTAAGGGGACAGGACAACTTCACCGCATCAAAGGGACGATGGACGGGCCATGTACCGTCAAATCTTGGGTGAGAACCTCCTTCCCTCAGCCGGGCATTGAAAATGGGTCGTGGATGGGTATTCCAGCATGACAATGACCCAAAACACACGGCCAAGGCAACAAAGGAGTGGCTCAAGAAGAAGCACATTAAGGTTCTGGAGTGGCCTAGCCAGTCTCCAGACCTTAATCCCATAGAAAATCTGTGGAGGGAGCTGAAGGTTCGAGTTGCCAAACGTCAGCCTCGAAACCTTAATGACTTGGAGAAGATCTGCAAAGAGGAGTGGGACAAAATCCCTCCTGAGATGTGTGCAAACCTGGTGGCCAACTACAAGAAACGTCTGACCTCTGTGATTGCCAACAAGGGTTTTGCCACCAAGTACTAAGTCATGTTTTGCAGAGGGGTCAAATACTTATTTCCCTTATTAAAATGCAAATAAATTTATAACACTTTTGACATGCGTTTTTCTGGATTTTTTTGTTGTTATTCTGTCTCTCACTGTTCAAATAAACCTACCTGTCACGCCCTGACTCAGGGGACGCTTATATGTTGAGTCAGGGTGTGTGTATTCCTTGTTGTGTTAGTTCTATGTTGTAGAATCTAGTATGTCTATTTCTATGTTGGCCGGTGTGGTTCCCAATCAGAGGCAGCTGTCGCTCATTGTCTCTGATTGGGGACCATACTTAGGCAGCCTATTGGCACTAGTGGGTTGTGGGATCTTGTTCCGTGTTAGGTATGTTGTTTGTGTACCTTGGACTTCACGTTTCGTTTCTTGTTTTGTCGTATAGTCAAATAAACATGTATGCATATCACGCTGCGCCTTGGTCTGACCCGTCGATGAACGATCGTGACAGAAGATCCCACCAAACGAGGACCAAGCAGCGTGCCCAGGAAGAGCGAATTGCCATGTCACAGGTGGGCAAATGGTGGTCATGGGAGGAGATATTTGCGGGGAAAGGGCCATGGGCAAAGGTAGAAGCCCAGGCAGGAGAGGAGCAACGGCAGCACAGAGGAAGCCGGTCGAGGAAGAAGCCCGAGAGACAGCCTCAAGAAAAAATTTTTGGGGGGCTAAGAGGGTGGTTGGCGGAGCCTAGGGTTAGAGCAGAGCCAACTCCCCGTACTCACGCGAGAAGACGTATGACTGGGCAAGCTCCATGTTATGCGGAGCTACGTACTGTGTCGCCAGTGCGCCGGCACAGTCCTGTACGTCCTGTACTTGCACCACGCACGTGCCGTGCGAAGATGGGCATCCAGCCAGGACGGGGTGTGCCGGCTCAACGCTCCTGGTCTCCAGTACGCCTCCTCTGTCCCGCATATCCTGCGCCAGTTCTACGAGCTGTATCGCCAGTACGCGTGCACAGCCCAGTGCGTCCTGTGCCAGCGCCACGCACGTGTAGTGCGAAAGTGGGCAGCCAGCCAGGACGGGTTGTGCCAGCTCTCCGCTCCAGACCTTCAGTCTGCCTTCGCAGCCCGGCCCGGCCTGTTCCTGCCCCTCGCACCAAGCTAGTGGTGCGCATCGCCAGCCCGGCCCGGCCTGTTCCTGCCCCTCGCACCAAGCCAGTGGTGTGCGTCGCCAGCCCGGCCCGGCCTGTTCCTGCCCCTCGCACCAAGCTAGCGGTGTGCGTCGCCAGCCCGGCCCGGCCTGTTCCTGCCCCTCGCACCAAGTCAGTGGTGCGCGTCGCCAGCCCGGTCCGACCTGTTCCTGCCCCTCGCACCAAGACAGTGGTGCGCGTCGCCAGCCCGGCCCGGCCTGTTCCTGCCCCTCGCACCAAGCCAGTGGTGCGCGTCGCCAGCCCGGCCCTGCCTGTTCCTGCCCCTCGCACCAAGCCAGTGGTGCGCGTCGCCAGCCCAGCCCGGCCCGTTCCTGCTCCTCGCATCAAGCCAGTGGTGCGTGTTCCTAGTCCGGTCCGGCCCATGCCTGCTCCTCGCACCAGACCAGTGGTGCGTGTGTCCAGTCCGGCACGGCCCGTGCCTGTTCCACCGGTGCCACTCCGGAGCCAGAGCAGTCCGCTCCACCGGTGCCTGATCCAGCTCCGGTTAGCTGCTCCACTCCGGAGCCAGAGCAATCCGCTCCACCGGGGTCCAGTCCAGCTCCGGTCAGCGGATCCACTCCGGAGCCAGAGCAGTCCGCTCCACCGGTGCCCAGTTCAGCTCCGGTCAGCTGCTCCACTCCAGAGCCAGAGCAATCCGCTCCACCGGGGTCCAGTCCAGCTCCGGTCAGCGGCTCCACTCCGGAGCCAGAGCAGTCCGCTCCACCGGTGCCTGATCCAGCTCCGGTCAGTGGCTCTACTCCGGAGCCAGAGCAGTTCGCTCCACCGTCGTCGGGTTCAGCTCCAGTCAGCGGTTCCAGTCCAGACCCAGATGTCAGCCCCTCTCCAGGTTCGGGGTCTCCCACACCAGGGTCCAGACAGGGCTTGGTACTTCGTGGGAGGAAGGAGAGGGCAAGCAGCGCGCCGAGGTCCAGACCAGACCAGGGGCGCAACAGGGAGGCGGAGAATAGGTGGTGGTCACGCCCGGATCCGCCTCCGAGGCGGAATGCCCACCCGGCCCCTACCCTGTTATGTTTATGTTGCGCGGTCGGAGTCCGCACCTTTGGGGGGGGGGTACTGTCACGCCCTGACTCAGGGGACGCTTATATGTTGAGTCAGGGTGTGTGTATTCCTTGTTGTGTTAGTTCTATGTTGTAGAATCTAGTATGTTTATTTCTATGTTGGCCAGTGTGGTTCCCAATCAGAGGCAGCTGTCGCTTGTTGTCTCTGATTGGGGACCATACTTAGGCAGCCTATTGGCACTAGTGGGTTGTGGGATCTTGTTCCGTGTTAGGTGTGTTGTTTGTGTACCTTTTAATAGTTTAATAGTCAAATAAACATGTATGCATATCACGCTGCGCCTTGGTCTGACCCGTCGATGAACGATCGTGACACTACCATTAAAATTATAGACTGATCATTTCTTTGTCAGTGGGCAAACGTACAAAATCAGCAGGGGATCAAATACTTTTTTCCCTCACCGTAAGTGAGTTGCCAACTTTCAAACAGTTCGACCACGTTGGTGCACCTAATGAAAAAAGTACCATACAAGTGCCTGTTTACACCTTTATGTGAATGAGTGTATATTGCTGTGATGTTTGATGTGTGTTGTGTGTGTCTGTGTGTATCTACAAGAAGGTTTTACAACAGAGAAGAGAAACCAATTTTTTGGGGAAAGCTCTTCAGCTTGGCTGAGTACTCCCCAAGCATTTTCTCTTCATCTATTCCCTCTGTACTCCAAATTCTAGGTATGATTTTTAAAGATAAGAACAATTTCACAGAATCGTTATGTGCACCAGTTACAGTTGAGGTTCTGAACATAAAGAAAGACACATGACTAATAGGACAACTCTCCAGAGACTATTCAATGTAGAAACTATTACATTAAAGTTCCTACCCACCCGCACTTAAGACGAAAGTAATTGCAATGACTGGAAGTCTATGTGTATCTGCTAGCATACCCGTAGACTTACAGTCATTGCGCTAACTCTAGTTAGCATTGGCTCGCAAAACGACCTCT